ACGCATATGCAGAGATTACGATTACGTATTCAGGAATGCACGAAGTTTAAAAAGTTCCAAGCCCATAAGCCACAATGGCCACGTCTCACACAGGCTTGACATTTATTATCTGCCGCTGCTGCCGCTGCTGCTACTGCTGCGGCTCCTGCAGCGTCTTTTCATGCCCTTTCCGAAGTCATAATGCCTTCTTCCAGGCGTTGGAAGCGCAAAGATTGACCATCAATGCATGGAGAGCTTAACCTATGGCCCTTCTCTTGAGTTTTTATTCCAATTACGATGCCATTCCTCTGTCTGTCCCCTGATCTTGAGCCCTGGCTCCTGCTGATGTGACGGACGCAGTGGAACAAGGGATCCGGCAGGGTATCATGTGCCGCGGCCATGCAGCAAGCCTTCCTATTTCGTTTTTATTGGAGTCCCACACAGCGCACACACACACTCTTACAAGAGAGAGAGATGGACCGAGCGAGTGAGAGATGTGTGATGTCGAGCTGGAAGAAGAATGAGAGCCATGGCCGGACCCAGACCCGGAGCCGGAGCCGGAGCCGGGCTCGTTTTGCGGTCGAGGGTCGGCGGTTGTCGGTTTTCGGCTTTCGTCTGTCGTCTGTCGTCCGTCGGACGGAGCCATTTGTATGCCCCGTTTGGCCATTCTACGTGTCGCAGGAGGAGGGGGTCGACCGAACTGGGATTGGCCTTTTGATTTCGTTAGCAAGTTTGGCCAAACTCTCTTATTCCCGAGTCCGCACACGTTTTTGGGAAATGTGCATTTTTCGCTAAATGTTTTGTAAATGTTTCCGCTCTCAACTTTATAATTAGTTAACGTTGCCATCGCCCAGAAGCACGGGTAAGCCCTGGGAAAGAAAGCAGCGACAGCAACAGCGACAGGGGCAAGGACAGCGACAGCGACAGCGACAACGGAAGCGGAAAAGCCAGAGAGGAGAGAGCATAACGGAAATTATATAAGTTGAGGGAAGGCACACACACAGAGACAAGACAGAGTGGCCACCGATGCTCTTCCCGTGAAGGACGAAGGTCCATGCAGTGGCGATCATTTCTGGATACATTTTGGACTATTTACGTAAACCTTTGCAGCCGCCATTCTTCTTAGCCAACGGCCCCAGGGAGTCTATTCTTATCATGTCTTTCCCTATTCGGGCCACTTACCATTTGGCTTCAACAAAGGACTAACCCCAACGGATTCGACTAGGAAATAGTGGCAAATAGGTGGTTTCCTCAGCCAAGGCCATGCGCGGACTCAACAGGTGAGGAAGCGCCCAGGTCGGCCCCCTCCAGTCCATTCGGAGGTGACGTTCCTTTGGCTGGGGAGCCAGGAAATCGTAGCTATCTCAAAATGAGTTAAGTGTCAGACGGCTGGCCACAAAAGCTTTCATCTTCCACTTCCCAGGCCACACACAAACAAGGACACGGACACCGACACGGCTGGTGGGGGGAGGCGGCGCGGGACCCCTGGGGCGGTGCCATGCAAAATGCCGAGCAACGCAATCCACCCGCACGGGGCACTCGGGACCTTCTCGAAGCTGTTTAATTAGATTTTCGCTGCGAGATGTGAGTCGCGTGATTGAGTCACAGCTGAACTGGGAGCTGGGACTGCGAATGGGTCTGGGACTGGGACTGGGACTCGATGTGGCTTTCGGGTTGAGGTTCGGAGACTGCCAATGGGACGTCGACTGGGACTGCGACTGGGACTCCAACTGGGACTCCTACTGGGACTGTGACTGCGTGCTGGGGCTTGGTCTGGGTCTGCATCTTCGGCTCGAATTGAAGTTTTAATTAAAAGGCAACTACTGGATTGGGCAATCAAATGCATTTGGAGCACCTGCTCTGCTAGCTGGCTGGCTGGCTGGGTGGCTGGCTGGCTGGCTGTCTGGCCGCAGCTTATTAAAAACTGTCATTATTAGCATTAAGCTAATTAGCACCCGAAAATGTGGGGGAATCCAAAGCAAAATGTCGCGGCAAATCAATCAAGATTCAGGGCCGTTGCTGTTGCTGTTGCCGTTGCCTGCCCTTGAGGGAAACCCCCCCCCCCCCCCCCACGCAAAAATGTCAGCAAATTAACAATTAAATGGCCGGCCAGAGGGGGTCCGGAGGGACAGATCCACTGATTAGCGTAATCGGACAATGGGTCTCACGTTGCCTCGACTTGACTCGACTCGACTCGACTCGCCTAGCGACGCGTTTGCCTAATTTTAATGCAAATTCCAAGCTGACGCCCAGAAGTATGGAGCCGAAATTTGATCAAATTTCGGACACCCAACCCCAGGCAGGTGACAGAACAAGGACCTTGCCAGGCTCAGGGGCATGTGTGTGTGTGTGTGTACTGACCAATTTGAATTTAAATGGATTCTGCCCGGCGGTGCTTTGCACTCAGCAAGTTTTGCCAGTGATTTAAAGCCCGATTCGGCACTGGTATAAATGAATATATTGAATATCCGGCAAGGCAGAAGGACATCAAATGTCCCTTGCGGCTATCCCAGAAGGTGCACGTATATATCCATATTTGATTCAATGAATTATGGAATTGGGTATTCAACGAATTCAGTGGCCAGTTCGTCCGACTCAAATTTCTATAAAGTTACCAAAAAATGGTCAGAAATGCCCAACAAACCGTCGAGGATCCGTCCTGTGGGGAGGCCCCCGATAATTTCAATCTTTAGATGAGAATTTGTTCCGAAGATTACTAACGATTGAGTTACAGTGTTGCCGCTTAGTCGCTTAGTCGAGGGCACTATGCAAACATGAATCGAATAATCGAGTGGGCAACTTCTTACTACCTCCCACTGGCATTCCACCGAGGCCCAATTAGCCCACAGAACTTTCACCTTTCTCCCGCTCACTTAAATGGCTGCGCCTGGGGTTACATATTTAAAAACAAATTAGAAACTGGCCACTAATAAGTGCCGTAACACCGCCACTGCCACTGCCACTGCCACTGCCGCGACCACCACCCACTGGCCTCGGGCAGGACTCGGCCAGCCGGAGAAAAACACGAGGCGCTCATGAAAAGGAAAAGTTCAAGTGTCGAGTGGAGAATACATTTCTTCCGTTGCCCCAGCGCCCAACAGAAGTCGAGGCCGTAGCTGGAGCTGCTGCTGAAGTCCCTTTAAGCGCCGACATGCTGGCGATGGGGAAACGGAAATGGAACATGAACGGAAGTGGAGGGCCACACCAGAGAGAGCAGACTCCGATAGGGAGCCGCATTTCGATGGTTTTGAGCTCGGGTTGAAAGCTGCGAGTGTAATCTGTCGAGAGTCAAGGGTTGTCGGAGCCGAGCCTTGCAAGAGCTTGGGAGCTAGAGAGCTTCAGACACTAAGGACTGATCGATGCAAAAAATCATATAACCGAAGCACTGATCGATAGCCCTCAGCATTGAACGTTTTCTATGATCATTTTGTGACGTTAATTAGCTTGTGGATAGCTTCGGCTTCCGTATTTCAGTTGTCGACTCAATGCTCAACCTGCCTCACGGATTTAAGTGGAAAGCGCGGGGAAAAAGATGCAAGAGCAGTCCTCCATGGAAAGAAGGCACCAAGCGTCAGTTGACAGAGAGTCAGGACCCTCTCAACCGGGAAAAGAGACACGAGACAGGGATAGGGACAGGGACAGGGACAGGGCCAACATGGAACCGGGACATTATTAGCTCTATTTGTGGCAGACTGCTGACGAGGAGCAGGTACGGAGGAGCCCAAGGGGGCGGCGCAGGGTGCAAGACATAGCTGCCACTGAAACAGACAAGTAAACGAGCTGCCCCAGTTCCTTCCTTCCAGAATTCCTTCCAACAATATTGCAACGACAGCAACATTGACAACACCGTGTTTATATGCAACATTGACAACTTGGCGTGACGCGAGTGACGCGAAACGACGCTGGATGTTGGATATGCTGCTGGTTCTGCTGCTGCCCCCATAAGCATAAGCATAAGCATCACCATTACCGTTACTGCAACAGCTTATGCCACTGCTGCCACTGCTGCCTCTCTTCGTGAAGCTTCTTGCTTGCAGGCAAGTCATAAAAGTTGTCTGACTTCGGTCCTTGCCCGAAAGGCGGCGACGGTGGGGGATGGAGGAATGCGCCATGTGTGCTCCGAAAAATACCCCAAAAATGAAATGCAAAATGTGAGGCAACGGGAAAGTGCACTGCAAGAATGGCCACAAGATCTGAATACTTTAAAAAACGATCTTTCCAACTACATCCTTCATATACAGAGATCCCCAATGAGCGCAGAACTTGAGCCCCATTTCGGTGTCACACGAACTTTAGATACAGTTGAGTATCTCGCGTTGAGTGCAAATGAATCAAAGTTTAGAGAGGAATGAAGAAAATTGGAATAGCAGAATTCATTCGATCTTAAGTCCCAATTCATTCATTCGTTTTCGACACCTTGGAGCGGCAATCATATGCTGCTTTGAATGCATTCATTCAAGTAATCGGAATATTCAAATATCTTCCAGGCAGTGGAATTGCATTTCTCTGAGTGGATTTCTGGCATCTCCGATGCTTTGCATATAACTGTCTCTCCTAGTCTCTCTATCTCTCGCTCTCCCTCTCCCTCGCCCTCTCTCTCTATTTCTTTCTTTTGGAACGTCTACTATGGCTGAACTCTGGCAGTGCATGGGTCTGGTCTGGCTGGGGCTGCGACTATATTACATTTTATGTCAAACGCGTACGCTTTCAATATTGACAGAAAGCTTCGTTGCTGTAGACGCTCGCGGATGCCGGTGCGGATGCCATTGCGGATGCCGGTGCGGATGTGGACGCGCCACCTGTTCCGGCTGCCGCCCCACGCTCCCACACCCCCACACCCCCAAACGCCCACACCCATCGTCATCCTGGTGCTGGTCTTGTCATGTTAATGTTAACTTATTTTCGCATTTTTTTTGGCATTTTGGCAACAACTCACATCCCAGACACAGACACAGACACAAACCCAATCCCAATCCCTGCCCGCACCCATCGGAAGCTATTTTCAAATAAAGAAAACGCAATTTCAGTCGGTGAGCTGCCACTTCAGACACGCCCACTGCGAGCTGTGTATATGTATTCGCCGAGAATGATGGCATCATCGGGAGCGATGATGGTGACGTCATCGGCAGCACCTAGAAGGGCTCCCCCAGCGGCTTGATCGTCAGCTGATGCACCTGGACGTGCGGCGGCGTGGCCAGGGCGTAGATAATGCCGGCGGCAATGTCCTCGGGCCTCAGCATGGGCAGCGAGTCATAGCCCCTGGGTAGAATCTCCGTGTCCGTGACCCCCGGCGTGATGCTCTGCAGGGAACAGGCAAGGAACAGGTGGAAAAAGGTGGAACAGGAATTTGACGAAAGGAAATCAAAAATAAACCTACCGTAATCTTGATCTTGGTCTTGAAGCCGCGAAACTCCTGGCGCAGCACCTCGAGCATGGCCTTGATGCCGTGCTTGGTCAGGGGATACATATTGAGCACCTGCAGCTCGTCGCCCGGCGGATTGATGATCGTCTCGCCCGTGAGGCTGTTGATCAGCACCACATGACCGGCCACGTCGCGCTGCTGCATGGAGCGGAAGGCGCGGCGCGTGCAGTTGAGGACGCCCATGATGTTCACCTTCCAGGTCTGCTCCAACTTCTCCAGCTCCTGGGTGAGCAGCTGGCCGGCGAACAGGCAGCCGGCATTGTTCACCAGGATGTCGACGCCGCCCAGCTGCTCCTCCACCCAGTCGAAGGCCGCCGTCAGCGAGTCCAGGTCCGCCACGTCGCAGTGCATCAGATGAAAGCGCCCTTGCATCTCCTCCGGCAGCTCGGCCCTCAGCGCCTCCATGCGGTCCATCCGGCGGGCCAGGCCCACCACCACCACGCCCGCCTCGACGAGCGCTTTGGCCGTGGCGGCCCCGATCCCCGAACTGGCACCCGTAACCACGGCCACTCGGTCCTGCCAACGATCCATTTTCGAAGACTGGCAATCCAATTGATTCGCTCGGTGTTTGGCTAGTTTCGTTTGCTCCTCGTCCAGTGGAGCACTTGTCGCAACTGACTCTGAATGGCCTCCGGCTCGCGTCTTATATACGAGTTCGCGCCGATTCCCAGCCGCCCAGAGCCGCCCAGAGCCGCCCAAAGCCGCGGAACTAGCTCCAAGACGTCTCCCAGCTGGCCACACCCGTCGTTGACAATGCAAATCAATTATTAAATGGGGCCCGGCCCGGCCCGGCCCAAGTGCGCACAGTTCACACGTGCACTGAATAATTGTGGTGCCCCGAGGGGTGGGCGGCGCAGGTGGCAAGTGGCCGCATTGGTTGGCACTGGGTGGCACTGGGTGGCACGTTCATTGAGGCAATTAAGACGTAAACGGCAACCGTAAATATCGGAAAAGGTCAAAGAGCCCTTACCCATCAGAGCTAAGTCATGTGCATGGCAAGTGGTGATCGTTGCTCAAATTATGGCAACGGATATCAGGGACCGTAATCAATATAAGTTCTACTTTAAATATCACACAATATAAATTAATTATAAGCTTTAAAGGAAAAGTCTTAAGGAGACGACTCTCCATTGCTCTCGAAAGAATAACGGACTACTCTACTACTTATAATTTAATATAATTTCTGCTCAAAGACCAAAGATACGCTTTATTTGTACAACTCACCGATACATATATTATCTTCTTTTCGGCTACAGAAATAAACAATTATGATTTTCTACGGACCCTGGTATTCATGGGATATTTTATATCGATCTTCAAAGCGTTAGACGATGCGCATTTCGAATATTCCCCAGAATCCATAAGTGTCTTACGGACACTCGTTCTTGGGTTTTAACCCTCGTCTATTCTCGCCCGACTAAACCCCCTGGGGCCGGCCTTTGAATTATGCAAAAAGAGGACGGGATGTGCTCGGTGCCTATAGATGTGCTCATGTGTAGTTGTGCATGGGCTAATGTATGCAAAGTGCAGAGTTCAACGATATCGATGTCACTCAAAATGGCTCGCCCAGGGGCTTGATGGTCAGCTCGTGCACCTGTACATGGGCTGGGGTCGCCAGGGCGTACATGATGGCATTGGCCACATCCTCGGCCTGCAGCATGGGCAGGCATTTGTAGGCCTCTGGCACCATCTCTGTGTCCACCAGGCCCGGACTGATGCTCTACAAAAATGGCGTGGTAGAGAACGTATCGTACAACCCATTGCGATTACCTACCGTAACCTTCACTTGGGTCTTGAACTCGCGCATCTCCTGGCGAAAGAGCTCTGTGAGGGCGGTCACCGCGTGCTTGGTGGCAGGATACATGTTGAGCTCCTGCTGGCTGCCCGGCAGCGGGTTGAACAGATAGTGGCCCACGACGCTATTGAGGAGCACCACATGGCCGGACGCCGAGCGCTGCCGCATCGACTGGAAGGCGCGTTGGGTGCAGTAGACCACGCCCATGACGTTCGTCTGCAGCACCTGCTGGACCGTGTCCAAGGCCATGGTCAGCAGCTGGCCGCCCGACAGCTTGCCGGCATTATTGATCAGTATGTCAGCGCCGCCCAGTCGCTCCTCGACCCAGTCGAAGGCGGCGTTCACCGACTCCAAGTCCGTGACATCGCACTGGCGGATGTGGAGCTGCGAGCCCAACTCCTGGGACAGCTGCTCCAGGCGCTCGAGGCGCCGAGCCAGGGCCACCACCACCACGCCAGCAGCGATCAGCTTCCTGGCCAACTCGGCCCCAATCCCCGAACTGGCTCCGGTCACCACGGCCACCCGATTATGCCAACGTTCCATGTCGACCGACGCTGGAGAATCAACTGAAATCCAAGTCAGTCGGCGATCACTGGGTAAGCTTCCAGCCTCGGGACAGTGTCTTAGTCGCATCTCTGGCCGCTCCATGGGTCCCCTTCGATGCGCCTCTGCCTCTCCATCGGCTTCGATTTTCATCTCCGCTTCGGGTTACGTGCACGATGATGCAACAACACGCTACAGCAAACCGCAGACTGTCACGATCCGCTCGTAGATTAAATTCGACCGAAGTTTTACGTTCCCATTGATGGACCATGGGTGTACCTTGTACTCTCAGGAGGGGCAGAGGCAGAGGCAGAGGCAGGGGCAGGGGCAGGGCAGGGGCTGATCTTTAACGATGATCGATTTATGGGCAGAGAAGCTGTCTCTGCAGTCTTGAAAGCTTCAAATGCCCAGAATGTGAGCTGTGTGTCGTAAAGCCTTAAAGAGTAGAGCCCCTCCTGCTGCTCAACATTGTACGAGTACTCGCAGTACCCTCTCTAGAAGAGCGATTACTGTGTCAAGGCTTAAAGGCACATTCCGAGGGGTTTGAGCACCTTTTCCTTGCGTTATTTGCGCCGTGACGGGCCAAATCGAAGTTGTATGAAGAGACGCAGTAATGAAATATTGACGGGGGCCGTGGATTCGCCAGTTTGTCGCAGCTGCAAGCCGGCAAGGAAAAGCGGCAACAAAAATATAAAACAAGAAGAACAACAAACTCGACAGCTGCACAAAAGTTTTTCCTTTGAAATATAAACAAAAATCAATTTGAGGCGCATTTTCCAGCGCCAAAACTCAAACAGACGACGACTGGTGGAAGATTGGCTGTGGCGGTGGCACGGTGGGGTGCCAGTGCCAGTGCCAGTGCCAGTGGCACGGTGGCACGGTGGCGTTGGGTGCCACGAATTCTTAACGGAGGAAGTGTGATGGTGATGGTGATGGTGGTGGCACCTACGCAGGCAAATGTCGGCAATAGTTAACAAATGCCATAGAGAAATGCTCAATGATCAATGCTCGATTCTGGTTATACCCCCGGAAGGGTATGTTCTTCAGACGAGTATATTATTGATATTGATCAGCAAAAGCATCCTATATGAAAACGCTACCATATGTATTCATCTACGAGATCGGATGAAAACCCTTTTAGAGGGTTCTTTAGCAGGTATTCTCTAGTCGTTTACTCCATGGACGGTCTTGATTCTTTTGCTCTGGTTGTGGTTCTTCTTTTGATTCTAGAGTACTAGCCCAGGGCACACGTGTTATTTGCTCACGTGTTTATGGAAATTGAGCAACGTATTTCAAGTTGAGCGTCAGCTCAAAGCGCCGTTTGTTTGCCGAGCAGGCGACTGAAGAAAAATGTGCATGAAAATTTCACTGATTACGTATTTGCAGAGGGCAAAGACCCATGGAACGGGATGGATGCTTCACAGAAGGAGACGACCCACCAAGGAGCTATCAACCAGTGTGGCAGTAGGCGGAGTGATAGGATTGGAGGGAGTGGTGGGAGGGGCAGGAGAAGGGGAGCAAACTTTTCGGCAAACAAGTATCTATTAGTCGCATTAGACTCGGCAGGATGCTCTCCCACCTCATCTCATGCCCGCTCATGCCCCTCTCCTAACCAAATATACACTTATGTACGAGTATTCGTAGTCGTATTCGTTTGTTGGCATAACAGTTTAGTCTGGCACTCGCACACATCCTCCAGCATCCAGTCTCCAGTGGTCAGGGTTCAATGCCGAGCACTCGGCAACTCCTCCATATGCACATGCAAATTGGAAAAGGGCTTCGCTTCACATTGCCTTCCCTCTTTTATAGAACAGGGTACATCGACTGGGAGAAGAATAAGGAAATAAAACTTTTATCATCAAGTTCAATAGATACATCTGGGAAGATGTTCTTCAATGGGTTATTCTTGGCAGTAACTCTGGATCCAATCTATAATAAGACTCAAATATTCATTAAACGTATGGCAAATTTTACGAATATGGAATTCTCACGTTGATCATAGATCTTGAATAGGTCTTGAATTGTTAGTGAATCCTTGGATTCGTCTTGACCGAACATTGAATGATCTGCTTTCTTGGGCTGCTCCTACCAATTTGGTTCCGATTCTGTTCACTTTTTTGCTCCTTTGATTACCCATCGCATACATTTTGCCGCTTCAACAGAGGCAAGCGGAACAGCTGCTGCTTCAGCAACAGCAACAGCACCAGCATCAGAACGAGCTCCTATTCCAGTTGCTCCTCCTCCTTCTGCTCCGTTGTATCTTCTGCCCGCCGCTGGCCATAATTCAAATTTGCAGTTTTCTATGCTAATTCGTTTGATATCGCCGGGAAGATGGCGCGCATACAGCCACGACTACGGCTACGGCTACGACTACAACTACGACCCTTGCTCTGGACTGGCGGCACCTCCTCCTCCTCATCCTCCTCCTCCTCCTCGTCCTTTGGCCGCAAAAGTGTGATAGAAATTTATGCAGCCCTGGCATATGTGGCCATGTGGACCTGTATTACGGACAGAAGGGCCCGGCAGCAGCAGCATGCAAAGCACAATACAAATTCGAAATGCGAAATGCGAAATGCGAAATGCGAAAAGGCTAAAAGGCGAAATATTTTACAAAATACAAACGGATACGGATACGGCAGGCAGGCGACAAGTGAAATGTGCAGGAACACGTGACATTTGCAATTTGCATTCGCCATTCGCCATTCGCCATTCGCCATACGCCAGTCGCCATGACCCTCGAAGGCGACCTGCCAGCAGTTTTCATTATGCCAATTTGTCTTGGCTTCTCGTCTTGCATAATTATGTACGCAGCTGTGGCACACACACAGAAACACCTTACCCTTACCCTTGCCCTCGCCCTTGGCCCCCAGAGGCATCCTTAAACACATCCGCAGAAGCATCTTAAGACCCAGAAGCATCCTCGTCCTCAGCCACATCCTACCTTCCATCCTGGGGGTGCCATTCGGATGGTTTATGTGTTAAGCCCGGTCTGGTTTTATGGCCCACCAGCCAGGTGTACGTGTACCTCCAGCTCCAGCCCCCATTGTGGGGGCCTCCTCCATCAAACCGGGTGTCGAATTTTTGTGTGTATTATGTTCGCCTATAAACTGAAGCAGAATAACCGCCCGCAAATCGCTTCCTGAGTGGAAGCTCCACATTGTTGCAGCTGGAAGGAGCAACAAAATTGAATGCCATCACCGGTGCACCGGCTCGAGGATGTACCGTGATTGATTCGATTTTAATGCGAATTCGAAATTTACTTGGCTCGAAATTCGCAATTCGGGCACCCAGTAATTAGTGCTAGACGCTTGCCAACTGGGTAACCGGATATCCTCTCTTTTTGCAGTTTCAGTTTTCAGTTTTCAGTTTATGATAGCTGCTTCCGCATTGTCGAGTCTGGCACGGGTCCAGGCATCCCCGGACATCCACCGGAATGCCTCTACCAATGCGGTGAATGAAGTAGCTCGGGATTCCCTAGAAGAATGACTCACAGAAACTGAGCTTCAAAGTTGAAAGATGTTCCTTCCAATCGAGCAGGCCCCGTCCTTATATACGTACGAGTAAGAGTCTTGGCGTGGCATCTGGAAAGGAACGTTTTTCGCCCTCGAGGGTCCACAGGGCTCTGGCCCCGTATTCGCAGTACGAATATTTGGACAAGTGAATCTCATTTGGCGCTTCAATCGGCAGCTGCCAGTCAATCTTTTCAATATTATTCAATAACAGGCCGCAGGGTGTTGTCTCCTCGTGGCCAGATGTCAGAATCTCATATTCGTAAACAAGCTCAATCCAACGGAGCAGAAGGCGGAGGACGACGACCGGCAGGCAGGCAGCTTGTGTCATTCGTTCAACTCATTTATTGATTCATATGTGGGCCAGAAGACACGTGTTCGTCGACAGATTGATGGAGTCCGTTGGGTCCGTGGAACAATGGGGCCGAAGACGTGCCGGACAAGTGCTCAAGCCTCAGGCGAGGGGAGGCTTAGATAGCGTCACGGGCAGGGGCGGGGCCCGGGACGCGCTGAGGGAACGTAGCATTTACTGGCCCCCGATATTCTCAGATATCAATGCTCTGACAGCGTATTTCCATCACGTCCAGAGTCCGATGAAATGTAAGCTCGACTCCGGAATAAACTCATTAGGCGGGACAGGTGCTGGAGAGCCGTACCCCGCACTTCCTTCCGATTTGAATTCCCCGAGAATTTCAGATTTATTTGACTACAAAAGCCAAAGCCAAAGCCAAAGCCATAGCCATATCCAATGCATGGCCTGGGGGCACTCAAAAAACAGTCACGTCAGCTCCTCTACCGAGACTGAGACCACGAGACCTTAGGAACCATAGACACAACAGAGCCATCTGAGCGCCGAAGCGCAAAAGTTGAGCATAATATTTTATGAGGACTTCATGGCCAAATCTCCGCTGCACATGTGTGCACTGATTGCAGCAGTCCTGGATTCTGGATGCTGGATGCTAACTCATGATAAATGGCCCCAACATGCAGTCAGTCCTCTCTGGTGGAGATGGTGGGATTTTGTGGCAGAAGCTCTGGGATTTGGTATATCAAATTATGAAGAAATAATAATAAAATCCTCGCAAAAAGACATCCTACAACTGTTGATGATAAATGAAGCCAAGGGCAAGCCCCGCATTGGGTAACAAAGAGGAAAAAACGAAACAAGGGATGAGACTCGTATGATTGGCAGGAATGGCATCCACAGTTCTTTAAATTTGGCAACACTCAGGAAGATTCGGTATCACATGAAACAACTGACCCTTTTGTAGGTCTAACGAATACCCATTATATTACAAGAGAGTCCATAAAACAGCAACAGTCCATTGCTGGCCAAAAGAAAATGTTAAATAAAAACTGAATAAAACGCAATTTGGAATACATAGGAACCCATTGAAATCTACAAGAGAGAATCATCTCAGGAGAGCTCACTGAAGTTCTGAGATATCTCGGCCATAAGTAGAGCGATGTAGGATGAGCCAGAACATCGTACATCGTCGTACATCGGAAGAACTTACAGTTTTCATAGATATCCAAGGATGAAAGGTATGTATTATTCCCAATTGAACAAGTAAGTAGCCAAGTAAGCCCATCTCATTTCAAATAGAAAAGAAACTCCCAATTGCATTGCTTAATATTGGTTGATTCCATATTTATTTTCTCATTTGACTAGGTAAAGGTTCCACCATAATGCGTTTGCTGTTCGGTTCATAATAATTCATTATATTGTATTTAGTTGATCGGTTAATACCTTTAGCGATCGCCGCATATTCTTGTATAATAGGGACAGACCCCGACCCCGACCCCGTCCCCGTCACTGGGCAAACCACACAGCATACGCCTTCGATTCAGTCCCATCGGATGGGGAGAGGGACATATGGTGTGGCAGGGTGTGGGTGTGGGTGTGGGGGCCTGCCAATTTATGTATGTATGTATGTATGTATATTTAATATATATAACATGTGAGAGTGTTTGTCGGGAACTTTCATTATCCGATCCGATTTGGTTTGTCTTTTTATTGTACATACAATACATATGCATATATACGATATACGATATAGTATATGTAGAGTTAAACGTATTTAAATAATGTAACATACAATAAATGAATGGAATGGGAATGAGGGATGTAGAATAGAGGTTTCAGAATCTTAGGGGAGTTTCTTAAGGATACAATATACATAGTTCTCTATCATCAATATATCAAGGCTCCTCCTTTGAGAGACTCTCGAAATGTGGTACGAAATATAGTACTTTAAATGGAATGCCTTGGTATGGATGGTATGGTAGGAGTGCATCAAGAGTGTGTGTTGGGAATGTGGTTTATAGGGCAGGAGAGTGGATAGTGGATAGTCGGACAGAAGCTGGGTCGGGTATATATTCATTTAACACTCAATTAACAAATCTATTTTATGCAATATTGCTAGTAAACTCAATATATACCGATCGATCGGTACCGATCGATCGGTACCGATCGATCAATATCTGTGTGTGGCATACTTATAATTTTGTCCACATTTTTTTTTCGGTTTTATCCGTACTATATATCTATTTATGTAGTGTGTTTGTAGACCAACAAAGATGATTTGCCTATAACCATTTAAGTTTTTGTTTTAGTTTTAGTTTTGGTTTTGCCTTTGGTTTTTTTCGTTTAGTTTAGTTTACTTTTACTTTGTTTTTTACTGAATATAATTTAATTTGATTCACAACAATAACATTTTTTCTTGAATATGCATTGAATCGTTCCGTCTCTAAATTTATGCATTAAATCAATATGGTAAAGCTTAGTATATTTTGTTTTGTAATAGAGGAATAGTACTAGTGGGGCTATGGGCTATGTAGTGTCCAGATATCAGAGGTTATCAGAAGGAGGGGTTGGTTATCTACTGCCTTCGGTCTCCAGTGTTACTTGCTACTACTATATGATGATGCTCTATCTGATGATATGCTGGCAGCATGGGGTAGGTATCCGTATCCGTATCCGTATCCGTAGCCGTATCCATAGGTTCCATTCCATTTCCATTGCATCTACGAGTAGTAGTATGTGGGAGTATGGGCGGATAATGTGTGCGTGTTGCCTTCTTCCATTTCCACATCGATTTCCACTTCCGTTTTCACTTGCACTTGAGCTCCGATCGTCACGTAACTCGATTTCTTCTTCGATGAACTATGTTTCTGTGGCGGAATTGCTTTTCATTTTCATATTACTTTTCGATTACTTGTCGCTTAATGGTTCGATTCGATAAGTTACAACTAAGAAGGTCCATCGATTATATATGTATGTTTGTATGCATGTATACGTATTACGCATAGTATAGTATGTATGTGTTTGTGTGTGTACTGGTTCGATTATAATCATTAACTCTATGCATATGTATGGGTTGACTTTACGTACGCCCCATTGGATTGATATATTACCAATGGCTAGCATTAACGTGATCTCTCGTACAAGTATGGGCTATAAGTAACGCGGTTAAGGCTAGATTTATGTAAGGTTAGAGTTGGGCAAGTGGAAGGTGGGGGTGATGGGGTTATATGGTTAAGCATTCCTTTCCTCTGTTCCTCCTCCTCCTTCTCCTTCTCCGTTGACACATCCACATCACTTCGCTCAGCCTCAGCCTCAGCTTCATTTGGGTTTCCGTTCCTTTTGGCTTTTTACAATGTGTTCATCATCTTCTGCACTTTATCTGCTTCACATTATCAGTTTCAGTTTCAGTTTCAGTTACAGTTACAGTTTTAGTTTCAGTTTCATCATTCAATTATCATTCTCACATCTGCTGCTGATTTACCTTCTCTTAACATTATTGTCAACTAATCTTTACCTAATACTCGTACTCTGGAGCTGATGAACACGCTGCACAAGCTAGACGGGGGAATATATGGCGGGCAGACGCACTTGAAATTACACATATAAGTAGGTATGTTTATAAGATATATCTATGTGGTGTATATATATATGTATGTAAATATGTATATAACAAGAACGATTGGGTAAACCATGCACACGGGGAATATCTACAGAAAGCCGCGCGGCGCTGCGCTGCGCTTCGCTTCGCTTCTCTCCGCTTAGTTGGAGTCCGTGTCCGAGTCGCTGGGAGGGACAGGAGAGGCGACCGGCTTGGTGGCCACCTCCTTGGCGGTCTCCTCCTTGATGGGACGCGTTGCCGCCAAATACGCGTTCGTGGACTCGCCGTGCGTGGTCTCGATGCCAACCCTGGAATAAAGAGAAAGCGAGAAAGAGCGAGAGCGAGAACGATAGAGTCTGTAAGTTGCTGATCTTCAAGATGTTGTGCTATCGTTTGCAGTACTCACTTGTACTCGTGTCGTGCCAAATAGCGGACATACTTCTCGGGAGGCTCATCGGCGTCCGAGTCCTGGACACTCACTGAGCGCACGGTGGTATGCGAGACCTGCGTGGCGGGCATAGTGAACTCCACGAATGCGTATGGCGCCAGTTCACTGGGGATCTGGTCGTACGATGTCAGAGCCATGCGGCATACCAGCTGGTGTGTGGTATAGGCCCCTAAGAACGGCAGCAGATTGTTTTAATCGGTCCAGATGGAAGTGAAGCTTATGGCTATGGCCTATGGATTGCTGGCTTACCCTGACCCTCCTTGGGCAGGCGGGGACACCGCCAGACAATGGCCCGATGGTGATGCTCGTACTTCGCCTGGCCCGACGTTACCTCGATCAGCGACTCCTGCAGCGTGTCGACAGCACCGAGGATCCGTTCAATTCCCTTGATCTTGCCTGTCCGTCGATGGGCCGACTTCACCGACCCGTACCTGTTCCACCCACCCCAGTAAGATTTTCGAGTTATTCACCGATCCATGCACATGCCGAATGAACACCCACCTGAAGTGCTTCTCCACGCGGAACAGATAGATCCAGCACTCGGGTATGGGGAAGCGCACCGATACATCCTCGCAGGGTATCTGGCCGAGCTTGCGAGAGGTGAAGCCAGGCACCAATATGTCGGCACGCAGCTCCACCTTGTTGCCGGTGACGCACCAGGTAGCCTTCAGCTGGAGCGGAAGCTCGCGATTCTTTGGCGGACGCACCCGGAAGCGCAGCAGTTCAATGTAGTTGGCGTCGGGCGGCTGGAATCTGGTTGGATTGGGTTGGAATTGGAGTTGGAATTGGCATCGATCTTTTTGGATGCGACGAGCTCTACTCACTTGATGGTGCGCGTTCGCTCGTACTCCTGCTGATTGACAACGCTGTGGAACTCGACCGCCTCGAGACGGATCCACTCCTCGGTGGCCACGGGAATGATGTCGTGACGGCCGACCACCTCCTTGCCCTGGCGCCACATATCGTTGACGCCCAGCTCGATGGTGGGCATGCCGGTGAGGAAGGCGAGGAAGAAGAGGCGAACGCGGGCGATCTGCTTGAGGATCTTGCCCTCGCTGTCCTGCTCGACGGTGATCTCGTCGACGGCCGTCACCTGGACCTCCTCCATCTTGTAGGTGAGGGCGCGTTCGCGCAGAGCCGGCAGCTTGAAGAGGGCCTCCTCAATGCAGACGGAGAACTGTTTCATGTCCTCGTAGGTCATCGAACCGATCTTGAAGAGCTGCGACGACTGCGGCGCATGCTCGACGGGCAGGCCCAGCTTCTTGAGGTCGCTGCCGAACTCCTTCACGCCCTCGTAGTCCCCGGCGATGGCGTACTGTGCGAACTTGGTAAGCTTGTTGGTGATGCGCTCCGCCTTAGTCACCTGGCCTGGCCGGACGCCGGGACGCTCCTTGTAGAAGATGTACTGCAGCTTCATGGTGAAGATCTTGCCGAACTGGTCGTACTGCTGGGCCCCGATCTCCGAGACCGAGTAGGAGGGCTGCAGCGGCAGCTCCTGGAACGGCTGCTTGTCCCCGGGCTGGTTCAGCAGCTGCACCACCGGCACGTCGTTCTGCACCACCAGGCGCACGAAGATCTTCTTCCAGAAGCGCTGGCCCGTGATCTTCTTCTTGTTCGGCTGCCGCAGTTGCATCTCCCACCCGGGTCCCACGTAGTGCAGGCGCGGGAACTCCTCCAGCGGCTGGGACACATCCTCGTCGTAGAGCGGCGTCTGTGGCGTGTCCTGGGAGTCTGTGCGCTTGATGCCCGCCTCGCCCGCTTCTTCCGTGGCGGATGCTGTCGCTGCTGGTGGTGCTGGGAATCCGGTCACATCCTCGAAGGGATTGACTGTAGCTGGCGGAGACGACGAGGATTGGCTGGCCGTCGGCACAGCCGACCTGGCCGGCGGCGGCGGTGGTGCCAGCTGCGGGGCCACGCCTCCAGTGCCCTCCGCCTTGGGCCGGATCACCACGCTGAACTCCTTGTCCACCGACTCCACGGACTCGGCCCGCACGGGCGCCCGCATGGCATAGAAATCGTCGTCCTCGTTCCCGAAGCCATCGTCCGCCGAAGTGGCGTCGCCAAAAGCATTGCCCGCCGAAATGGTGGCCGATCCAAAGGCGCTGTCGCCCCAAGCTGAAAGAGGGAGGAATAGATTGGGTCCGGGCTTTCTACTGGAGATCCGTAATGGACTTACCATCTCCTCCCGTGGGCGTTATCGCTCCGGAGCCACCGAAGCCGTCCAGGATGCTGATGTTGTCCTTCTTCACGGAATCAAACTTGGCCGAGAAGGCGTCAAACTCGTCCGGCTCCACGGCAAAGATGTTGCCTCCGTAGCTGGGCGCCTGCTGCACGGCCTGCACCTCTGGCTCTGGCTCTGGCTCTGGGTCGTCCACTGCAAAGATGTTGCCCACCACAGCAGCGGGCACGAAGCTCGGCTCGTCCTCCTCCTCGGGACTGGCGAAGGGATTGGCCGAGAGCTGGCCGCTGGCCAGACCGCCGCTGCCCAAAGGAAAGTCCAGGCCCGTGTCCATCTGCTCGGGCTCATCGCTGGCCAGCTCCATGACGGGTTCGAAGGCTGGCTGTGACTCAGTGCCCTCCAGTGGTGATCCAGTGTGATCCGACTCAACAGGCGCTGCTGGCGCCCCGAAGAGTTCCACCTTTGCCTCCGGTTCGGGTACGGCTTCGGCTTCGGCTTCGGCCTCTGTTTCTATTTCGGGTTCTGGCTGATCGGGAGCTGCTGCTGCTACTGGTGTTGGCTCTGGCTCTGGCTCATCCTCGTCGTCGGAGCGCGGCAGATCCTCCACCGTGGTGATCTCTATGTCCGGCGTGGGAGCTCTCTGTCTGCCCGTCGTGTCCTGTGGCGCAGCCATGTGGGCCAGGGTCGCCGCCTGCGGCTGGCAACTGATGTCATGGGTGCTCTCGTCCGGCCGCGTTAGCACAGACGTGAAGATTGGCTCATCCTTGTCCTCCCCATCGTCGTTGTCCCTGTTGTTCTCCGCGTCGCGCTCTTCCTCGGAGGTGACCACCGCCTGGGGCAGATCATCGTGCAGGAGATCGGGCTTGGCCACCGGCTGCGGCTGGGCCTCGAACAGGCTGAGGATGTCCTCCTTGCTCTTGGGCGGCGGCGGCTTGGCCGGCTTTGCGCTGGTCGTACCGAACATGTCCAGCAAATCCTCCGAGTCCGCTGGTACTGTGGCGGGGGCTGGGGCAGTGGCTGACGGCGGTGGTGGACGCTGCGGCGGAGGTGCCGGTGCCGGCTGCTGTTGGCCATGCTGCATCATGTGTGCTGGTGGCGTCGGCCGTGGTGGCACTGGGCGTGGCGGCGGGGGACGTGGCGGCTGCTGTTTGGCCGGCGAGGGCATGGGCGTGGCCCCCTGCAGGCTGGGCACAGCCGTGGGCACCGCAAAGGGATTGTCGTGCTGGCTGGCAGGGGGAGCAGGAACGGGAGGCGGAACCACAGCCGCAACAGGTGCAGGAGCAGGAGCCGGAGCCGGAGCAGTAGGTTCGGCCTCTGCAGCTGTTGCCGTGGTGGTAGCAGTGACAGTGACTCCCCCAATGAGATCCAGGTCCATTATCTGGTTATTGGAGCCGCTGTCGGACACGTCCAACAGATCGGCCAGTCCCGAGTCCGGTGTGGGGCTGGGCGAGTGGAGGTCGCGCATCGAGACGGGGCTGGGCGATCGGGTGGCAGGTATGCGGCCCAGCAGCTCCGAGGAGGTCTCGTCCAGCTGGCTGGAGACCGTGCTGATCAGATCCTGTGTGCTCTGCGGCGGCTGTGGTCGTGGCGGAGGCGGGGGCTGCTTCTTTTGCCCAGCGGCGGCGGTGTCGTCCTCCTCCTCTCCGGCGGCTGACTTGATGCTGAGGGCGTCGTCCTCCGCCTCTATGGTGGTGCCAAAGAAGCTCATGGCCGGATCGATGTCGTTGATCGGCGGCTCTGGCTCCGGTTCGAGATCGTCGCCGCCAAAGGCGAACGGATTGGAGGCAGCACTGACGCTGGCAATGACGCTGCTGGCTGCCTCCCCGAACGGATTCGACTCCGACTCGCCCGGTTCCGGATCTGATTGCATTAGGAAGGGATTGGCGGCCATATCGCCGCCATCCAGGTCGTCGTCCATTAGGAACGGATTGGCCATTTTCGGTTCGGGTTTTTTGTGGTTTCTTCTGTGGGTTTTTGTGGTTTTTGGGGTTTGCTTATCGCTCGATCAGCTCGCTTTCGAGCAGCTTGATCTCCGTCTCGCCGGGCGCAAGATTCTCCGCAATGGAGGTGTCGAAGGGATCGATGTCCTGCGGCCGCACTGGTGGTGGAGGACGCGAGGGCAGCGATGGTGTGAGCACCTTGTCGCCAAGTCCCAGATCCTGGGCGTCGCTCTGGGCGTCAATGGCCAGCTCCTGGGCGCTCCTCTGTGGCAGCAGCTCGTTCTCGAGCAGCTTCAGCTCCGTCTGTCCGGGCTGTAGATTGGCAGCGATCGAAGTGTCAAATGGGTCGACGTCCTCGTCCGAATCCCCCTGGGCGTTGTGGGCGCCACCGGCTTTGGGCAGCTGTCTGCGCTCCTGCGCGGGTGTCAGCACCTTGATGTCGATGTTCTCCTCGACGGCGAGCAGCACCTCGGCGGGCACGGGCGTGGGCGGGGCACGCGGATCGAAGTCCGGATCGGAGAGGCTGTGCCGCAGCGTGGGCGTGGGCTCCGCAATCAAATCCGCCTCGATGTGCTTCAGCTCGATGTCGCTGAGCTTGGCCTCCGGCACATAGGAGGTGTCGAAGGGATCCTCCGACTCTGGTATGCCCTCGGCAATCGACTGCGATGCGTTGGCTGAACCGGTGGCGGAGGGCGCGTAGTACGGTGTCAGAGGCTTCTTGTTGGCCCCGACCTCATTACCGGCCCCGAGTAGGTCCGGCCCTGGCACCAGGAAGCCCACACTCTTCGCCTGGATGTTCAGGCTCAGCGAGGACTTGCGTCTGGCGGCGTCAAACTCCGGAGTGATGTGAGATGGCGAAGGTGGCACCGGTGGCTTCGGCCTTTGCGGGGGCTTCTGCTGCTGCTTGTGCTGCTGGTCCTCCTCCTGTCCGGCTCGCGGATCAAAGTCCGGATCGCTTAGTGAGTGCTTGAGTCCACCGCTCGTCTCGTTGGTGAGCAGCTCCCGCTCTAGAAAGCGCAGCTCTGTGGCCTTTGGCTGAACGATTGCACTGACCGCTGAGGTATCGAAAGGATCAAAGTCCTCCGGCTCTTGATCGATGCTAAGGGTGGGCGCCAATGGCGCTGGCACCACCTTACTGAGATCAGTGGCACTCCCGGCCAAAAGATCGCGTCCTGGAGCCGCTAGCAATGAGGACCCGCCAGTGGTCTCCTCCTCGGCGCGCGGATCAAAGTCGTCGTCCTCCTCGAGTACGGTGGTTTTCTTGATCACCTGCTCCGCGTAGTTGGTGTTGAAGGGGTCGTCGTCAAGATTGGGCTCCTCCTCGTCGTCACTGACGTAGATGGCACCAGGTACAATGTGTGGTCCAGTGGCAGGCCTGGCCGGTGGCGGCGGGCGCTTGGGTTTTCCTGGTGATGGCACGAAAATAAGTACGGGTTACAATTAGTAAAATTGGATAGCTGAAGCGTGTAGAGGTGTGTAATATTATCGCTGGGGATTGGATCTGCTAGATATCTGCTGTGGGTCCTCAAAGTATAACGCCTCAAGTATAAGTATATCTCGTATATCTCCCCAATGTCGCCCCCTAAGATCAATCAAATTTTGTAAGAAAATAGTGAAATTTTGTAAAAACCATGGGTTCAATCAATACGAGAGTCAGAATACCAAAAAAATACAGTACATTTTTATTGAAAATAACTATCTTCAAAAAAAGCATTAAATATTTCCATAATTAAACTTCTCTGAATGGAATCCCACAAAAAAAGAAACATATTTTGGATGACATATTTCGTATGTAATGAAGGATTATGGAGGTATAGTATAGTGTAGTGCCAGTCTGAAATACAGTACAATAAGAAGACACCGACACCTGCAGAATAATATACAATTATCATATACATATGTATACTTCAATGCCGAATCTGGTTGAGATTGGATTACTCGTAAAGCCAGAATGAACAGTCGTTTGGCTCCTTCAACACCTGGTCTTCGAGCAACGAGCTTTCGAGATCATGTTCCGATATAGTACATACAAATAAAGGAGATGATTATCTTTCGAAATTCCCTGAAAGAACCTCTTGTGTTTCGAGTGGCAAGTGTGCTGAGATATGCGTTCAAGTTTGAAGGGTGGATCCATGGATGATAGCTCACCTGGTAGTGGCTCCTCGGACTCTGGCTCCGCCTCGAACTCGGCCCAGCTGGCCTCTGCAACCGCTTCGGCGAGTACGGAGACTGGCGGCAGCACGACCTGGTTGACGATGGTGATGTCCTCCTTTTTGGTGAGCGACTCGGCGGCTAGTTCGGCGAACTCGTCGTCTTCCTCGTCCTTGAGCGCGTCGAACTCGGCTAGATCCGGATTGAGGGAGCTTCCCTGAAGCTCTGCGAGCTCGGCGTCCTCGTCCTCCTCGTCAACCCTTTGGGGCTTAATCAGATGCAAATGGAGCGAGACACTCAAATCGATGGGGCCCGCCGATTCGGTGAGGTCGTCGTCGACGAGATCGTCGAGCAGATTGTGCTGCGGCTCAGCGTTGGCGGCTGCGGCTAGGAGATCCGCCTCGGGATCGGCTAGCTCTACGCTCTCGCTGAGCAGAAGATTCTGGATGCCCTTGCGGAGCTTGCGCTTGGGGTTGGCTAGGGCTAGGGCGTGATCGCGGTCCACGCGGCCTGAGAGTACCTCTACGGCAGCACCGAGGCTGACGAGCTTCTTGTTGCCCTTGGCCTTGTCGGCGCCAACAATGACCTTCTCCGCGTAGGCGGTGTCGAACGGATCGGGCCCGTCGTCCGCCGGGTACACGGGCGAGTCGGGTACAACGGCTAGTTGGAGTTCTCCGCTAGTGATCGCCTCGATGTAGTCGGTGGCAAAGATGTCATCGACCTCGTCCTGCTGGTCGTCCTCCGAATCTGAGAGCTCGACAACGGCCTCTGCTAGCTTGTCGCGCTGTGATTCGATTAGTGCGAGGCGCTGGCGCTCACGCTCCTGGCGCTGGGCCTCGAGACGGGCTGCCTCCTCCTCCTCCTGTTTCTTCTTCTCGGCCGCCGAGGGTAGGCGTTGGTAGAAGGACTCCTTCTTGATGCGATCGAGCTCGTCCTGGGTCTTGTGTAGGATGGTATCGACGCCCGATGTAAGCGCCTTAAACTTGGCCCATTCCTCGTCGCCTCCGCCGCCGCTGGAACTCTGATGCTGATGCTGATGGTGGTGGTCGTCAGTGGAAGTGCTTGCAGCACCGGATTCGGCTAGATGAGCGTCTCCGACAGAGGATCTGTGGTATGTGGCGCCTGCGGCACCCTCGACGTCCGATGCGCCACCGTCCGATTCGCCAGCGTCCGATTTGTTGGCCGCCGCCTCCTGCTTGGCCCTGAGCTCTCGTTTGTACTGCTCGAGCTCCTCTTCGGTGAAGAGTTCTTGGTCCTTTTTCGACTTCTTCTTTTTCTTTTTTAGGCCCTTTGGTAACTTAAGCATTATCTAATTGCGGAGACATCGAGATCGGTCTGCAAATATTTATCGAGAACTTACTCCCACAACTGCTTCAGAAGCTTCAGAAGGATGGCTGGATACTGGATTACTGGATACTGGATACTGGACAGAGCTAGGGGTTTGCTTCTACGTAGGACTGAATGATGGACTGACTGGGTAGGTGGTAGTGGTGGTGGTGATTTGGACACTGCGGGAGAGGGGATACTTATTATGTAAGCTACTCATCGACAAAGGCGCACATGTACGTAGGTGCATCTGCATCTATGTACATCCCGAATACGAGTCGAATTGCGCACTAATTGATTGATTGATTGGTTGATGATTCAGTTGCGGATACACATTACATTGACATTTAAAGAGTACATATATGTATGTATGTAGTATATATAGGAAGTGGCGATTTTTTCTACTGGAGTCACTACCCAACCCCGCAACCCGTCTACCGTCTACCGCACTCACCGCCGCACCAAATGTCCACTGGAGGCTATAGAGATTGACACCCACGGAAAATCTACACTCGACTGTGCTATTACTTCTGGGAAAATCCATACGAAATTTCCTATTAAATCTGTGTAGACCTACAACGGGATATTGAATGTTCCCTGTTTCCTGTACGTGCGTGCTCCGTTCCGTGGAAAAAATGTACACGGTCTCTCCTCTCCTCTCCTCTCCTCTCCTCTCCTCGATTCTCTTCTCTTTTTGACAACGAGCTTCCTGGCGGGGCTCTGCGTCTCTGAATGTGGTGTACCTACACACGAGCTTTCTCGAACAAGGAGAGCTTTTTCACCACAGAGCCACAGCCACAGAGCCGCAGAAACAACAAAAACGCTAAAAAAGCCGAGAAGAGAACTCAACACAAAAGTCAAAGCTCACATTGGCAGGCAATAGATTTTCGCCCACTTGCACTTACTGTTAAGTGACTTTTGACGGGCACTTTGCCAACACTAGCACCAGCACCAGCACCAGCACCCGAACAATTACATATCTATTATTTGCGAAGGAATGCCACAATCATTGGGGGTCATCGATAATTGTTTTGCAATTGGTTGAATATTTCAAGATCAGACAGAGAGGGAGAGAGATAGAGAGAGGGGTATCCCTTTTCAAGGATGCTCTGCCGCATCATCATGCAGATGATGTACATATGGGGCACAGAGAGAAGCAGGACAGCACGCTTCTCTGCGAATGGGGGGCAGTAGTATCTCTTACATCTCGGTTGTTGTTGCCTATGGCTTTTAGTGTGAGGGAAAAATCGATGATATAGAGACGCACTTTGGGGCATAGAGAAAAAGAGACAGGAAGACAGAGGGAGCGAGACAGAGACAGAGTACGTTCCCACGCACGTACATAGAGGTATATATGAATATATATGTATATTATGTACATACAAGTGTTACACGAGTTTTCCTACTCAACTTTTCTTCACACTTTCCCCGACACAGTCAAAATGAACATTAAAAAAAAGGTGGCACACACTCATTGGAGAAATATTTAATGGGGTTTTTTTTTAGCAATATTCAACACTTTCGCTTGATTTTTGGTTAATTTTTGGTTGATTTTTGGTTGATTTTCGGTTGATTTTCGGTTCGATTTTCTCTGAAAATTATGCAACTTACGTCTCACTCTTGCGCACTTTATTGGGTGAAGGGGGGAAATTCAGGAAAAACAATTGCTTTCGTACGTTCGTTTCCTCGTGGCACAGCACATACACTTCTTGCCGAAAATCAATGAAATTTCTTGAATTTACTTTAGTTCTGGATATTTTTTAGGCGGAGGTATTGAGCGTTGAGCGTGGTTTTGGTTTGGTTTGATTTTTGGGTTTTGGTTGTCTGCTGGCTCTTTTTTATTTACTTGGGGGTTTTACTGCCGTAATCTCCTCGATTTGTGTTACCTCTGATTTGAACTATCGGGAAATCTAGCACAGAATGAGTAAAATGTCATGAATTTCCATAGGAAGTGCTTTCAGAGCCGTGCCACACACAGTATCCTTCAAAAAGCTGCGGCCCAAAAAAGCTTCTACGCGAAAGCGCCCCAAAAGCACACACACACAAATACACAGCGGAGCGCACAGCTGACGTGGGGGTTTGTGTCCCTCTCCCGCAGGAACTCTCTGTTGCTCTCCAGAATAGCTCCAGAAGCTTCGAAAAAGCTTTACCGCAGGAAAAACAATAAGGAACAATAGCAGCTTCCGTCCGTCAGAGACGTCATCGTTTGACACTTGACATTTGGAATACACGAAGCACGACGCACGACCCACGACGCACGAATATCGCGACGCGTGCGCCTCCCCAAGTGCCCAGCCCTGGAGAAGCGCCAAACGTTCGAAACGGGGGCTCTGAGTCTCAAGAACCCTAACTCAATGCTTTGCAGGCATCATAAGTTCTATAGCGATGATAAATACCAATCAAATTGGAAAACCTTAATATTTCAGAAGGTTGCCTAGATTTGTGACCGAGCTCTGACTTTATAATTATAAAGGCAGAAAAGGTAATCCATTAAATATACATATATGTCCATTCTGAAATCGCAATTGACAGCATCCCATCCTATCCCAAGAACAGCTACGACGCGCGACTACGAGTATTCTCCAATAAATGTCTATATGTATATCTACTGCGAGTATATTTTGATACCATAATGGAAAGAAAGAGGAAGCGGGAAGGCGAAGCGGACGAAGATAATAAGGCTCCCAAGAAAGAAGAACGGGAGAGCCTCCCGACTGCTGAGGTAAGCCAAATCGCATGCAAGCAGATCTTGCTAATGATTAACTGAAAACATTGACACTAGACTGAATCCCAATTAGTACGTCCACAGGAAACAAAAATCATCATAATTTTAGCGCTTAAATGGAAACAAATGCAATCTCAAATGCTTTCGAACACTTAAAAAAATGCAAATGCGATCCCATGCATTCTCGCCAGAATCCATTGCATGAAGCACATCTTACACCCTTCCGAACTATTAACGGAAACTATAGCCAATAGACTTCAGCAAACAATCAACCCGTCTCGCGTGGTAGATGGGCTCTGAAGATGGTTCTGCGTGAGGAGAGCATCCGTATTATCAGGAACCTTCAAACTGGAGACGTCTTAACGATTAAAAAGTAAAACAAAAACTGAAATGAATCGGAATATTTTGATCAGATTTTTCAGACATTTGGTATACAAAATGCTTCCAACTTGAGCCTCTGAATGCGTAAAAATAAATAATAATAAATGGAAATATGAAAAAACTACCTGATTCCATAGAAAACACTTTCAGCTAAAACTTGATATCAAGAACAAATTAATAAAGGGAAAAGGAATGGAAGGTTCAAGAAAAAAAGCAATGCTTTAGTTGCAGTCCTTCACTTGCTTAAAAATCATCTTTAAAAAGGTCCTAGAATGTTTTAATGAACATTTTAGGGCCCGCTAAACAACAAACAACATCAGATAACGGGCATTAAAAACCCTTAATCTATGAAAAATCTGCCAAAGCAACAACAAGTAATCTCTAATTAATAATGGTGAATATTCATTGTAAAATAAGTTAGTAACATCAGAGAGTTACCCTAAACTGCCACCACAAACTGGCATGCATATGACAAAGAATTGGAGCTAGTAATTTCAGTTGTTCTACAGATTATCTTACTTACTTACTGACTAAGATAAACTAATTATTAAAATAGTAATACAGGAGAGGGTTACAGCTGTAAATTGGAAGAAATAATGATGGCCCAGGGGTCTACATAGGAATCGAAACAAATTAAACTTACACAAAGGTGCGTGTGTGTGCGTGCGTACGTGTATGGGTAAGTGTGTGTACTCTTATCGCCCCTAGAGGCTCATAATGGCGATAATGTGACGCTTTTGGATTAGTTGTAGTTGCGATTGTGGATGAGTCAGTGCTGCATTAGACGGCGATAATGTCAAATAGTAGTCGTAGCCGGCTCCCCGCATATCTTATCTTTCGGGCCGGGGCTTCGAGCTTTGTCACACAATTATTGGTAGGTGGGCATGGCCATGACAGTTGGAGCAGGAGACACAAGAAAATGTTTTCCATATCGTATGCAAACAGTCGCATGCCTGCTATCCCGCTTTCTCGCGTGCGGCTGTCGCATAGCGCCGTCCTCTTCCTTTTCGTGCGTCGCCCTCAGAATCGGATGTTTGCCTTGAACCGGCAGCTGTTGAACCACCAGGACTGGATGTCGCCGTACACCTGGGACCTATGTCGCTGAGCGGACGAGTGCAGACGGGCGCAAAGGTCGCAGAAGGGGGAGACGGTGACCAGGCGGTAGTGCTGGCGCCACCAGAAGAAGCTCGTGTACTCTTCCAAATCGCCGGCCACGAAACGCATGTGCTCGGCCAGCTCGTGGGCGCTGTCGAAGCGATTCGCGTCGATGTAGGAGTGCGGTGGCAGGAAGCGCGTGTAATCGGCCCCGCCAAACACCACGGGTATGATGTGGCGCTCCAGCACTCCAAAGAGCTTCTCCGTCACATAGTCCTCGCACAGCGAGTTCTCAAAGGCCAGATAGAACATGTAGTCCGTGTCCAGCATCTCATCGCAGTGCGGGTCGCCGCGATCACAGCTGGAAGAAACAACAGCGTTAATGTGGACTCCACGATGGCATAGGGGCATGAGGAAGATGGTGACTCACCTAAGGGGTCCGCACTTGCCGTATACGTCCACCTCTAAATGCTCCTGCAGGGCCGCCGTTAGGTTCTCGCGCCGAGACAGCGTCTGGCAGTGGGACACGAACCATGCTGCCATCTTGGTCTTGCTCTGCCACAGTCCCTCTGCCCGGGTGTCGTTCCAGGTACCTTTTGTGGGCGGCTGGCGCCAGTGGGGCTGGGCACTGGGGGCCACAACGGCGCCCGTTTCGATGTCCTGCAGCTGGCCATAGGGCCACACCACATCCGAGTCAAGGCGATTGGTCATGGTGAGGTTATAGAAGTCCCGCTCGTCACTCAGCCGGTGCTTGGTCTCGCCAGCCGACTCCATCAGGGCGAACACATAGGCCTGGTGCGGACTGCGGCTCGCGGGCACAGGCTGCAGAAAGGGGAAATGCTCGGCCATATGGAACACAATGGCGTCGTACAGATCCAGAGCGGGCAGGAAGTCATGGCTGTTGGTCACCTCGCACTGATACACGGGACAGTGCAGGTCCTCGCGCAGCTCCTGCGGCCCCAGCGAGTCCGCGGGCAAGCCCCAGCGCGGATCCCCGAAGAAGCTGCTCCACAGCAGAATGGAGCGCGTTCGGGAGCTCTTCTGGGGGTTGCTCTCCAGGTACTCCTGCAGAATGTCATACTGGTGGATCAACGGCGAGTGGTTGAGCTTGTACAGCACTAGCAGAGTGCCCAGGAGGAAGACAGCCAACAAAAGCAGCAACAGCAGCTGGGTCGGGCGCCGACACCCATTGACGATCCGACCTGAACGAGCAGCCATTGACAATTGGCATTAGCTGGTCTTCAGATAATGCGACGCCTTCCTCCACCGCGATTGTCGTCGTTCCCCTACCTTCTGACGGCCGAGGTGCGAGGGCGATAAGGTAAGTAGTATTGATTGCTTTGCGGATAAGTGGAGAAAACACACATTGAACGGCAGGTAGGCGTACAGCCCTTATCGGTACCAGGCACCCAGGGTGGGCAAACATTTTTTGGCGTCTCCTTCCACTGACCATTAGATGATTAGAGGGCCAGCGAATGCCACAGATTGAGGGCTGCCTGGAGCACGCGGGTGAGCACGGTGAACAGGGCCACGAATCCGTGTACGAGGAGCGTCCTCAGCAGAATCAGCAGCTGCCTCATGGTTCGTCCAGTGCTGCGGAGCAAATGAAAGTATCAACGAACTGCAGCACCGAGCCTCTGAACCGAAATCGGAACGGGAGGGCGCAACGGCAACCCACCTGTGGAAATATCCTCCAATCACCCAAGTGTTTACCTGGGAACGCAAACACTTGAGTAAGTCGACCCCGGGGACTGGGCAGCAAGTGTTGACCCGCCATTGTGGAGAAATCTCTGTCAATTACTTTAATGGAAAGAGCCGCACTACCGCTGCACTCCTGCAATGGATTAAAATTAATGGTTTATTGTCATGACTGGGGAAAATCACACATTTTCTACTCCACTTTGATTGCGCACTTACAAATTGTCCACGCGCCAGTCCTCCCAGTCCTGCCACCACCATCATTAGCCGCGAATGTGTATATAATTAATTATGAATTAGTTTTCCAGCCCGGTTGCCGCATATGCATGGTACGTACCCATTCCTCACCCCAAAGCGGCAATGTTGATTACCTGTGAGATGTGCATCGAAACAAGGGAGCAGGGGATTACACATGTGTCTAAAGGATCCCCATATTCGTGGCTTACTTGTTCTTTCCATCGATGTCTATAACTTCGATACGCATGGTTTATCGGACTGTTGGTCCAGGGCCAGCGCCGTGACTCCTTCCAGTTCCACACGCTCATTGCCATCGACTCGGGCCCGAATGATGGCCTGATGGCTGCCGACATCTGTCGAGAAGAGCAGACGCCTCGCCTTCATGGACATGCCAGGACACCGGCAGCGGCACATTTGGGCAGTCTGTCGTAGCTGGGGGGAATGCAGGGCACGTTCTTGGCGAGGCTGCGGCTGGCCCGTCTTGATAAATGTCCGCGGTGCTCCAGTCGCTCCAGTACACTTAGTCCTAGCTGGCAACCAGTATCCGACGCTTCTTGCCATCCAGTAGAGGCGTCTCGTCTCCTGGTCGAATATGAGCTCCCGGCCATGGTTGCAGCTCGGATACGGCCATCGTACGCCATCCGCTGCACATAGGAGCCATTGGGAAAGGCCCGGAAGATGCACTTGGTCTTCTCGTCAGCCCAGTAGATGCACCGCTCCGCCACCGACACGTCCAGGGCGTGCGCATCGCCCACATCTTTGAAGGGTATCGCTCGTCGTCGTGATTCCGCTCCCCTCGCTGAACTCGGTCGAGATGCGGCCAATGTGCTCCTGGCGCGAGAACAGCAGGAAGGCGGCAGGCAGCACGCAGGGGGGTCGCGGGGCCGGTACAGGCAGAGGTGGAGCAGGCCCCATTCCCCACGGCACACGCGACCTTGTCGGTCTTTCCATCGCACCAGCCACCAGAATCCAGTCGCCAGTCGTCGTCTCCAATCGAATCTGAGCTCCCGGCCATGATTATAGCTCCGATCCGACGTAGGGAGTCCGAGGGGAGGGGGGCGACCTCTGTCCGGCTGTCCCCTCCAGGATGCGCGCCCTCGGCATTGTCCACTCTGCACAGGAATTTTCCTTTTTTCCGACACGTGTCGACGAAAACAGCTGTTCGGCTGCACCAGCGCTCCCGTTTGGGCACAGGTATACCCTATTTCGTTGATATACATATATGAAAAAACTGTTTTTCTAATTTGTTTCAAAACGTAATTAATATAGAAATGAACTCAGATTATTATGTTTTGGACATATTAATGCATATGATTAGGGTCTTTTAAATATACATATGCCGATCCCGATACCCATTCTTGGTCTCTGTAAGAAGACCAAACCCTTCAAAATATCGTTGAAATACCTTTAAAACAGAAACTGACTAGTTTTGGCCCTTATTGGTGCATTAGATGACAAACATTTTCTCAGTTCCATAACATCCATTTCCCAGGGTATGCAAAATGTTGCTCAATCCGCGCAATGTTGTGGAACAATGCTGCTCGATTTTACGGCACATGAGTCTGGCCCATACAAATTAATGCTGACAGCAACATAAAACGTAAGAAAACGTAAGTGAGTATGGAATGCGCCGTAATACGGCCTCACTCTAAAAAATACAGATATACCGTAAATATACCGGCTCATTTTGGACGCCAAAAAATACCGAAAAGTATAAAAAATACCGTAAACGGTCACCCTGCACTAAGTGGTGCATTCGACAAGAGGGTGGTCCACAGCGCGTCTTAAAATATACTGGAAAGTACTAGAAAATACTATGAAAAGTGTACAATTTGCAAGGTGTGTGAGCTAGACATGGTGGCAAGAAAATCGCGTGACGTCTCATTTTATGGATCCTCCATGACCAAAACAAAATTAAAAGTTTAAACTAAGCCAGTAAAAATTGATTAAGGAGAACAATGAGCTCGCGTAGGAGCAGGAGCGGTCCCACCCTGAACTTCAAGGCGGTGCTGCTGGGCGAAGGTGAGTCCTGAAATCCTACTCCACTTTTCAGTAGACATTCGATGCGACTACGATTACGATTCTTGCAGGCTGCGTGGGCAAGACGTCGCTGGTGCTGCGCTACATGGAGGACAAGTTTAACCCGCAGCACCTGAGCACTCTGCAGGCATCGTTCGTGACCAAGAAGGTGACGCTGCCCGATGAGCGGCGGGCCCAGCTGAACATTTGGGACACTGCTGGGCAGGAGCGCTTCCATGCGCTGGGCCCGATCTACTACCGTGGCTCGGACGGAGCGCTGCTGGTGTACGACATCACCGACCAGGACTCCTTCCAGAAGGTCAAGTCGTGGGTGCGCGAGCTGAAACAGATGCGCGGCACCGAGATCTCCCTCATCATCGTGGGCAACAAGACTGATCTGGAGGAGCAGCGGGCCATCGGTTACGAAGACGCCCGCCAGTACGCCCAGACGGTGGGCGCCCAGTACCTGGAGGCGTCAGCCAAGGAAAACGAGGGCGTGGCCGAGATCTTCGAGCTGCTCACCCAGCTGATGTTGGAACGTCTAAGCCAGCGGGAGCGGGACGCTGAGCCCCCGAACCTTCTGCGGTTAGATGCGAGCGACGCCGTGAGTGTGTCGGAAGGAGAGGAAGGGAACGGTGAAGACACTGGAACCGGCCAGCGTTCCTGCTGCGGCATCTAGGAGCTGCGGGAGGCGGGGGTCCGCCCATCGCCGTCCATTGTGATAATATGTAATGTACCAGTAGATCTGTAGCCGATGTTTGTCTGTATATACTATATAGATATATATATATAATTACTTATATATGTATGATTATGTTACCAAATTATCGTTTGTTTAAGTGGTCCCCGATGATCTTTATTTGTTGTAATCCCCCTATTAACCCCAATACCTGGATTAACCATTAAAAATTGTTCTGATATGATTCCACGATTCCCTATTTAGGACTTTTAATATTACATTTTCGCTCTTTGTGTGCGTCAAGCAATAAAATATCTTGTACTAGCACTTACTTATCTGCATTATATTTGTGAGATAAGAACCTCCCCTCCCCAATCATCAGCTGCGGGTAGAATTTCGCATGAATTGGAATCTTTATCTGGAGTGGGCTGCTCGCTGTGGGCACTCTTTCGCCCGCCACGGTATGCAAGCAGTTTACTATACGCTATTCATCACTCATTCGCCTTCCACTGCATGCAAGCAGTGCACTGCGTTCAGAACTGCTTTGTTAGTTTAATTTTAAATTTGAAAGTATGAAAGTGCAGTATATATCTCGGGTATATGCTAAAGAGAATCGTATTTATGATTGTAAATTAGTATCAATAGGTACAAAATTCTTATGAACCTCTCAAATACTCCAAGGTTTTAAGTAAAAGCAGTACAAAAAGAGCCCACTAGCTAGAGGGCTGAAAAAGGTTTTGTACATTTGTTATGGTTTAATAACAGGAAGAATTCCTTCACAAAATGGCAGTTCCGATTCGTTTCAACACAGTTGACAGTTCTGGCTGAATTTCCGCATTCGTTTTCCTCATTACGCAGGCTCCGAGGCCCAACAATGAGACGCACTGACACCAGAACCCTTTCTACTCTCGCCGCCTGTCTCTCTTTCGCTTTTGTTTCATCTCTCTAATTCCCTTGATGTAAGCGACATTCCAGCACAGCCAGAGGAGTATCCCAGGGCAACACGCAGATGAGAACGCGATTGGGATTGGGGATGCCATGTTGGGGGGGTGCTGCGCACTTCTGTTGTTACCGGTTCGGCTCGTTCGGGTTCTATTGCTCTCGATGCTCCACAAACGAGTCACAATTGAGGCATCACAACGTAGTGACACTTTTCACACGCTCAGAGGTCCCCCCTGCGCCGCTCCATAGCACGTCCACCCTTCAGAGAACGATGGGATAGAGAGATCTAAACATTTATAATCTGTTTTGCATTATTGAAATACAATATCCTAGCAAATTGTTTATTATATCAAGGAATGATAGGGATAGTGCTTAAAGGCATGACACACATTATCCATGAGCCTTCAGGCTTCAAATGGGACACGATACGCTGCCAGCTCTCACAAGTCCGGAACGGAACACGGTCAAGTGCGTAGTTATGAATCCCGGCTCGGTTCAATTGTGTTTGACAACCACCGTTCGTTCCCCCTCTCCTCTGTCCTACATATGTCTGTGCACTGCTTTTGCTTTGTTCTCTTCTCCAGCAGCTGCGCTCTCGCTGCCCTGCTCTCTCTCTCTCTCTCTCTCTCTCTCTCTCTCTCTCTCTCTCTCTCACATTCTCTTTGATACCAGAGGAGAGGCTGTGCTGTGGGTACTGTGGGGCTGTAGCCGTTGATGTCGTCGTCTAATGGCGCAGCTTTCGCCTCGTACTGCCGCCCCGAACCGATGGCGTTTCATTCTAGAATTAAGTGCCGCCGCAGCAGGAGTCGACTACTGCGACAGGCGCTCCGTGTAAGTGTGTGTTTTTGTCCAGAGTGTGTGAGTGTGTTGGGTGTGTTGGTTGTGTGTGGTGTGGCCCCGTAAAGCCCGTTTGTATATGCCCCGGACCGAAACCGAAACCGAAAAGGAAACCGACAGCGAAACAGAAACCATAACTGAGACCGAGTCTCGCGACTCATGCGAAGGAACCGAACCGCAATGCAGTGCGAAGTGCAGAGTGCAGTGTAAAAAACGGAGGAGAAGATCCAGGAAGAGGGAAAGGCTTCTAACGTCTAACGGTCTGTCTATTGGCAAAAAAGGAGATAAATTCCTTAATTTGTCAGAACAGAACAGATCAGATTGGTGTCCATCTGGCGGTACAAAGGGATACGGTACGGTACTCTCTCCTTTGAACAGGAGTAACGGTATGCAGCAATTTGAACTGTATTCATCCGGTTTTACGGGAGTGTGCGTGCGGGCGTGTGTTTGTGTGTGTGTATGGCTTTTAAAGGGCTTCCATCCAGTATGTACTGCCATCCAATGGATTCTTCACGGTATCCCTCCAGGAGGAGTATATGGGCTTTCTAACGGTCCCTCATAACGGTCTTCAGTGTGTATGTGTGTGGGTGTTTTTTTTGCTTGTTTTTTTTCTGTGCCGCAAATAAGTCTCATTGGTTCTTGTTGTTTGCCAAAAAATCCCTGCCCTACAAAAACATACGCAGTATCCGTATCCGTATCCTCTTTTTGAGGGGTTGCACACACGCACACACGCACAGCCTCATATGTACATGATATTCCGAAGTTCACTCCGAACACACACACACAACCCCGCAGCGGAGATTCCCACCAAACAAACAAACAAACAGCAGCAACAGCAACAACAAACAGAAAGAAAATAGAGAAATAGAGCAACAACTTTTCCAGATAACCGTTTGGCCTGCTCCTGCTCCTGCTCCTGCTCCTCCTGGTCTGGCTCCCGTTGCTGTTCCTGTTCCGGCTCCTGTTCGTGCCCCTCCAACCCCTTCCAAATTAATGCTCTCTCCTCCTCCATCCCCCCTGGCGGTGGTTAATCAAACTACGCACTTACACGCACACATCTGTAAAGCAGGCACTGTTGCAGGACTTCGTACATATGTATTTGTGTGTATAGGATTTGTTGCGTAAAAAGTCAAATGCGCAGCAAAATGCAATGCCACGCCCCATGACGCCCTCGACACAGCTAAAGAGAGAGACATAGAAAGGGAGAGAGATGGAGTGAGAAAAAGAGATTTAGTGGAGCAGCAGTGCAAGCAGTAGAAGAAGCAGTACAACAAACTAGAGTGTGAGTGGAAGCAGGTTTAAAATGAGGAGACATGGAGACATGCAAAGTGCAAGCAGTAGAATGAGTAGAAAATCGGTAAAGCATGCAAGCAGTGGTGAAAGCCGAAGCCGGGCTTTTGATTGGAAAAGAGAGCAGGAGTGGAAGTAAAAGCATGAGTGGGAGTTGAAGTGGGCATGGGGAGTGAGAGTGGAAGTGGAATTTGCAAGCTCTGGAGTGAGAGAGCGAGGATGCTGACTGCTGGCTCTCTCTTTCTGTATGGGTGTGTGTGTTTGTGTGTGAGCTTCCTGACACTCTTCCTGATGTTTGTGTTCGTGTGTGCATTCCAGGGATACACACACAATGTGCGTGCAGTGAAATGGAGTGAAAACGAGTGACCAGAAAAACAGCAAAATAGCAAAAACAGAACAAAAGAAAAGAAAAGCAAGAAAAAAAAACAGCAACAGTCGCTGCGCCCAGGCAACAGAGTGCGCCACCAATGTGAGCCGTGAGTGTGAAGGTATTTCCCCTAAAAAAAAAACAAAAAGAAAAAAACAGCACGAAACCCCATAGTAAAACTAAAGAGAGAGTGAGAGATATGGATAGCTCGCCGGATCTGTCGCTGAAGCTGCGACGTGGCTCCAGTGATTCACGGGACAATTTCTACATGGATTTCGCCCAGGGCATCGACTCGGACATCGAGGAGGTGGACACCAACGCGACCACCACGGCCGCCGCCAGCACAAGCACCAGCACCAGCATCACCACAGCGGGGGATGCACCACTGCCACCGCCGCCCCTCCCAACAGTCTCACTCAGCGAGGAGATGCTCCTGCTGGTGGCACCGCCACCACCGCCGCTGGCGCCGCTGCTTGGCCAGCCGCTGCCCACGCTGACGGAGGCGGAGGACATGCCGCCGACGCCCACACCGCCGCCGATGATCGGTCATCCGCAGGCGGAGCCGCAGCTCAGCCTGGACTTGAGCCTCGATATGGAGATGAGTCTGGACGCCACCTCGCCGCCAGGATCGCCCATCAATTCGGTGCTGGAGCTTGAGCTCATTCCACCGCCGCCCCTTTCCCCCATGGAGGATGCCGGCCTGCGGACGGACGTAGACGACGATGGCGAGGAGACGGACGATGCGGAGGAGGCGGCAGCTGTGCCGCCGATGCTCATCCCCCCTCCCCCCATGACAGAGGAGCCTAGGGATCGGGCTGATGGTGCTGCAGCAGATGAAGAGGCAGAGGACGAGGCTGAGGAAGGGGAGGATGAGGAAGATGATGATGATGAGGACAAGTCCACACCGCCACCACCATTGCCGCCACTGCCCTCAAATCTGTCGTATGTCCAGGGCAACGTCACCCCGCCCCTGACCAAATCCCCATCGAACTCACCCTCGCCACCGGTGACGCCACCGCCCTGCCCGGAGCTGAATCTCACGCGAATGGTGTCGCCACCGGCGCAGCACATCAGTCAGATACCACCACTGACGCCCTCCTCCGAGAGCGACCAAGAATCACAGCCCGATTCCCCAAATCCACGATCTCTGCCAGAGCCAGAGCCAGAACCAGAGCCAGAGCCCGAAACGCGAGAGGAGGAGGAGCCAGAGCAGGAGCAGGAGCCCAAGGAGGAGCTAGAACCAGAACCAGAGCCCGTGAGCGGCAGGGATTACAGCCGGTCGCTGGACAACGAGGATGAGTCGACCACCATTACCACTCCACCGAGCAACGGGTATTCGGCCTCCTCGATCATTGCCCCACCGCCAGAGCACTTTGCGGAGTTGGATGAGGACAGCGTGGGCGGAGGAGCAGGACGTGGGCTCTTCATTCCTCCGCCGCCCCTGAGCATGGACATGGAGGAGCCAGAGCCCTCCGAGGAGCCTATTACCCAGGAAGACGACGAGGATCCCCTATCCGTGGACAGGGAGGAGGGACACGCCGACAGCATCAGCTCCCCACGAGCCGCGAGCATCGCCAGCGGCGGCATCATGTCCACCAGCGGGGCCATAGCGGCCATGGCAGCCAATGCCGCTCCTGGCAGCGGCTCTCCCAAGCTCTCGGAGAGTCGCGGTCCCAGCCGCACCGGCAGCCAGCGCTCCGCCACTGCAGCGGGCATCCTCTCGCCACAGGCATCCCTCAAATCGCAGGCATCCATCAAGTCGCAGTCGCAATCCCACTCCCAGTCGCACTCGCAATCCTCCGGCAAGAGTCCCGTGGCATCCATCAAGTCCAGCTCCCAGCGTGTCCAGAGCCCGCCCGTGGGCGAAGGGGCCCCAGTCATGCCCTCGCCGCCACTGATGCGCAGTCCGCCGCCGGAGCAGGCCCGTCAAATGCACAGTCCGCCAAGGATCACAACGCCGCCACGCGTCTGCAGTCCTCCACTGGTCAGCAGTCCACCCAAGCTAGCGGAGACGGCAGCAGCAGCCGCCGCAGCCGCCGTCACAGTCACAATCAAGGATCAGTCGATCGTCAGGTAAGCCACAGCCCAGAGGCGGGAGAACCCATAGAAGATTTGATTTGTAGGATGGGTGGTTGATTGATATTTCAATCATTTGGATGGGTGATCACTTAAAGGAGATTCCTTTCAATCGATGGAATTCTTTGGTGATCATTAATCGATATTTGAATACGGATATGAATATATGGAGATTGCTTGGGCTTAAGGGCGTTAAGGATCTTTTTGATTCGATTTGGAACTAAGATTCAAAAACAGATTCAAATTAGAGTTGTGGAATCGATGGGACTCCGCGAAAAGCTCGATCGAATTCACATGGAATCACTGATGATTCTCACTCTAAAAAAATCGACCAGCCCCAAACGCCTATCTAATTGTCACATCGTGTCTGGCGTTTGGGGCGTCTATTATCCCCTGGCTGTCCTTGTTCTAGCACTTTACTAATTGCATAAGCTGCTCATCATCATCATCATCATTATGAGAAACAGCGGCAGCAGCATCCTCATCATTGCACTCAATCTCTCGCCTAACTACATTCCCAGCCAGGCAGCCAGGCAGCCAGGCAGCCAGTGCATTCTCATAGTCATCAGCCTCCATTAGTCGGCTGCTAATAGCTCTACAAAAACTGTTTAACTCGTACGACGACTCAACCCACAACCCTCAAACCCATCCCCATCTCTGTTATCCAGCATCCTCCATTTGATGTTGTCTGCATCCTTCTCCCCTTCATTCCGTTGTGCATTAATTAAACATCACGTTTCCAGTGCAACACCCTGACAAGTTTCACGCCGGAGCCAGAGTCAGAGCCACAGCCAGAGCCGGTGTCACACGACGTATGCGGCATTTGAAGTGCGTATACAGGTCCGTCTGCCTGCCTTCTGCTTTCTACCTTCTACCTTCTGCCTCCTGCCGGCCGCCACTCGATTGGCTTGACATGCACAAATTGTTGCAAAGCGGAATATATGCAAAAAAAAAAGAGCTACAGGATTCTCCCGGCCAGTCACCTGGGGACTCCTGCAGCACAATGTTGTCGTCTGGCCGTTGCCATGCCCATTATACGTATTACGGGACTAAATTGCCGCAAGGCACCGCAAACACCACACAACCACCACACCATCGCACCACCGCCCGCACTTAAGCACCACGCACCCTTAGCCCGACCGCAAAATAGGTCAATTGAAAGTTTGTTGTGCCTTGTGTTTGGACGAGTGCCACGACCCCAACAAGAGTCCGTCCCGTTTTTGTTTCAATTGCGGTTTCTGTTTGCCCTCTGTCCAGATGCAACGACTCCCAGGAACCAGGCTCCTCCCCACCCCTAATGGACATTTCCAGGCCAGAGTACGCGGCCAATTCTTTTGTATGTCTTGTGCCCCAATGAATACTTGATGCCCTCCGGCCGCAGACATTTTGAGAGAATACCGGGGAGTCAAGCAGAAAATTAGCAAATCAAATTGTAGTACGAGCAATTTCTAGACACGAAAGGTTAGGCGGGTCATCGGGGTCACCTGATGCGGAAAACCGAGTGTTTCCGGTCACTTTTTATACAAACTTCCCTGATCCATATTCCATTGCCATTTACATTCATTTAAGCGATCGATTTGTAATTGAGAATGCAGATATAGTTATATGTGGTCGGGGTCACCTATTCCTAAGAATGATTCAGTGATCACCAAGGATCTTAGCCCAACTTAACCATCATCTGAGATGAGGCTGCATTATATGTTCATATTGGTATTATGTCTTTGTATGTCCATCAAGTGGCTCAAGTGAACCGAAGAAACGCGCAGATCCGAACCAGTCGAAGGGCGGTGCCGAATGACCCTTAAAAGTGACCCCGACACACAATAATTAACTTTCAACCAGGTTCGCCTGGTTTGTCTTCACTGTACACCACTGCAATTGAATGGAAATGGAAGGGCCCTGAAAGGGTTCTGTCGCTTTTCGCCCTGTGTGACTTTGTGGCATGCACCCAGTCCCAGTCCCTGTCCCACTCCCACAGCACTACCGGGACTTTATTCATCATCCATTTATGCAACAGTCGAGTGAGAAGGAAGGAAGGGACCAGGACCTGGCTGGGGACTGTGGACTGTGACTGTTGTATCGTCGGGTTAACAACCCCAACGAAAAAAAGCAAAACAGGAGAATGACGCCATAAAGTATGCAGCACGCTTTTAGAAATCTGATTACAAGTGCGCTTGAGTGCATGACCCACACAAACCACAGGCTCACACACACACACACAATACACTCTGCAAGCACTCGACACGCGCTAGAGCATTGTTTGCCCCGTCTCCCGTGTGTTGCATGTTGGATTTTGCATGGTGGCGGCTGCGTCGCTAGCTGTGCTTTGGCCTCATGTCAAGGTTATTTGATAAGCCCCACCCCCCGCCCAGGGCTCGAACTTGTTGCGATTCCAGTTCCTTGTTTGCATTTGCATTCGTAATCCTCCATATGCCATAATGATGCCCTGCCCATGCTCTTCTCCGGAAGGAGAATCCCTTCAAGGATGTCAGTGATTTGAATGTGAATAAATGATGCGCGGCATGATCGCGGATGGCATGGGAGGCGTGTGAAGCAGGTATTCAGTCTCATATTTGGGGAGTGCTTCCTGAAGCACCACCTGTCAGGCAGCCCTCATGGGGGTCATGTGTAGTGTCATGCGGTGTTTGGTGTTCGGTGTGTGGGGGGCCCCGTCTTAATTAAACATCGCAATCACATGCACGAGCCCAGAGCATATTTCATATTTCCATTTGGCCAGCAAACAAACATTGTGTGCCATCCATCTAATGCCAGACAGACAGCTAGCTGCCTCTGCCTCTCCATTCAGTACGGTGCGGGCCAACAGTGGTATTCCATTCTGTTCTGTTCGCATTCAGAGTACAAAGAATACTTGCAAATGGATAAGGGGTTGTACATCCCATTCCTCAATGATCTGTTGCAACCATTCCAGTAGACTAGCTACATATGAGATACATTTTACAATCAATAATCCAAAGTACTACCTTCAATCTCTTGATTGTCGATCGCTTCAGCTTCAGCTTACACCCTCATTCTCTTCGTTAGAAGACATCAGAGCTCTCGTTCAGTCAACGATTCCTTACTATAGACCCTCCACAGAGCTTTCTTTGATTTTCTAGCCACCCGATCGCAGTTCCTTGGCTATGGCTATGTTCTACTGCTACTGAAACGCACTGTACCATACATATCTGTACAGATTTGTGCTCTGTGGCAGTAGACGACGATTAGTCTCAATTGCTTTCGAGAATGGGACAGTCGGGACGGGAACTTCCATTCATTAAGTTTCGTGTGTTTCTGTTTGCTATCGCATCTGTGATTAAGTGCAATTTACGAGCACACGCTGTGTGTGTATCTGTGTCTGTATCTGTGTCCCCCCCTTGGGAATGGAATACTTCTGTACGGGCGGGAATTGAGATAGAGTGGGTTCCCATCCGGAAGGCAACCTCCTAAATGTACCCTCATAAGCAAACAAGTCTATAAATACATAGGTGCTATTCTCGTATTCTCGACTTCCAGAGCAGTGATCCATCTAGATGCAGATCCAGATTCAGGTCTCAGCGATCTCAAAGTTCAACAGGCCATCCAGATCCAGCGAAAGTCAAGTTCAATGAATCGTAATCTTGCGAAGCAAATCCCGGAATATCTTTATACATATATGCTATATGTATACACTGAGAGGAATTTATGAAGGGATTTACGATAGAGAACAGAGAATATCTAACATAGTATATGGTTCTAGTTAAAGGAAGTGAAAGATATTTCAAGATAATAGGAGTCCTTTGAAGTCGAATATTCCCTGAATCATACTTTGTAATCTGGCCCCAGCTCCTAAGGGATTGTATGACTCCTTTTGGAGTAAGCAAACCCAAATTTCCATCCTACATCCCACATATATTCGCAAACTGGTGGCTTTTCCCCTCAGTGTAGCATACATATAGATACATTTGCGTGATCATTTGTGGTCCGTTCGCACAATGACGACGGAAATGTCTGGCATCCGATATAATGGAAGCCGCCACACACCCATGCACCGTATAAAGAGATGCTTGTACGTACCACTGATTCGAAGGGGGGATTCTGATTCCGATTCCGTCCATTATTTAATTAAGCCGTCTCTCCATGCGTCTGTATCTGTATCTGTGTGGTTGTGTCTGCAACAGTATCTCAATCCAAATCCGAATCGGTGGCTGCCTCTGCAAAACCGGGGACGGGCTTTGGGGCCATCATTCAGTGAACCAACGTCAACCATGCATTCCACATCCTCATCCATTTCCAGCAGCAGCAGCAGCATCGCCGAGCCACCGATCGCAACACTGAGCTTCCAGGATGAGCAGAAGACCCAAACGCCACAGCCACAGCCGAAGCCAGTGACCACTCAACCACGGACGCACTTCACCAGCAGCCACCATCATTACCATTTGCCGCACCAGTTCCAGCATCCGCACCACCAGAACCACCACACGCACAGCGTTCGCGTACCCACGCCCACTGTCCCCAGCAGCTATGCCCCGCCGCCGCCACCGCCCACCGATGACGGCTTCCCCGAGTACAGCCGCAAAAGCTATATCCCGGCTATGGCCGCTCCTGTCCTCAGCTCTTCGCTACTGTCGGCAGCCTCCGGCGAGGGTGCCACAGCCCATGTGACGGCGGCCATTTCGCCTGGCCGCGCATCGGCCCGCTCCGGCTCCCAGCACCATGTGACCATCGACGAGTCCAGTCTGCCGCGCAAGAGCAGCGTCAGCGTGGTAGAGGCCTCGGCCGGACCCAGTGGCATCGTCGTCGGTGGCGGCGATGGGGACGGCGATCGCGACGTTGGAGGCGGCGGTGGTGGCGGTGGCGGTGGCGACAGCTCCGATCCGCCATCTTCCCCTGGGAGCAGCTCCCAACAGGTGAGCGGCAGCCAGGCGGACGGACAGCTGGCCTTGATGTACCACTCGCACCAGCTAACCAATTATCCGGCCATCCTGCCGGCCATCAAGCGCACCCATCGGCCATCGTTCGTCTATCCGCCAATGCCCAGGGTCAAGGCGTAAGTTGAAGATGCCTCAGATCACAAAGATGATTCTCTCTAATTGATGTTCTCTATTCGCAGTGGCGATGCTCTGGCCACACTTTTCTCCGCCCTGTACGGAAAACTGCTGGTGGTCATGGGCGTGGCATTTCCCATGGCCGAGGTCATTTCCACTTACATACCGCCATCGTTCTACGAGGTGAGTGAACAGTGTTGGCAAATTCTTAGCAGTGTTTGAAAGGGAAATATAGAATGAGCAAAGTTTTGCATTCAAAAATAACTTCTTTCGGCTTGCATTTATCGAAATCAAAACGATTTCGTGCTTAGTTCATTCCAAGACATTAAACATATTGTTTGATTAGAAAACCATCTCTTCAGAACTGTAACTTCTTCAAATTTATGTCCGGGCGTCGTGCGATAGTGCCCTTCGGTTGAAAGAATTTCATTCGAAAATCCTCAACATGGAGCATTGGGACGAGCCCATTCACACATTTAAATTGAAATGTGGCCCAAATAGCTTTCAAATCATTTCAATAATCTCGTACTCTTTTCAGGTATACTATCTATATTTGTATATTGGTAGCATGATCTTTCTGCTATTCATGTACGCCACGTTGCTGTGGGGTCGCCCCAAGCTGCCAACACCCATGGGTAAGTGCCGCCTGCCACTGGTGAGGGGGAGATGAGATGCATCATATTAAATCCTTGTTTTTGTGCAGCCACATCACCGAATAAAACAACAAAGACCAGCACCTCGGACAGCATGGACGAGTCGGACACGGACAGCACCTCGAACCATCGGCGCCTGCCGCCGCCCATCCAGGTGCGGCGTCCATCCCTCCTGTCGCCCCTGGGCAGGCAGCATCACTATGGCAGCTTCTATCTGCGCATGGGCGCTGTGGGTGAGTGTCCCTGATGGTCCTCCGCCTCCTCTCAGTGTCCCCATGGAAACTAAGTGCCTTTTGAAACGTTCTTTATAGCTTTTGGGATTGGCAGCATGATCTATTCGGGTCTGGAGTTTGGGCAGTACTTTGAACTGAATCCGGACACCAAGTGCCACAATGTGCTGCTAGCATTGACGCCGGCCACCCGGATGGCCTTCATCTTCATCCAGATGTACTTCATCTTCCTGAACAACGAGCAGATCAAGGTTTACCGGTACAAGATCATCGCCCGCTTCGGCCTGATGCACATGATCGGCACCAATCTGGCCGTCTGGCTGAACGTGCTCATCCAGGAGACGAAGCACGAGATTCTCACCTTCTACAATCCGGAGAACCGCACGCTGCGCATCTCGCATCGCATTCCGGGCCACTCACGCGGGCATGCCGTCATTCCAGTGCACGATCCGACGGCGCACTTGAGGGTGGCTCGAGGCCTCAAGGGTCCCTACCAGATCTTCGAGTGCCGGCGCACCAACATCATCGGAACTTTGGTGCAGGACGCCTCGCCCTTCCTTTTTCCGTGCACCATCGAGTACTCGCTGATCTGCGCCGCCATCCTGTACGTCATGTGGCGCAGCATCTCGCGGCCACAGAGCAATCCGCCGCAACGCCCGGACATGATCAGCTCGCCGATGAAGCGCTCGCCCCACCACTACTCCGTGGACTGTGCACGGGCCCACAAGGGCCTCTTTGTGGGCATCCTCATCCTGGTGCTGACCATCATCTCGCTCATCATATTCTTTGTGCTGATCTCACGGCCGGAGTTCGTCTCGATGGCCGTCACCGAAGTGACCATCTGCGAGCTTCTCATCTACGGCACGGCCACGATCGCCACTCTGCTGGGGATGATCCAGATCCGGCATCTGCAGTACGATGCCTACCGCAGCTTTTCCCTGGACGATATCCTGCTGGTGGGCGCCCAGACGGGCTCCTTCCTGTACAACATTTTCACGGTGATCGCGGGCCACTTTACGCTGCGCAGCGACGACATGCTGGTGCCCATCAATGCCCTGGCCTCCATCGTGCAGACCGCCTGCCAGACGATGTTCATTCTGGACGCCAGTCGCCGCCAGGCCGTTAGCCCCGAACACATCCGCAAAAAGCCCGGCCGGGAGATTGTCACGTTCATGCTGGTGGTGAACCTGGCCATGTGGGCGATCAGTACGCTGGAGAAATCGCGCGCCGAATCGCATCCCATCCAGCTGAACTTCTACGGGCTGTGGGCCTGGACCATCATCACGCATGTGTCCATGCCGCTGGCCATATTCTATCGCTTCCACTCGACCGTGTGCCTGTGCGAAATCTGGAAACGGGCCTACAAGCTGAAGCCAACGTACATGTGAGAATTCGCCCGCTCGCGCATTCAGAGCATTGCGCAGCAGCAGCAATTCTGCGAGGATCTCAAGACGAACCTCTCCTACTGCTACTGCTCCACGACCCTCGCCGGCGGCGAGCTGGAGACCGTCGAGGAGGTGGACAGCGGTGAAAGTGCCAACACCAACACTGGAGAGGCGGCAGGTTCGGGATCGGGATCGGGTTCGGGTTCAGGTTCAGGATCCGGTTCGGGATCCGGTTCGGGATCGGGAGCAGTGCCTGAAGATCAGGAGAAGATTGAGGCTGAGGCTGGCAAGGAGGAAGTGAAAGATGCCCTGGGCGGCGACAGTGGGCGGCGTGCACTGTCGCCGCAGAGCCTCAACACGGAGAAGGCCTTCTGTCCGGTCTACGTCATAAATGGTGAATGAGTTTACGCGCACTTTGAGTTCATTGACGCAACAAGCGGCCATGAGCTCAGCTTTGTTTAGGATACGCACCCGCCATAAGCCATAAGCCATACGTCATAAGCCATACAAGAGAAGGAGAACCAGTACCACCCACCACAGCGCACATCACCCACCAAAATCGTCATGAAACCACCATTATTTTTGGGGCGGGTGCCAAGCAAAAGAGATAATCCTTATCCCCCTCAAACGGAACCTAAAATAAAACAAAAAAAACATATCCGCCAAATCGGAAACGGAAATCAGAAACAAACACAGAAACGGAAAGGCGATACATAAATAATCGCAAGCCCACGCAATATCGTAAACGGTTTAATCAATATGACAGTTCTGGTAGATAATACCCGCACTCGTACTCGTACTCGTACTATAGTATCTGTAGGTGGATATTTAGAGCATATACAAAAATATACCCCAAAAGTGTTGACTGTCTCTCTTTCGACCGAATCATGCATTTTATATATATGATATATATACTAGTATGTATTTATATATAGAGACTGACTGCTGACTGTGTGGGTTCTTCGAGCAATCACCACACCATTCATCTAATGATCCTAAAGATCCTAGAACTAAATACAATATAAATCGGTATACGCATAGAGCATATATACATATACTACTAGAGTCCTGCAGAAATATCCAAAGTGTTCACAAGCATTCACAAAACTCTTTCGAAATTGCTCAAACAATCTCTACCAGAAGATCAAATGGAGAAGGCGTTCAGTCCCGTTCTGCTCGAATGCTTCGAAGTATTTCAAAGTGTGTCGCAGGACTGATTCGGTTGTGTGTTCATGCAGGAAGTGAAAGAGCAGCAAAGAAAATAAATTGAAAATGAAAATAAAGAAGAGCAAAAAGAGAAGGAGATGATTCATCAACCCCACCAAAAAGCGATGCGAAAATGTCGACAACAACAGAAAGTTTATAAAAAAAAACACCACTCGTACTACATAGTAGACGGTATAGACAGTATAGCACATAAGTATATATACACATACTCGTATGTAGATGGTCTATGCTATCCATAACACCATTCCCTACCATCATTCCCCTACCCTACCATCGCCTATCGCCCCACATTAATGGATCGTTTGTTGAAACTCCTAGTTTATCACAGCGTTAATAATGCATTTTATTAAGTAATTTTTGGATGGGTTAAGATCTTGTTAGGACCTTGTTTGCCACCCCAGAAGCGGATAGGTTTTTTGTGATACATATTTGTGTTTTTGCTTGTTCCGATTTAAACTGATTCTTTAACTATTATATTAACCAAATCTTTCAGTATTAAAAAGCAACAAAACAAAACAAAAAAATAAAAAAAAAATGGATAAAAAGCTCAAAAACTGTAGAGAGACAAATCACCAGATAACACCTACTATAAGGCACACAAATCTACATATATAGATTAAAGCAATTTTAAGGATATATATGAATATGAATGTCTGTTTTTTTTGTGTCTACCATAAGGGTATAAGATATATCTATGCATATACTATATATACATATAGGATTAGACTCCACATACACTTACGATACGCGATTGTCTTGTATATTTTGTCAATGCCAAAGAGTTCTTTAAGCTTAAGTTGAGATTACTTTTCTCTTCGATACTGATACTGACGATGGTGTGAACGCGACTTGACCATCCGACCGACTCATCCATTGTACTATATTCAAACGTTATTAATGCCAAAACTGATACCAAAAATAGTACGAAGAAGAACCACGAATCACATGAACCACAAAGAGATGAACACTTATACATAATAAATTAGTTATTTCAATTTTATACTCGATACTAAATTTTTAAACTAGAATTAAACTGTAACTTTGTATGCATTTTCTTATATATGTATTTATTGTACACCGACTTTGGACACTGCTCAAAAACAAAAAAACCAAAAAAACCAAAAAACGAAAAAATGAAAAAAATCAAATTGAAATTGTATTACTTAGAATTTATTGTACTCTACTCGTAAGTAGAAGTTGGGCTATGAAATGCCACGAAACTCACTAGAGGAACTCCTATTCCGAGTATTAGGAAAACCGGATCCAAGCGAATCGGTTCGAACACGAAACAAAAAATAACATTTTAAGCAAAATAATAAAGAGAAAACAAAAAAGTAACAACATATAGTATTCAAGTTATACCCAAAAGCAAAACCAAAACCAATTGAAAATCAAAATAAATGTAATACTCGTAATTGTGGGACGCAATTGAACGTCCTAACAATTCTGCAGTTCCATTCGATATTTACTGGTCCATTTTCAACTTTCGCTGCTCCTAATGTTCCATTTTCATCTTTTTGTACAAGGGAAGAATTTTTGGGAAGAAATCTCAGATTGACATCCATTCTTTAGATCCATTTTAATCGTGCTTCTATATCACTGTTTCATTCCAGCGGTTTCGAGAAAAATCTGTGCTTGCTTTCGACAGATATAAAGACATCTAATTGAAAAGAGATTCCACTGAAAGATTTCTCAATCATCTCACAACAAACTCTATGCTTCGTAAGCAACAGCATTTGTAAAGAGAAACATCCTACTGTTCCATTGAAATTATAATTGATTCATATATTGATTGATATATATATATACATATATGATTCAATGATACCAATAAGAATACCCATAGTTAAGGAATTTAGAAAATATAAATATAAATGTATGTAATGTTCTATGATATTATAGTCTCGACTTGCATGTGGATTGTGTGTTTCTATAAATATGGATGTTTCTGTTGTATTTGACACAAGTCAACTTGTTCTAATCATTCCAATGGGGATGTTTCATTCCCCTAAAGCTATTCCACTAATTTATCATGTTGGATCGTAATGTATCACTGTTTCTTTCCATTCCATATTCGCTTTCCACTGTTCCATTGTATTCCTTTCCCTAGATATATGTAACTCGACTTAACCCGAAAAAAGGAAGTTTGTATTAAGTGTTACAAGTATTTATATTAACAATAATGCCTATGAAGATAATAAAAATAAATACATCAAAACACCAAAACCCGGAACCCGAAATCAAAGCCAGGAAACAGACAACAGAAAGCAGAAAACAGATAAAAGTAATAAACTAGTCGTGAATGTTCCCCCAAATGCTATATTGACTATAAAAGTGCAGTAAATATGCAATAAATATGAATAATAAATTGAAACGTAATTCGATTACTATGAAAAAAGACGCCTTGACTGTTGTTTTTATATGTGGGTCACGTTGAGCTGGTCCTGCTCCTTCGGAGAAGTTCGGGGGACTGGGTCTGGGACTACAGACAATTATGGGCGTAACGCGTTACAAAATTAGTGTAGAGGGGCGAGAGGCGCAGGAGCAGATACATTTACATTTATAAATACAGATACAGAACTGAATCTGAAGCTGGAACTGGAACTTCGGAAAGTGTAATGTACTCGCAATTGTATCGGAAATGACTGCGGGCATGTACCCATGAGGATGGCACGAGAGGCACCCCGAATCCGAACTCGAGCCCGAAGCCTCAAGGGCTCCTATGGCTGGAGCTGGAGCTGCTGCTGCTGGAGCCAGTGGGTGCGTGCAACGCCAGAGCGAGATGGAGCGCAGATTACCCCAACTAGAGCTCCATCTCTCTCCATCTCTCGCTATCTCTCTCTGTGGATGCTATCCCCTGATTTTCACTGCAATTTGTGGATGCTGTTTCGGGTGCCTATATACTCGGGCACCCGTGCGACGGTGCGACGCTGCGAGTATGCGTGCCACTGGTTACCCGGGATTTGAACCACGCCCTGGCCAACCGAGCTGCCCGAAAACTAGGTTAGCTCCTCCGCGGGACAATACGGCTATGATATAGGGTTTTGTTTGTCCAGCACATCCAGGAGGCCAGGCTCTAATTCAATTAGCATTCGATGCCACACGTCCACCCATCCGTCGATCCATCCGTCCATTCATCCATCCGTCCATCTACACACACAACGGGGAGGCCGGCAGGCCTTGTGTGGGCGCGCCAGGTTGCAATTAGGTACGATTTCAGATCCAGGGTTTACATAAATGCACCCTGTTTGGCGGCAAACTAAAGCACCCAAAAGGTGAATGTCCTTTGGCAGGATCTGGCGCATGCGTCCTGCCAGAGCCAGAACCAGAGCCAGAGCCAAAGCAGCGCCCCTCTCTCAACCACCAAGGCCCCACCCTCACTCACTCAACCACTCCCCCCTGTTATGTTTTGTGTCAACGCCTTGGCGTTGCATCTTTCGGGTGCCTGCCCCTGTCGCACCTTTTTGGGCATTAACGCCTCTTAGCCGCTGGCCTCCCTGCGGAGTGACCACTGGAGTGGGTCCCCGTGACAGGAACTCCCTAGCCACTCGCTAGCTGTCGTTATCTTTAATCTGATTATTCAGTTGTTAAAACTTTCATTGACCAAGAGAGAGGGAGAGGCAGCCCCAGCCCCAGCCACATCCCCAAATCCAATCGTAGTTGGTCCTTAAGCTTAGAGGAAGTCGTATCCTTTATGCATACTCGTAATTAAAATGGAGTTCCATGTAGTTCTCCGCGATGTTTTTATGGTTCAGAGTTTTTGTGCACAATTGTGCATATGCAGAGGTAGTAATTCTGACAGCCATCACACAAGTACAGTGGAGACTAACCAACGGATGCCACTACCTAGATACTACGCTTTTATATAGAGTGAAATCTATTTGATAATCAGCAGGAATAACCTACGGAGATTTTGTCTTTACGGAAGAAAGGACTTTGGAAAATTCGAGGTCCAAATGAGTGAAAGTTCTTACAGATTCATCGACCCATCGAATCGTTGATCGATTCGTAATTGCAACATCATCTCTTGCATTCGTTCAGTAGATTGCGATGAAGGCTGAGCTCTTGGTTCACAAGAAGTTAAAATAGCTCTGCCATCAAATCAGGCTCAGATTCTACACCTTTAATATATCTACGTGGAAGGTATCATAACGCATCTATGTAACTATACGTATTTCTTCATACTCAATGTTTTGTAACTGTTTCCATTTCATTTTTGTGAGACAATTGGAAGTACCCTACATATTATGGTTAAATATAGCTTCGCAAAACGTGTGCGCCGACTTCAGACATCTTTTGAATGGAGATTCCCTTAAGTTTCGCCCAAGATGTGGTCACTGGCCCATCTGGTAGTCGACGTCGAGTGACTACTATAGGGCGCCTTTCAATTATTGACATCTCTCGTGTTGTGTCGCTGTGTGTGTGTGTGTGTGTGTGTGTGTGTGTGTGTGTGTGTGCGTGGCTTAATTATTCAATCTGTCGCATAGAAATACGAGTAGTATTCACATTCACGTGCTTTGGCCACATTTCAGACAATCATCAAAAAAAAAACGACATCTCGGGCCGGCGCTATTATCGCCCTGCCTTTGCTTTCCCATTCGTCCAGCGAATGGCGTGGGCAGCGTACAACAAATAGCAGCAGCAGCGCAACAGAAAAACGGCGGAGCAACAACAAACCAAAGCGCGAGAAGCAACAAGAGAGGAAGGATAGGTTCGTGGCCGAAGTATTGGATACCCTGGCAGATCCATCGGTCCCATGGCAGAATGAAACTACAGATTTTTGTATAGCATCCGATTGCTATCCCATCCTATTTCCCTGAGATATACGGTGACCAGGTACACAGGATATATACATATGTATACGTACTATTATATCTATAGATATATGTAGTAAATTATATTTATCTCTAAATTACTCATCATACCTTCTCCTGTCGAGGGTATCACAACAAACGGCGAAACACGAATATCGTATATATATAGTCGTACGTGATACGCCGGCTGCGACGCCACGGCTGACTGTTGCGTTGCGTTTGCCAGTGTCGCTGCCGACGTCGCTGTCGCCGTCAGCGTCGCTTAGGTGGTTTTTTGCACTACCATGCCCAAGGGGGGGTGTGTGTGGGCTATCGTATTGCGTTACATTGCTGTCGCTGTGCCTCTGCCTGCGTCTCTGTCGCAGCGGGGTGGTTTCTACGTTTCGGTCTGGCGCTGTTCTGTTTATACCCGGTACTCAATGGAGTATAAGGGGTATATTCTATTCGTGTATATCTGTGTAACAGCCAGCATGAGGTGTTTCCGATCTCTCTCTCTTTATCACACTCTTCCTCGAGAAATAGATGGAGGAATGAGGAACTCATTGACAACAAGTACCGCCGTCTACGTATAATCGTCCAAACATACATATGTAGGTATATGTATATTAGTAGACAGGTATGTACAGGGTACTGGTTGCGTCGTGACTCACATATTGGACTCGTTTTGGCTCTTTCATTTCGCCGCTTCTGCTTCTGCTTCTGCAACTGCCACTGCTTCTGTCTGGGCTCCTGCCTATGCTTTTTCGCTGCCTCTGCCTCTGATTCTGCTGCTATTACTGACACTGCTATTGGCTCTGCTCTGGCTCTGTTCTGGCTCTGCTCTGGCTCTGCTATTCCGCTGCTTCGGTGAAAATACCAAACAACTTGATTTTGATACGATATTTCGCCGCATTTCGAAGCGTTGCGAGCGATTGGAAGGGTCATACCGGTGCCTGCCACTTCCACTTTTCAACTTCCACTTAAATACATATTAACAATATATTACCACAATTGCAACAGCAACAGCCACAGCCACAACTACGACTTTTTATAAACAATCGCATCGAAAGTGGAATATTGAACAGATTCGACTCCAAAGTGGTTGATCGTTTTAATTGTTAATGAATTAAAGTGCAATTCTTATAGCGTTGCTCATAGACTGGATTGTGTTGGTTGATGCTGCTGCTGTTGCAGATGTGGTAGCAATTGTCGCTGGCTGCTGCTGCCCCCCTTCCGCAATTGTTGCACATACTTTGCTAAAATATTTTCTTCATTTTTTTATTGTTCTTGCTGTGCAGTGTAAGAAAAGTGCGTTGAATAAAAAACATAACGAAAATAGAAACAGAAACAGAAAAAGAAAAGGATAAAGGAAACGGATGATTAGGGTAAAGAAGAAAGAAAGTAAAGAAAACAAATTCAATTTTTGAGTGCGCATCAGACGTCGTCGTCGTCCATCTTGTTGTCTGCTGTCTGTGTGTAAGCGCGCGCGTGTGTGAGTGTGTGTGTGTGTGTGTGTTAGGGCATCCGCTTCCGGTTGAGCTGCAACGCATTTTCGGGCAGAGGCAGGCAACAAAAACAAACCAACAAACGAAAGGACACAAAAAGGACACGCAATAACAAAGCGAAACAAAGCGCAACAGACGCGAAGCACACACACAGCCACTCATTGGGGCACCATCCCCGCCCACCCCGCCCCAACTGTACCCCCGGCTTCCACGAAGTATTCAGAGAAACCAGGACATACGTAATTCCTAACAAAACAAAGGAGAGACAGTGGAGAGGGAAGAGTACCACCCCACTCCTCATGTAAGGAACCCGAAGCCTGGAAGAGCCCCCCCAAGTAAGTGATGATGAGCCCGACGAATACCCTGCACACATGACATCACCCGGTGTTTGTGTGTCAGAGCCACTAATCCCCTTTTTGATCGCCAAACGCCAATTGGCCTTCTCGGGTTACACTCCCACACACACGCACATTTCTTGGTCTTCCATTAGAAAGACATTGGAGGCGATTTCGCTTCCTTTTTCTCCCAGACCCCCCAGCGCCCCAGAGCCCCAGAGCCCCAATCGCTCTGGGGCATACCCAATCCCAATACCAGACCCTGGGGGCAACCCATAGAAGTGCTCGAAATGGAAAATCTTAATTGCACAAGAAATGCGACAAAGGAAAACCGCACAAAACGGCTATGCGGCTGTGGCTGTGGCTGTGCCAGTGTCTGTGGCTGAGGAGAGGTGTTGTTTGGGGCACACTCTCTGTGGCAGGCAGAAGTAAGTAAGACAGTGGTCGGAATTGGGTCAGGTCACCTTTCTGGGTGGTAAGATCACTCCGGCAGTGTCCTTCTGAAGCGTTGAAACCGTGTCAAACAGACACTTAAACCTTATAATTTCATCACAATACAATCGCGATCAGGGGGCATACTCTTAAATCCATCGATACATATAGCTATTGTTTTCAATCTTACAATCTACGAGTATCTGTGCTTATGGGTTGCTGTCTCAAGTAATTAAATATCCAATCTAATATCTGCACCTCTAAAATGTCTCATGATTTTCGTTGATTGCCATTGAATCTAGGGAAATCGTTAGGGCACTGAATGAATAACATTGTAATTTTCTTACATATATTTCATCACTATTGCTCTTTTGAAGCACTTCATTCCGAAATGATATTTCTTCCACTTTGTTTAGCTGTATTCCCTTTACAGCATTACTTCTTCCCTGTGATCGTTATCGATTCTTTTATCGATCTATGCTTCGAAAGTACTCTGCTGTCAAGTCGTTCGGCGCTCGCATATCCGCTGGGAGGAATGTTAGCAAAACGTACAAAACGTAGAAAACATTTGCGGAGGGTTGAAGCCGAAGCCGCGAGGACAAGCGACACGCGATTCCATTTCTAGAGGTGGTTAAATGGGTGGGTCCGTGTGTGTGGGTGTGGGTGTGGGTGGGGAGGGGTGGTTTGCAACATAAAATATGAAAGAGCCGAGAGGCAGAAAAAACAAAATGCATATTCTGCATATTCCGGGGGCATATTAACTAATGAGCCGACGACCTCGCGACGACGGCGACCAAATGCAAAAATGGGGATGGAATGGACGGAACGGACCAAGCGAATGACTGACAGACGTACATACGGATTGACCAAAGGAACGCGCGCACACACACACACACACACACACACACACACACACACACACCCAAAAACAGGGGCCCAGGGCCACAACATTCGAAGCCATGCCTTGCTCATGGCTCATGGCTCATGGGCCCCAGTTCATTCTCCCATGGAACATTGCACTGGGAACAGCAGCAGCAGCATACTGTTTATAAGGTCACCCTATTTCCATGTCTGCCACATGCGTCCATCTGGTGGCAGTTCTCATGCCCGTTGCTCTCTTCCTCTTCTGCTGTTCTCATTTTCATTTCCATTTCCACTTCCATTTCCACTCCGTTTCCAATTGCAGTTCCAAATCCGATTCCCAGTTTGGTGCTCTGTTCTGTTGTCTTCCATCTGCAATATCCGGTTCTCAATGTGGGCGCCGTCTCCGCGTCTCCGTGTCTCCGCTGCAACGACGCTACGCTCCCCGAGATCTGCATAGATCATGTTTAGGTTTTTTAGTTGTAATTTTCCAGTGGCGCCCGCCGCCGTGTGGCCGTGCACCCATGTGGGGGGTGTGGGTGTGGGTGTGGTTGGGGTTTCAAATGATTGGATGGACGGGTGGATGATTGGTTTGTTTGTAATCTGTCATCGGACATTGCCGGGCTTGTCATAAACATCGACAGTCGCACTGCAACGATCTCCCCCAATTCAAGGGGCATCGTTTGTTTACAACGAATGCGGTTTCCCATTACCCTTTTCATTCGACAAATGGAAGTTCTTTGAAAAATACGATGGCAAAATCTGGTTCACACGATCAGCGTTTGTTTTGGGTAAATTCGAGTACACACAAACAGCTTTGAATTAGCGCTTAAAAAGTACTTAAAGAATTAGATCTTTTCTAAGAATGTTTACGGATAAACATTTGCTTTATTCACACATAGTACGACGTGACTCTCTGATTCGCAGGGAAATGGTTTTCTCTTCCAAAAGGAGTTTTTATGGCAATGGGATCTCAAAGACGCAAGTCCCCCACGGCAATGAGCAGCTTTATTCTCACACTAAATTCATTCCCATCGTAAAGTTGACACACATCACAGCCCCAGCCCCAGGCTCAGCCTCCCTCCAAAATAATGGATGATGGTCGTTCCATTCTCTCGGTCCCATTCGGAGGAGGCGATTCCAAAGTAGCTTGAGAGTTAAAGAGGGCCTGCCTCAGAGGGACCCATCATTACCAGCCAAAGAGCAGCAACAAAAAATTAAGAAAAAACTATGGCTAAAACCGCATTAAGGCAATGGTGGGGCAGACATAAAAAGCGTTCATGTTGCATTCACACAATGTTGCTGCTGTTTTCAGCTTCTTCTTGGGGGCATTTTCCATGGCCATTGGCACAGGCCAGAATTGTCGCATGTTCTCGTTCTCGGTCTCGCCTTCTCGCGTTCTCGCGTTCTCGCGTTCTCCCAACCAACACAGTCGCGTAAATTGAAAGCTTGGCTAATACCATTAACATTTGATGGCTAACAACTGTCCGCCCCTGTCCGCCCCTGTCCGCCCCATGTCCACTGCTATCCGCACAAGGGAACTGGCGCAAAATCTAACCAAATGTTGTTAATTGCAAGTGCCCCCCTTCCCGTTTTGGCTATAAGCAACATTCGACAGTGGGCCGCAGCCAAATCGCTATCTTGACCCGATTATCGGCGAATCGATTGCCTCTATAAAAGATGTTCTCTCGATTAAGTGTACCTTTTCCATTCCACATGAACTTCTCTACTCCTTACCATCGAAATCCGTAATCTTATCTGAAATAAGACACAATTGATGCTCCCACAAAGAAGTTCTCTTTAAGCAGATAAGCAGATGCATGATCCTTTCATACATCTTATACTAAAGAAGCCTTATATTTTGGCTCTATAATTTCATGTTTAAGAATCCCTAATCTCTTTTTGTATCAACTTAGAGGTTCTTTGGGGAGAGAGGAAGGACGAAATGTCACAGAAGAAGGGAATTGTACTGAAGAGATCTTTTACGCCACGGATTCCTTCTGATTTCGCGTCTTTCGGATTGGATTGCAGTGCTATTCTCTCATTTAATGGCACTTGTTGAGTTGTTTTAAGAATGAAATCCAAGGGGAATTAAGGAAAAGCCAAGAGAAGATCGTTTCCAGATCTTCGCTCTGGACTTTCCCAGCATATTCCTGTTTTGTTTTCCCCATTGCAGGGCTTTATATTTTGGCACTCTCTTCGGCTAAGCAAATAGAGGCCACATCAATCTCTACGGATCGGTGGGTATGTTTTTGTTTGTGTTTTTGTACACATCCCCGTATCCCCGTATCCCCGATCCCCTCGAATGCGTATGGCCAGCCATGCCCCCATGCCTTCCAGTCACGGTGTATTTTCTGCTTTTGTGCGTTCGGGTGCACCAGGGGTGTTCACATGCCATTGCCACTGGCAAAGGGGAGACAGGGGGCGCCAAAGAGAAGTAGGGAGATGTGGGTGGGTGCGCCTCTGCCTCTCTGGTGCGGCACACGACCTCGGGCTCCATTCGTCTGTTGCCCCAAAGCAGACGAGAAAATAAACATATTATTGAATAATATTCTGCTGCATGCCACATGAATGCGTGCCACATTCTGGCCAGCAGCCAAGGCACAAAAGTGCGGCACATAATCAAATCAAATTTTGCCCCAGCTGCTGCTGGTTCTGATGCTGGTTTCGCGGTTCCTGGACACACTTTAGTAAGCGGCTTACTGGACCAGGGATTGGGGGCACGACTGCGACCACGACCACGACCACGGCTGGCTCCCTCATAAATCTGTCAAGATCTTCAATGAGAGATTTAATGGGAATCCGCTGCCAGACACGTCCATCAGCATCGAATCTGACAGCACTGCCTGGTGGCTGATGGCTGATGGCTGGTGGCTGGTGGCTGTTTCCTACTGGAATTTCCACTTGTTGTTTCGTCTCTCGGTTTTCAAGGGCGGCATTTATTTTTAAGCAGAGCAGAGCATCAAAATCTGAATGTTTTTGATTGAGAAAAAAACTTGGCAAGAAATCGTAAAATATCTAGTGAAAATATGGAAATACTTGGAACACTCAATGCCAGCGATGGCATTCGCTCCACTTGATTCCATTTCTAAGAATACATACTTAATGAAACCTTTTAACTAAAAGAAAAAACCCCTCTTCCCTTCCCTTCTCTTCTCTTCTCTTTGCAGATCGACCAATTAGCCTAACCGAAAAGTCTTGAAAATATCAACTGCTGCTGCAAACTGTATGACTGATTTATCCACGTTGATCAACCAACAGAATTGGGGAACAGAAACCCCCCAGAAAACTAACTCCCTAAGAACTCTTTATATAGCCTTTACACCCAAGACAACCTTAGCCACCTTTTGGAAGAATGAATGGCTTGCTATCGCTAGAAGCTTTAACTATTTATTGAGCCGAGTAGCCAAGTAGTCAGCTAACACTTGCAAGCAATCAATCAATCTATCAATCAATCGATAAATCAATCAGCAGATATACAAAAAATACACATAGAAGAGGAGCAGATACCTCACAGATATACATACATACGTAGATACACAAACGAGAGTCATCGTCAGGACCCTGGGGAGAGGAGGAATGCAGCGGTGTCCCTACATACATGAGATGCGAGAACGTTTGCTGGACCAGCCACGGGAGACACTGCAATTGGAGAACATGGAGCGGGCCAATCTGCTCGACAATCGACAGTCGGCCTCCGAATCGAATCAGGTCGGCACTGTGGTCAAGGTACGGGCTATTCGATATACTCGTTACAAGGATTCCCCCGTTCCCCCCGCAATCATATGCAATATACATATCTCATTAATACACACACACACACACACACACACACTCAAAACTCATGCACAGCTCATCCATAATCCAGCATCCATCAGACAAACGAATGTGTATTTTTAACATAAAAACATCTCTGAAGTTCCACTTTTTTAAAAAGCATTTTATAGTGAAAATACATACAGCTTTTGGCACAATGTTTAATCGGAGCTTAATTGACCTCTAGCCTAACCATATCATATCAAATTTCATCGAAACTTTCGAAACTAAAAACCTAAACCAAATTTAGAATGATTTTTAAACCAAACGAAAAACTGTACTAGGATTCTTACTGCCATTATTCTAAATAAATAGCTAGACTGCTGCTAAAATACTACTAGACACGGAATAGTAAAGTACCAGGACTGATACTGAAAAAATACCAAACAAAATACTAGACTACTATTAGAAGAACTGTTAGACACGCATTAGGACGTGTCTAAGCCATATTTTCGCTGGTTTAAAACGAATTTTGAATGGGCAATGGTTCTAAAAGATCTTTAAAATCATAATTTGAAGAAGTTTCAATCATTTGATGCAAACACATTAAAACACTCCACTTGTAAAGTGCGACACAAATTTCATACATACAGTATGTACATTGGACATACATCATCCGCTTACATCCAAATACATCCATATGAATACTTGCATACCAACTCGAAAGTCCTGTTAATATTGCATATGAATTTTAAGATTTAAACCGATTTTATGGCGTGTGCGTGTGAGTGAGTGTCTGTTTGTGTGGCAGATTTATATTTAAAGATTTTTACCATTATAGAGAAGAGAACCAAGAATTGATGAACCAAATCCTTGCACGAGTAAACGATTCGCCCTTAACTTTATGTTCCTCGAAAACGAAACTGAAAATCAAAACAGAAAAAGAGAAAAAGCGAGAGCCCACTCTCATGAGTAATATTATTTCTGGCAATAAATTGGAATTGTTTCGATATTATTTTTGAAAAAAAAACAAATGCATGCAATACGCTTCCTTAAAACCATCTATATAATATATATATATGCTATATATATGTATGTTTGTGTCTCTGTATATAATATGTGTAACATCTTGTACCATACGACATTCCAATTTATTGTTGTTAAAAAAGTAAACAAGCTCAATGCAGGACGAGAGTTTAATCCCCAATTTTACTTAACATTCGATTCAAAAAACAGCTACAGGGAGATGGTTATCACACGAGTCCTGCACATCAGCGCACACCGCTAGTGCCACATGATCTGGGCGAGGACTTCAATTTGGATTTCGACGATGACTTCCCGATCGATGCCCGAAGACCGAAAAATGCAAAGTAAGTGCGTTCCATGGTCACATGCATCACATGATGTTCCCTCTCACTCTATGTGTTCTTTTGTGTTCCATTTACGTTTAACATCCACCCGAAACTGTACTCTGCTTTCATTCCATTCGTTCCCTCGCGTTCCTTTCCAAAAGTTCCAGCCGCTACAACGAAAGACTGACTGTCGTCCCATCTTCCATTCATTCTCTGTCTGTTCCTCTCTCGATCTGTGAGAACTCTCTTTATGTTCCTCTATGATCCTTAGATATCGTAACGTAGTGTTTTTGAAATCCTTCTATAAACCGCATACCGTACACCGTAAAAAGTTTTCAAATTAATCAAAGCAAGAAACCGTTACAGCGGCATACATCAACCGGTTCTGACGCGCCCACAGCCAAGGTCAGATTTGGTATTATTCATATGAAAAAAAAAAAAACCAATATAAATATATACAATAGATAGTTCCTTCTTATAACCGTATGACTCTATCCCCACTAATATCCTAAGAATCCCTAAGAATCTTTGGCCTAGCCTCCCACTCACTTACGTTCTTAGTAGATCTTTCACCTGCATCTTGCGTGATGGCCTTATCCAGTAGTGCACCAAAAAATCTAACCCCAGATCTTGATCCGTCCAAGGGGGGAATACCCGCTTATATCCTCTGTAGAGTGTAAGGCCCGAATTTATGCAGCTTTTATTGTACTTCTTTTTGGCATCCTGCGGATTATAATGTCAATGAACTGAGGACACAGGCTCAGGCACAGGAACATTACATTCCCGATGCTGTGGCATTGTTGCCGCTCCTATTTAACAAATAAGTAGGAAAAACGCTTACACAATGTACTAAGGGGAACGGGCGACAATGGGAGAAAAAGATAAGTTGCAAACAAATTACGCAACTTGACAAACCGACAGAGCATTCCACTCGGCTAGGCTTGGCTGGGCTGGTGCTGGCGCTGCGGCATGAACTGTCAGGCTGGAGCGGAGAGTGCCCTCGTCTTTGTCTCTGGCATAAAGTGTCATTGTACGAATGACTTACATTCGTGAAAACCAGCCAAAGACATGGGGGGGGGGGGGGAGGACGACAAAACGCGACAGGAAAACTACTTATCGATGCTTGGCATAGGGCCAAGAGGCACTCTCCAGACTCTCCAGGCTCTCCAGAACATGGCTGGCCAAGTAACTTATTGATTCGACTCGAATCTATTTGCGGAAGGCTGCGTCGATTCCCCTGGCTATAGCCTTGTACTGTAATTATCACCCGATTAGGCACAAGGTTTGGGCACATCCCCAATACTCGCACTCGTGTGACTTCACTGCTTTTTGTTTTATAAATAATAGCTTCAGACCTTCTGATAAAGACCTCATCTGTTGATAGGCTAAAAATATAATTAGGCAAGAGGAAACACAACCCTTCGTTAGGGCCATCGAAAGGGGTGGCAGATGAAAGGCCGCCACAGTAATTATAGCCCTGCTTCTATGAGGGTGAGGAGCCCCTGCCTCATCCACTTTTCCACTCTTCAACCTTCAAACTTCAACCATTGATCCAAATTAGCTTTCAAAACAATCCTGTGATGATTAAGGATGTATACAAGCTTCTTAGCTTAATGCAGACTTAAGAATAGTCTACGGACTATAATAATGTGTGCTTAATCAGGAGCTACTTATTGAAGCTCTGCGGGAAATGCTCTTTGATTTCAGGAATACTCTCGAACTCGTGTTCTCCAAGAGTCCAAAATGAATCAATTTATTCTTAGTTTTGGAAGGGTTTTGAAGGAGTTAGCTTCTTTAACAATGCAAAATACTGAAGATTACATTGGGAATCCTGATTTAGGGGTGAATTTTTCCACAAAAATATAACTAATTGTAATTTCATAATGAGATATTGGATAGTGCTTTGAATAGGAACGTATTCAGAGTCAGCTAAAACTCCTTCTAACAACCTCATCTATACTTTCAATAGATCTTTTAAAAGCACAAAAGATTATGTGGGGCATGTAATTTCCATGATTATGCCCCATCATCAATGAATCGTGGTTGAAACGTGGCCATCAAGCACTCCTCCAGATGATTGCAGATGTTTCCAAAAGGAGTCGACTCTCATCGATTGGGTTTTCTCTTATTTTTGTTCGCGTTGCTCGCGGGATTAGAGTGTGAGGGCAGGCATTTGGGTCATGCATCCTCCTCTGGCTGGGATTAGGGTGCGGCTCATACCTCATACCCCATGCCTCCTGCCCCATGCCTCGTGTCTGTCTGCCACTCCAGGCACAACTACGACGCAGTATTGGAGTTGCGGCGCAAATCCTTATCCGAGTAGTCCTTTTTTTCACTCCTGTGATTCCACTGCTGCAACCCCTTTGCCACAACACGGGCCACGGGGCATGGGGCATGCACACTGCAGTCAATGGCTGCGTCATGGCACACGGCACACGGCATACGGGAGTCGGGAACGGTAGTTCGGAGTCCTGGAAGCGTACAGATTCCTGCCGGGGGGCGGCAACCCAGCGAATGCACAACCAAAACAGAATCCGAAACATTTTGGTTGTTGTGAAATGCGCACAAAGCGGAGGCCGCAACAGACAGGCGGCGAACGGGCGGCGCAAAACGGAGCGAGCGCTAGAGTTACGATAAAACGACAGCAGGACGAAAAGGACGACGAACAGCGGCTGCCACGGAAACGAATGGATCAGACAGCATGACGACGCGTCGTCGTCGGCTTTACTATATCGTAAGCTCTCTGCCCCATGCTGCTGCGCTGCCACAGCCGCAGCCACAGCCGCAGCCACGCGCTGCTGTCGCGCTGCTCACCTCTGCCGCTGCCGCTGCGCACAATGGGCAGCGCACGGCTTCAAGTGGGGGGATTAGGCGCAAGTCGCAACGGGAAGGAGAAGCAGCAGCAGCAGCTTAACCATGAGCGCCTAATGAGACGCTCAAAGGGTAAGCATGTATCCACTGGGAAAGGCAACGAATGACAAACAAAATTCCACAAGAACATATTCCTTGTAATTTTTGTAATTTTATTGAGCAGAGCACATTGAAAAGTCATTCGATTACGCAGAAACTAGAGAAACTACAGAACTTGTGCGAGTTTACTGCATGCGTGTCGTGCGGCAGTGCCCCTCTGTTGATTTATAAGGCACGACATAAGGTTGTTCTTGATGTCGTTTGGGCAGTCATTGCAGGTACATACATATGTACTATGTACTATAGGATATTAGTATAGATTTCTGATTCATTTCGCATCGAAAGAAAGTTATATCAAAGTTGAATTTCTTCAAATATTTTGATCCTGAAACTGGAATCTTTTACATCTTTCACATTCCCCAAGTGAACTTCCCACCCCAAATGAATAGTGAGAAGGTTTTCAGCCACACCATCCACTGTGCCCGCGTGCCTGCTCAATGTTCTGGGGTTGTTCCGGCACTGTGGCTGTAAGAACCATAGTGCCGTGGAGTAGCTGGTTGTAAGAGGCAGTAAAAGCAGCCGTAATTGAGTTTTGGGCTGTTGCTTTTCGATGACTGACGGCTGCTGGGCCCCAACCCCTACCCTCTTCCTATTTCTGATGCCTTCCGCCATCTGATGCCTGCATCCTGCATCCTGGAGTCAGCCAGCCAGCCATTGATTGGCATGTCAACCTCAACCCTTGGGCTGCAACTGACCCATTTACATGGGGGCGCCCCCGGGGGAGCTGCCTGTCTCGCTGCCTCAGGATCCTGTAACTGTAACTGAAACTGCAACTGATGCTGAAGCAGAAGCTGTGATGGAAGCTAAACAAAGAGTCTCCCACTGGCCTGCCCACTGATTCAATACTCAATTAAGAGATAGGCGGAGGATAGCCAGAGGACAGCCTCGATGCATGGATGAGCGCGGTATAAACATTTCAATCAAGTGCTCGCTACTATATGGAAATTGTCTCTGCGAAAACAAAACGAAATAAAACACAGAATGTGTCCTACTTTCTGGCATACTCTACCGAAATTTCCCCTACTGGCAGCAGGCAGCAGGCAGCAGCAGCAGCCGCATCCCAGCTCTGAAGTATCCTTCGGAGAGGAGTATCCTGAAACAGAGAGAGATGGAGAGAGTGAGAGATTCGGCGCACTCTGAGGGCGGTTACTGCTGCTGCTGCTGCTGGATTCTGCTCGATGCTGGATGCTGGATGCTGCTGGCCCTCTGTTGAGTCGAGGCCTCGACGAGCCTTTTCAGTTGTAGTTGGATAGTAGAGGCTCTTGGACGTGTTTTGTGTGGAACGTTCGCAAGGTAAAGCCTCGAGATAAGGAGCAGCACCAGTCTGGCAGAGGGAATCAAATCCATCAAAGAACAGAGCATTTCTATGCATATTCCATTTATTTTGTTTTGGTGAAAAGTCCCGATCAAAGTGTGCAAAAAATGTGCTGAAAAGTGAAGTGTTTTTGAGAACAAAAAGAAAAAAATGTATATGGCATATATCCATCCAAGTTGTACCTGAAAGAGGTTTTTCCCTGGGTCAAAACTGAAACAATTTGCAGAATATATTTTTCTAGTGTCTGCCCCTATATATACCATCCGTAGGATAAAAAGGGGGGTTTTATTTTTTTCCAAAAGCTTGCAATTTACTGCGGAGCCAGGCCTCCAGAAAACAGAAACCAGAAATCAGAAGCCTTTTGATGGGGCACCGGGCACTAATACACAGCTTATTATACAGACAAGAGAGAGAGAGAGAGAGAGAGAGAGAGAGAGAGAGAGAGAGAGAGAGAGAGAGAGAGGGAGAGCTCTCAAGATTCAAGAGGAGCTATATACCAGAATGGAGATATATATATGTATAAATATAGCCGATCCAATGCATACACACGCAGCCGAAGGACTCCATTCTCCGTTCGTTTTTGGGATACACTTTCCCCGCCCGGAATGCGAGTGCGAGGGTTGAAATCACAGTTGTTTACGCGGGAACTGGGGCTGCGCTCCGCTTCCGCTGGGACACAGAGAGCGAGAGAGAGGGAGAGGGAGAGACAGAGTGAGAGAGAGAGAGAGTGTAAGAGACAGAGAGAGAGGTCAGTAGGTCGTCGGCTCCCCGGGATGCAGTCCAAAACAGAAAGCGCGGCTTAAGGCCACGCCTCATTTGCCCATTTGTCAAATGCATTTCAAATGCGTTCCACAAAAAACCCCAAGAAATCAGAAAGACAGAGAGAGGGACAGAGAGAACAGCAGCAGCAGTAAGGGATGGCCAGAGAAGGCCCAGGAGGGAGAGAGAGGAAGTGAGTGCCTAGGGAGAGTGGAGGGAAAGAGAGAGCTAGCTCGCGAAATTCTGTTGCACATTTCTGTTACAAAAGCAAAAGCAACAACCAGAAAAACCAACAAAAACCAAATTAACCCCCGCGAAAATCACTCTGCAAATTGTTTCGTTTCGATTTAGAGTTGCAAAAGATAATAGAAAGCGAAAACCATACAAAAAAAACTGTGACACAAAATTACAAGTGAAAGACATAAAGACAACTGTCGAGAACTATCGAGTCTATCGAGCAATCGATAAATCGAGGAAACTAGAAATCGTCGGGTATCACGCAGCCGAAAATAAAAGCCAGCGCAACGGAGACCGAAACGGAAACGGGAACCATGGGCGGCGGTGAAGTGAAGGTCGCTACCGTCGATGTGGAGGGCGGAGACAACATGGCCACACTGCCGGTCTCCCGCTCCCACACCGCCGGCAGCACCGACAGCGCCGAGAAGAACAATGCGGCCAACAAGGAAATGGAGCTCAAGAACGTCATGCCGCAGCCGCTGCAAAGGTGCGAGAACCGAACCCATCGTTCATCCATCCAGTTGGGGCGGGCGATCGTCATCAGTGGGGGCATAGGCAGTGCCCAGTAGGGAATGGGTAGCGGGTTGTGGGAATCCACTCGAAACACACAGATACACACCCACACCGACCAAGCATTGTATATAACACACAAGTATGCTATGGCCCAACGTGCAACCCACCAGCCCACCGCCTCGAAACAAAACAACCGTAGGAGCCCACTGTCTCTCTTTCATGCTCCCTTCCTTTGGAAAGATTAATCCTTGCTCCACCTCTAACCCGCCGCTCCCCAGCAGCTGTGTAAAACCTAAAACCCCGCCACACCACACCCCGCCCACAAGCAGAACCAGAACCAGAAATATCTGAATAAGTATCTTCAATCTTATAGGGTTTGCTACACGTTCAAGCCAAATCCAAATAAACACAGTTTTATGCCAGCGAAAATAACGGTACAGGGCACATATCAAACAAATCCAATAACGGGACCAATCGAACTATGGTAATATGATACCTATGATGCTAACCATAACCATATCCATATCCAAAGCCCATCCAAAGCCCGCACCAAGATGTGTTCCACTGTTCCCTTGTGTTTCCATAGTCCCTACATCTTGTATGTGTACCCAGTGGATTGTGGGATAATCTCTTGAACCAATACATGATTATGGGACAAGACTATTGGGGCACCCAACCCCAGTAATCCACACTCGACGGAGAACCATCTCTTTTATTCTTAAAGCCAGACAGCCTTTTACTACGATTTGTATGAGAAAAGTACAGATATTTCTTCCCCTTTCGCAAAAGTTTCCTTCATAAAAATATCATCCAGCGTTTAAATAGAATGTAAATGATGAGAACACGCATTATCTAAGGTTCTTGAGAATATTTTCGTAAAAAATTATTAACTTTCATATGATAAATATATGTAATATTTGGTATCCCCATGAATACCATCTTCTATCTATAAAATGGAAATCTAAAATCTAGTTCAAAGTCCGCAAAATTTCAAAATTTATTAAGTAATTGAATTATTCCATATTCGTTTGGATGTAATTCTCAAGGATATGTCTCCTGTTCTACAGGAGATATGACGACCATTATGCATGTTCGATAAATTCCGCCTTCAGTTTCGATTCGAGCTTAGGCTTCCCTGCTCTGTAGCCTGCACCACCATTTTGGCACAGAGTGGGGTGCTGTGCTGCATGCAAATGAGTGACTGCCTAAGCAGGGGGCCACGCGCCTTCTGTGTATTTTAAGCTGCAGCCAAGTCGTTGATGCCGCTAACTGGGTCACAAAAATGACTGCCTTGCAATGAGTTGTTGCATGGCACACACACACACACACACGCGCGCCCAGTGGGTTGCATCAGAACGATATGGATGTGGATGTGGATGTGGATGGAGCCCACTGTGCGAGGAGTAGAGGGCTAATCAAATATCAAATTAGGGCTAATACACGGCGGCTGTTATACTCTCGAGCTGTCAAATGAGAGAGAGAGAGAGAGGGAGAGAGGCGGCTGCACTTGAGATGCTCTTTGAGAGTATGCATGTAGTTGCATGTCAGTCACACAGATACGCAAACTCACACAGATACACACACTTGTATACGAAAGTAGGAGATTGAGACACTCTCGCACTTGCCAAAACGGTTCTAGTGGGTCAACTCGGAGGGGGAGTTGCAACCAGATCTTGACACACTTCACACACACACATACACACACACACACACATACAGACACATACTAACTGCAGCACCCACGTACACACACGTATGAGCACCCAAGCCCCAGAACTCGTAAATATTTCTGAAGCCATGAACTAATGATGTGACTCCATCCCCCCTTCCCGGCCATACAGGACATCGCTATTCATCGTGACCAGCCTGGTGTACGCAATCCTCCTGATCGTCGTATGCATTGCATACGTGATCAGCGATGTGACCACACACCGCCTGCCAGTGCTCTACTACGAGACATTCTTCACGTATCTGTACGGCGTCAGCATACTCTTCCTCCTCTACGTATTCTGTTTCCTGCTGCAGGGTAAGTACAGTCGGAGTCTCTCACGAATGGCGGGAGGATTTTCACGTGCTACTGTGTTCCGTGTGTTCCATCAGAGAGCTCTTGCTGCAATGGCGGCAATGGCAATGGCAATGGCAGCAAGCCGAAACCCCAACCCAAGGAGAAGAAATCGAAGAAAGCCAAGAATGCCGATCCAGCCGATTCGAAGGAAGCGAAGGGCTCCAAGGACTCTGGCAAAGCAGCTGTCAAAGGCGCTGCATATCAGGTAAAACTACAAGAGAACGATCTTTGATAATTGACACTTACAATACTCGTTTGTTTTCCATTAAAAAAGGAACACTCAGGTGGCCCTCAAGCTCCAGGAGCTTAGATTCTAGATTATTTCTTCTAAGAAAGATTTAAATCATTTTAGATGACCTTCACGGCCTCTTCTTTTACCAAAAATACCCCATTTATTGGTTCTTGTTCGCATTCAAACACTATGCTTCTCTGATATTTTTTTGCGAAACGTTCATTTGATCTTCAATGATCTTCAACTTAGGTCGTTAGCCGCTAGCTTTTGTTCAATCGATGCTGACTGATCTCTCGTAGGAATTTAATTCATTGAATAACCTCAACAAAAGTGCGCTATAGATGCATTTCCATGGGAAAACATTCAATAGATATTCACTGTTCGCGCCCCCAAAGCTCTGTCATGTTAATTATACTGTGAGGCCGCATCAATTATGGGTCATATGTGAATTTCCTATGGCACTCAATCTATGTTTTTCTCTCTCTCTATGCGCAGGAAGCACCCGTGGATGCCGAGGTGGCCGTTACCCCGAAGAATGTACGCAAGAGGAAGACCACTCATAGCGATCCGACGCACGGCAGCTTCTTCCTGCGAGTGGGAGCCATTGGTAAGAGGGATAACAGAATATGGCAGAGTGTCCCATGGATCTGATTTTTTTGGGGGTGGTGGGGGTTTTGTGTTCTGTGCAGCATTCGGTCTGGGCGCCATGATCTACATTGGACTGGAGTTCGGATCGTTCTTTGAGATACCCTTCGATTCGCCCTGCCACCACATACTGATCGGAGTGAACCCGCTGCTGCAGATGATCTTCACCTTCATGCAAATGTACTTTATATTCATGAATGCACGGGTAAGTGTCGATGTAAAAAAACTAAACTAAAGAACACTGTAAGCGTATGACTACTACTACTATTACAACCTTCTACTACTACTACCTACTACCTACTATTATCTACGGCTTCTGTAATCGTATGTTAAATGTTAAACAAAGATTAAGTACACGAAACCACATCCCCAAGGCTTCCAAAAAGTTCGAGGTTAGTCTTCCATCTGCCACCTCTCTCTAGAGTTCGGATTCGGGTACTCGGTTTCGGGGTTGTAGGATCATTTCAATAGAAATTCGCTTACGGTTACGGTTACGGTTACGGTTACGGTCGACTCGGTCTTACACCCTCACTTTGTATCTGTATCTGGCGTGATAATTGGCAGTTATGCAATTGAGTTGAGTTTCAGTTGAGTTTTCATTCATGCATTCGCGCATCTGCCACTGCAACTGCCACTGCAACTGCAACATTCGCACCCATATATCATACTCCACTCGTACCACAACCGCTATTCACATCATCTATTCGCTTGCCATGCTTCGCTCTGTCTCTGTCTCTGTTTCTGTCTTTGGCTCGAACGTAATGCCACCCACGACAAGTGGCATCCACTCTCCACCACTCACAGTACAGTGCTATTCGGCTGGGGTCGAATCGATCATCGATCATCGATCATCAATCACCCATCATATCACACCATATCCACCACAACAACACAACAACGCATTTCAAACTCTCAATCCATCCATCCATCAAACATTCATCCATACATCCATCCATCAATGCATTCATAGTTTTTTTAATAAATTTTTGTCGAAATTTGCTAAGTAGTTATTTAATGAAACCATTTTTGTGTACATAATCCCACAACAACCGCCCCACAATTCGCGCGATCGCAGACTAGGCCACCATTTCAGGTACGATATGCAAATCATTTTCTACTCTACTCTACTGTACTCTCTACTACTCCCTACTCTACGCTCATTTCTCACACTGTATACCGCATATACAAAAACATACATCCTACATATGTCTATGATACTATGTTACCGATACTCGTATATGATAACCATTAGCTTACAACATCTCTCTATAACTTACAATACTCGTATGTTATCTATATATAAGGGATCGATCCATGTCAGATGTGTGGCAGTTTGGTTTTTGTTTAGTTGCCCCACCCTCACCGATTACCCCTTGCAGACTAAAAAGTTCCTGAAAAACATGGACTTATGTACCAGATCTGTTCCTCAGTTCATGCGACAGAGATTAGGTCTTTCCAAAAAATTCGAGTAATCGTTTCTAAGACTTCGAGTGCCGGCGAGTATATTCGGTTTCATGACCATGAAGGGCTCCAATCCACATCCGAATGAAGTCAAGAGTAGCATTGATAATCGCGATAGATTCCCGAAGAAATACACTCATTTGAGCTTAAGATACACATACATACATACACAGAAATCCTGTAAATCAATATAAAGATCTACCAATTCGAACATATTGAATCTGCGTCTGCGTAAGCGTTTCGAAGGCTTCGGGTGCCTTCGAGTACATCAAGTATATTTGCTGATCATAATATCTACGCTATAGAGTCCTCGAAGAAAACAATCATTGGATTTGGGAATACCCTCTAGGAACATCTGCAGGGGTAGTCGGGGATGCGGTTCGGTTCGCCCGAAGCCGAATTTTGCCTGTAATCTACGTAATCAATGTACCTGCAACCCTGCGGCATCCAAGAATCTCAGTCGTACTCAAGCGCTCCACCCGGGCACTGCTCTCTCTCTCTTTTCTCCGTCTCTCCTCATCTCTGTCTGAACTTGCAGCTGAACATCCACCGATTCAAGGTGATTGCCCGCTTCGGGCTGATGCATGTGGTGGCCACCAACATTTGCGTGTGGATCCGGACGCTGGTGAAGGAGTCGCTTCTGGAGATCACCATCTGGCACCAGAAGAACGAGGCCGATCCGGAGGCCTCGTCGATAGCCCACTCGGTGCGGCAGCATGCGCTGCGGCATGCCGGGACCGTTCTACGCACCCATGCCGGCCCGAACAGCGAGTTCGAGGTGCTGGACGGGGAGGATCTGCTGCCGAAGGATGTCTACAAGAGCGACAATGTGCTGTCCAAGCTGGTGCGCAACACCGTAGACGGCATCTCGAAGAGCCTGGGCATGGGCGGGGATGTGGCCAGCTCCACTGCGAGCAGCATCATCAGCAGCACCACCACTCGGGCACCGTACACGACGGCCGGCTATCAATGGCACAGCACTACTATGGCCCGCAAGCTGAAGAAGTTTATCACAAGTGCCACCACAGCAGCCACCACAACGGGCGGCAGCCCCAGCACCATTGCCAGCACCACCACCACCTTCGGCACCACCACTACCACCACCACCAGCCCATTGACCACCACCACCGCCATACCCATTTCCGCCGGCAGCACTGCAACGGACGCCATCAGCAGCACGACCAGCGAATCGCCCTTCAGCGGCCTCCAGCGACTCCTATCCAGCGCTGCCCCGAGTCTGACGCCAGTCGATGGGTCCGCCTCCTCGGCGTTGCCCGCTGCTGCCACTGGCAGCGTCTCCTCGTTCTTCAACAGCTTTGCCGCATCCACACCCAGCACCAGCATCGGAGCCGCCAGCACGGAGGGCCCAGTCAACATCATGAACAACCTTTTCGGACCCGGAATGGAGAACAGCTTCCAGACCTACTCGGACATATCGCACGAGGAGTCCAGCGGTGGCCTGGTGGCCTTCGAGAATCTGGAGAGCCTGGACAGTATCTACCCGGCGGCGCTGTCTTCCAACATTGGCACACTCAACTCCACCGCCTGCGGGCGCATCGATATTATGGGGACCATTGTGTACGACTCGGCGCCGTATCTGTATCCGTTCATCATTGAGTATTCGCTGATCGGTGCGGTGGTTTTGTATGTCATGTGGAAGCACATCGGCCGCTATCCGGGACGGATGAACGACGAGGATCTGGAGCACCGTCTGGAGGTGATGCTCTCACGTCGTGCCGTCGCCATGGCGCAGCAGGCACGCTCCGGTCGCGTCGACTGCGTTGGCTCGTCGAAGGGACTGTTCTTTGGTCTGCTGCTGTTGGTCGGCGCCCTCATTTGCCTGATACTCTTCTTCGTCTTGGTGCGTCATCAGCAGTTCTCGCTGTTGGCCATTTACCTGGCCGATGCCAGCCACTGCATCCTCATGGCCTTCGCCATACTGGCCATCATAGTGGGCTTCATCAGGTCTGGTTCTCCATATTCCTCATCTAGAATACATATATGCCTTTACTTTATTTTCGATCCGCACTAACGACACTCTATTCTCCTTTCACAGAGTAAAGAACCTTAAGTTCCGCTGCGAAGAGCAATCCAATCTGAACGACATCTTGTTGCGCATCTCGGCCTTCGGCCTCTTCACCTACTCCGTGTTCAGCATCATTGCCGGCAGCCTCAAGGTGCTGGAGAGCGAGCCCAGCCTCCTGGTGACGACCACCGGCGGTGTGGCCGTCTTCCAGGTGATCTTGCAGCTGCTCTTCATCGCTGACGTATCGCGGCGTCGCGTCCACTTGCCGGAGCACGATCGCAGCAAGCCCGGCCGCCAGATCGTCACCTTCCTACTCATCTGCAATGTGGCCATGTTCGCCATCTACACATTCGAAGCTCAAAAAGTATTCGCCAATCCTGTAAGTAGATATGTACGTAAGCGAGACTGAGTTAAGTAAAACGATTAACGCTCTCGTTCTCAAATCGTTCCGTTCTATACGTTCTATTCTAATTAATGTTTAACTCAATGTACATAAATGTGTTCATCTGTTCGTATCGTTCATGCATGTTTCTGTGCGATAAAGAAAAAGGTACTAGATGCATGTCCCGCATGAATCTACAGAGCTCAATGCTTTCGTGTTCGAAATACTCTTCTGTGGGTTCATTCAGGGATCTAATCGGTACCTTCAATTCGAATGACTTGAGCTTCTGTGTTGTACTCTTGCATGTTGTTTGTTTGTTTGTTTGGCTTACGAATCGTTATTATTATCGAATTATTGATTCCATTTACTAACCAATATCCGAATGGGTCCAATCTCGAATCTACAGGTTCAGCTTGACTTCTATGGCTTTGTGCCCTGGTCCATCATCCAGCGCATTACACTGCCGCTGTGCATCTTCCATCGGTTCCACAGTGCCGTGACACTCGCCGAGATCTGGAAGACCACCTACAAGGCACGCCTGGAGTAAGCAACGAGGCGGTACCGCTGGATGTCGAGGGAGTTATGAAAATGCACCAAAAAAAAACCAAAATGTAGCGAACCCAAAAACCAAAACGCAAACAGAAATCAAGTGAAAAAAGTTAGTTTCTAATTACGTATTAAACATTATGCAAAAAAAAACCCTACCATATAATTATATATATTACATACTTTTTTTGTTTATTGTTTATGTTATGTTAGGTTAAACCTAAAGCAAACGCGAAACCAATGCGAAAATTCAAACGAATCGAACGAACGATATCGAAACGATCGATAAACGATAAGAGAGAGGGCATATGCAACCCTGCTGCCGGAATCGCCGGATGATCGCCTAATGCTTTCTCCATTTACTTTTCTTATTTTTTAGTTTGTTAATCATGGGAAAAACTTACGGAATCTAAGAACTAAGTCATAGTGTTTACAGAACCTGCAACCCGAACCCACTCCCCAGAATCACATGGCACACGAATACGTTTAATCTCAGTTGAATATTAAATTATTAGTTAATTTCTTTAACACGCTGCAATACAATACCAAGATAATATTAATTTTATAATTGTTTTATCATTATCCAAACATTAAAAAAAAACAAAAAGCGAAACAAAACAAAACAAAAAAGAACATAAAAAACCAATTAAAATTCATATATCGAATAAGACGTGAATTATTCTACAAAATGGTTGTTTACTTTTCGAGTTTGCTCAATGAGTAGGTAAGGAATATCCCTCCTGGGAGTGAAACGACGACCCCCAGACACACACAGACACACAGTCACACCAACACACAGACAAACATATATTGCCATGAAGAAGCAGCAAACCGGAAACGGAAGTGAACACACATTTCAACTTCAATCTTTACCAAAACAAAAACAACAACCAGCCGAACAACAACAAAACTGTGATGAATACCATAAATTTGTTCTCTTCATGAATATCTCTCATTTTTATCTGCAAGAATTTATGAGTTTTTTGTATATTAATTATATTTTCGTGCATTTTCAGCTGCATTTCAGTTAACGGTCGCAAAAACTTTTGTAAGAATTTAAGCGAAACACGAATGGCGTTGCAACAACTTCATGGCACCAAAAAAACAAAAAAAAAACAAAAACAACAAAAAACTAAAAACTAAAGAAAACCAAATGAAAAACCAAATAAATTGTGGCATTCTGAGGCCAAAAATGAAAAAAATAAAAAAAGAACAAAACACATTTTTAATATACATTATATAAAAGTTTATAAATGTCCATTTTTTGATTATTAGTAGTGATGTTAAACGAAAACCAAAAAGCAACAAAAGAAAGCATAATTAACGATAAACATAATACTAATAATAATTGAAAAGAAAAAATATTGTATGTATGTTATAGAATAGGATCGAAGCGAACCTTTTCGCCGAGAATCTGAACAGAATACAGAACACACAGGAAGAGAAAGTGAAAGTGAAAGCGAAAGTAAGAGTAAAAGTAAAATTAAAAATGAAGTAAAGTACCGAGAATGTACCGAAAGAATGATAACGATTTACGAATACGAATACTATCCCCGCATTTATGAAACAAACAAAAGATCCATGAAAACCCAAAGCGAACAAAAAGAAAAGGGAAACACAATTTGAAACACAATCTACAATGTTAAGAGGACATTTTGAAAGATATATTGCCACGTATATCTATAAATATATGTATACTAACCCACCAAATTCAAAGTATTTCAACGTTTTATACACACGAAGAGGATGCGCAGATCAATACACCTTCCCCTTCCAAAAGAAGGCCCATGAAAGTCCTATCCCCCCCTATCTATCACTATGCCCCAGAAAACAGCTGAAACTTGCAGAAAAGTAAAGAAAATGTAAACGAATACGAATACGAATACGAAAACGAAAGAGTTTGCTAAAGACCAAAGAAAAAGGACATCAATTGAGGGACACATCAAGAGAAAAGTGAAAAGAGAAAAAAGAATTTGAGAGTTGAATTTTGAAAGAATTTGTCGCCGGTGGAGGGAAACACACTGCCCGTCAAGTGATCCACGAGAGTACATGAATCTACAACAAGTCTCTATACAAAAAAAAAATACATGCTAAACACGCTCTAACGATATAAATGTATTCTATATGTATGTGTGTGTATTTGTATTTCCAGATTAGGGCCATATATATACACATATACGATTCTATATACAATCCAACAAAACAAAAGAAACCAAATTCAAAATATATATGTATGTATATATATATATATATATATGTATATATATGTATATATATATATGTATATTTATATATATATATATATATATGTATGTGTATGTTTCCAACTTAAAGGAAATTCAGAGGTCAAAGAATATGAGAGATGAGCAAAATGTGGATGGTAAAAGCTGGAAAGATCAAAGCAAAAAGAAAAAAGCAAAATGCATCAGTATACAATATACAATACTCTCGTAATAGATAAAGCCAAAATCGAACAAATCATAAGTAGTTCAGCACACAGATACTCCACACACACAGACAGACATATAAAGGACATGAATATATTCAAAGTTTGCGAATCAAATTCAGTTTGAAACTTGTACTTGTGTAGGCTTTTAGTAATTGTAATTGTAATTGAATGAAGAATATTCATACGAGCATCACACATTCATACATACTACATATATATGTATACATACATATATTATATATATATATATATAAATCTAATTGTTTTTTCTTTAAAATTTAGTTAAACATAAGATCGAATCATATTTTATGTCATACAACAAACAACAAAGTAAAGCGAATAAAACAAAAAGCTAATCACAGCCGAAGACCGAAATATTTATTAAATGTTTCAACTAAGTTGTATAATTATAAGTGAAAGTTTACATAATGGAATTATGTATCCGTATCTAAGTGAAAAGACAGACCAGACAGCATTCTTAGACAGCATTTCGGGCCAGAGATTGGAAGGATGGATCCCCAGAGCTCTGGCTAGATGGAGAACGGAAAACGATATCGATAATCGATAATCGATGGGGCTGAAATTAATGAACGAAAATTCGAAAGGAAAACGCAACTTAACGCACAACAACAACAACAAAAACAAGAGAAAACACCAAAAACAAAACAGCTATAAAATTTCCCCAAGTAACGAAAACACCACAAAACAACCATATAAGTATATATAGAGTACATATGTATACATAAGCAGTATATAGACAATTTCAATAACTGATAAATATACAATATATATATATATATACACTTATATATAAAGAGAAAGCCCAACAGCGAAAGCAAAAATTCAAGTTCATTTTTCCATAACCAAAACCAAACCAAATCGAAACCAAAATCGAAGTCGAAGTCGAATAATTCAACAATTTAAAGTGAATACACACTCGTATAATATATGATACATCCATCCCCCCTGCCCCACATAAACAATTGTAAGCAATTTTTTAATCATTGTCGCATTTTAGAAACGATATTGAAGATGAAGATAAAATCGATAGCGAACAAAAAGAAAAACTAAATTAAACCATTTCCAAGCGCGAATACATTTCGAATTGTTCGAAGCCCCCACACACAGAGATAAACACACATTCCAACGTATTCACAACACTCAAATTTACAGCCACACCCCACACACACACTCACTCATACACTCACTCGATTGAATACATTGCATAACGAATACAAAGATACAAATTGAATTAAAAACAAGTTGGATGTGGAGGTGGATGATGGTAAACGAAGCAAGAATGACATACAAGTAATTTTAAATTGAATAAAAATTAGTATTAAATATGTACAACAAATTTTCAAATGCGTTTTATTTTCACCAAATTCGAACGATTCTTCGATGGGAACATTATAGACTGGACCGGACTGGTTCGATACACCGCAGGATTTCAAACAATTTAGATCCCATTTAAAAATCTTTGGATCACCTCTGGAGTGGCCTACTGCTCGCCCATTCCAAGCTCTCGTTCTCTTCCCAGTTGCTCGCTCATTGGAATTCGTTTCTTTTGCATCTCTTCTCCAGAGGACAAAACATTTTTCTGCTGCTGATTCTAATTTCTCGATTCCTTCCTCGAACCTGCCAGAACTACCAGAATTAACATGAAATAAAGGAGTTATTATCTTCTTCAATATCATTTCCATCATCTTACCAATATCCAAAACGAGATTTGTCTTCAAATCGTAAGAGACCTTCTTGATGTTCCCTTCACACCAAAGAAACCTCAAAAATAGAACTAATTGTACGGAAAGGTCTTTCGCATTTCGGTTTTTACCATTGACTTCCACCGAAAATTACATCTCAATCGAATTTTTAAGGGGACTGGGCGAGTTGTTCATTTTGAGTTTACATTAAACCAAACTAAAGGCAGACACAAATCGGATCAATCATCTGCTAATATCATAATCTATTTCGTGTATCTCGGATATATATTAGGCACTATACATACATTGGCTATCAGCTAATCCTCGGATCAAAAGGTCTGGGCGGCCACATTTAGATTCACTTGGACGGTAGCCCAGCGATAGTCGCGGCTGTCGGGGTCGCGCACCAGGCACATCGGCTGCAGTTGGCGTCCCTTGGAGTCCTTCAGGTTGCTCAACAAATGCTGCAGGCCACCGGGAGTAACATAGCCGACGGCACAGACGGTCGCCTCCGTGAAGCTGAAGCCGGCCGTAGTCACGTAGCCGAAGACCTCGCGGCTGCACTGGCGCCGCACGCTATCGCTCGTCTCGGCGGGGTCTGTGGGCAGCCAGAGGCGGCACATCTCCAGGAGGTGGGCTCGGACCAGAGGCGCCGTGTTGGCCGGTCGGATATGGACACGCCTGGTGGCCGTCTCCTGGAGGCGCCGCTTCTCGCGCACTCGTCGGGCCCGCAGGCGCTTCAGCTTGATTTTGTGGTCACTGCGGAGCTCCTTGCGCGTCCGCTCGTTGAGATCGGGCTGCGGGGGCTCCATGTGGACGGGCGCCTGCTCGTTCCGACTGATCTGACGCCAGCGTTGCTTGTAATCGGCAGCCGAGGGCAGACATATAAGGGCATTGTCCTTCACATGTCCACGCGCCTTCAGACGTAGCTGGATCTGGATGAGGCAGTCGTCGGGCACCTGGTCGGGTAGAGGCTGGTGTAGCCGCAGACAATCGCCGATCGACTCCAGCAGCTCTCGGTGTCGCAGCACGTGGTACGATCCAACGGCTGGACTGGAGGTGGCAGCAGTGGTCTGCCAGTCCCGCACCAGGTGCTTCCAAGGGGCACTGAAGGGGCTGGCGACTGCCAGCTTCCGGTAGTTGGTGCGTTTGTTGGGCGGCAGGCGGAAGTAGCGAGCGCGCCGCTCTTCGGCAGCCGCAGACGCCAGCTTCACCCCTGGAAATAAATACCCAAATGGGGAATATAGTGTGTCTTCTCAGAGCGCACCCACTTACCCGCCAAAGTGTCGGCCAGATGCTGCTCGCCGCCAGACTCCCTGGCCACCGAATCGAGCTCCCGCAGGCCGCCCGGCCTGGCGCCCCACATGGTGAGTGTTAGCCAGAGGGCCATGCCGTACTTGGCCGGCGCAATCACGTCCCAGCCGCAGCCGTAGCCCAGACGCTTGTATTCGGGATCCTGGGAGCCGGGTCGCTGGATCAGCAGGAGTGGAACCGCCTGCATCTGGTCCTCGAAGGCACACGGTACTCCGGGAACTACAGCGTGCTGCTGGCGCAGTTCCTGGTAGTGATGCGTGGACATTATGCCCCTGGCCAGGCGCTCCCTCTCCTCCCGCTGCCAGAGCGGACTCCGAGCCAGGCACTCGGGCGGACTGAGCAGGAGATTACCAGCTGGCACCGCTCCAGCACAAGATTCCGCCTTAGTGCGCTTGCAGGGACGCTGCAGGCGGGGATCCACGATGTGGAGGCCCATAATGAGGTTCGAGAGCAGCTCGTTAGGGGAATGCAGTCGGAGAGCGGCTTCGCAGTAGTCGGCCTGGGCCGCCTGGACTCCAAGCTGATCCCTCCGATGCGCCCGCAGGCTGGATGCCAGCACTCGCTGTGCCTGGGGTCCCGTCAGGCGAAAGCGGTTGAACTCCTGCCGCAACACCAGCAGCTGGATGCTGCCGTTCGTGTTGGAGTAGTGGGCGTGTCGTTCAAAAGCCTTGGTCTGTGTCCAGAAACGCAACGGCTTCTCTTTTTGCTCTTTCTGCTCCTTCGCTGGCTTTTCCTCCAGGGGTAGCGTCTGTTGCCGCCTGGACTGCAGCAGGAACACTCTCTGCAGCTGCTCAACGGTAGCCTGGGCGGCACTGGGATGCAGCCAGAGCCAGAGGGTGCGTGTATCCTGTGTGAATGTCACTCCTTCCTCCAGGGGTCGCCACATAAAGCTGGCACGCTGGAGAGCACCGCGAGGATACTGGCTATCGGCGAAGAGATCCACGCTTCCCTCGCGACGGCCCGTAAGGAAAGTTCTCGCCGTCACGCTCAAGCCGCACTCAGGGCTGGTCAGGCGGGCGAATCCCATGCGCAACGACTCCAGGCTGCCTTGCAGCTCGACGCAGGTGTAGTAGGAGATGTCCTGGAGCAGGCAGTGCTGGACGCTTGCCCGATAGCAGGCGCGGTAGGTTTTGTCGCAACTGGCGTTGGCCAGGCGGTAGCCCCAACGGTCTACCATGTGGAAGCGCTTGGCGTGCCAGATATGCGTCTCCAGCCAGTGGTGCCGCCGCTGGCGGCGCACGTACTCCTTCAGCAGGTTATCGGGCCGGCGCCGGTACTTGCGCGAGGGACGTTTCCGGATAACCGGGTCGTTTCCGCCCTTGCTCATCTGGTTCTTGTGGGCGTGGCGGTACTTGCGCGGCAACCGCTTCGGGTGGTGGGACATGGCGCGACGCCGCATGTGCTTGGGCAGCGACTGGAAGATCAGTTTGCTGCTGACTGGACTCAAGGCCTCGGCGATGAGTCCCTTGATCTCGTTCAGCGCACCCGCCGCGTAGCGGTAGGTAGACACGTGCGTGGGCAGTGTGATCCGGCCGCCCATGCGGGCATCGTACTCCAGTTTCTGTGTGCTCATGATGGGGCCGGGCCGCAATATTCAGCATAAATTGTATTTCGAAAACGCTTTCGGAAGATCAAAACAAACTGAATCCGCGGCACGTGGCAATATGGTCACACTACGGCTGCAAAACCATCGACAACACTATCGATAAGTGCGCAGCGATATTGGACGATGTATCGTCTTAGAGATTCCTGTTACCAGTCATTGGTATTTGTTATTCGTTTAAATTTCTCTCGGCCGTAAAAATCAAACAAAATTGTAAGCTGTAAATTCCGTTTTGTCTTGTGTTGATGTGTTGTCCAAATTCAAAATCACAAGTAAGCCGCAATTTAAGCTAGCCGCCCAACCTCTAAGTGTGACCACAGCAGCCCCTATCGAAAGGTGTTATCGCGGGATCTGCAGCTCTAGCGAACATTGTCGCATCAAATTTTTGCGTTCGCACTCTTATTCCGTGTTTTGTGTTGTTTTTCCCCAGCCAGCCTACCAACAAATCGATATGGTAAGTAGGCCGAAAAGTAATTGATAACGTGGCCAATATATAGCCACTACGTATCGTATGGCTTTTCCACTGATTTTTGCTGGGAATTAATGTGTTTTTTTGTTTGGTTTTCCAGGCAGCTTACACCGAGGATCAGTTGGCTGGTGAGTGTTTCTCTCTCTATCTCCCTCTAGCACTCTGAGTGGGTGTGTGTGTGGAAGTTCAAAGTGCCAGCTCAAAGCTCTCCCCTCCCCAAAGCCTCGCCGACTGCTAAAAAGACAACATAAAAAACAGTTATTTGCATGCGCTGGCACATTTTAACTCTTTCTCTCTCACTCTGTATTGGAATGTGAGTGTGTTCGTGTGTTGATTGTGAAGGCGATGACACAGAAATGTGCATGGTAGTGTGTGCGAGTGCTACACATATTCATATGCGGTGCATGAATCATTGATAAAACAAATACTCTTGGAATGATGGGAGGTGTGAGGAGGGGAAAGCACTGGAAGGCAGCCATACGATCGCGTTGGAGTGACTCACCCGGCGAACGGCAGTGGTGATAAAGTGAGCAACAGCAGCAGCACAGCCGCAGGAGAAGATTCGATACCAGGAGAAGGAACTGGAGGGACTAGCTCGCGTCCACTGCCCGGCGGCGACTGCAGCTGAGATCCGATATGATCGCCACATCTCTCGCTTCTCGGCCATGTCCAAAGCGGTCGCTCGGCCGGCTGCCACCATTTAAGGCGGACCAGACCGGGCCACCATCACCTTCTGGGTCAAATGCATCTCGATGCCACGACCAGGTCCCGGCCAGGCGGCCATTATGCAACGATCGAACCTCTACACCGCTTCCCCCCCTGCTCCTTCTGCTCGCTCCGCTGATAACTTAATCAGCATCGATTGCTGCTTGATTAGCCACTCCAATGCGCGCCATTCGCCCGACCGACAGCCCGATAAGTCTCTGACGTCAGCCCCTGACCGCATTCAGCCGCGAATCCACGTACTGCAGTCGCTGATCTGTGGCGCCGCGCAGCTCTGCCATTCATTGCCTAAAATGGAAAAAAATACGCTGAAATCGTTTGCTTTTATGGCCATTTTTGGCAGCCATATGCTCATGCAATGGCCAAAACAACATATCCCCCTCATGCATGTGCTATGGAAGCATAGATACCCTTCACTCATTGAAAGGAAGAGGAATTGACTCCATATATCTGATATCTACGAAGTAGATTCAAATTATAGTTACAGTCGAAGGACTGTCTACTCTAAAAAGTTGGAAATTAAAACTTCAGATATTATCCTTCTGCCAGGAGTTATTATATGTAACGTGGGAATCCTTCTGCCAAGTCGAAACAGCCCCTTGTGAGGGTATATCTCTGAATGCAGGCTCAAAATTATCCGTTCTCTTGCTGCTGCTGCTGCTGGTGCTGTCTGCTACTGCTACTGCAGCTGCTTTTGCTTTTGCTGCGGCTCGTGGGGTTCGCTGCGAGGCTGCCAGGCTGCGAGGCCAGAACTGTAAGCCATAGCTAGAGTATCAGTAGCAGGCGAGGCGGTCATCTAAGCGGATCATCATGTATTACTACACAGCCCATGTGAAGCCAACGTTCACCACGGTGGAAGGTTAATGCTGGGAGAAGGGAGAGATTTTACTTTTATTCTGATATTATGTATAATTTCTAACACACTCTATCACTCTCTCACTCTCTCTACAGAGTTCCAGGAGGCCTTCAATCTGTTTGACAATCGCGGCGATGGCAAAATTCAGCTGGCCCAAGTGGGCGAATGCCTGCGGGCCCTCGGCCAGAATCCCACCGAGTCGGACGTGAAGAAGTGCACGCACCAGCTGAAGCCAGACGAGCGCATCTCGTTCGAAGTGTTTCTGCCCATCTACCAGGCCATATCGAAGGCCCGCTCCGGGGACACGGCCGATGACTTCATCGAGGGGCTGCGTCACTTTGACAAGGACGCCAGTGGCTACATCTCGTCCGCCGAGCTGCGCCATCTCCTGACCACGCTGGGCGAGAAGCTCACCGACGAGGAGGTGGAACAGTTGCTGGCCAACATGGAGGACCAGCAGGGCAACATCAACTACGAGGAGTTTGTCCGCATGGTCATGAGCGGCTAGGGCTTGGCAGGGTCCCATCCCCAAAAACCTCGACGAGAACAAGAAGCATCCACACAAAACAAAACAAAAAAACAGTAGCAACAATAACACTATACACCTGCCAATCTGTCGGCTATCGCAGCCGATAGCCGACATGTAGTTCATTCCGCCAGAATATTAAACTCCGAAATTCCAATTTTCGTATTCCTATGCCCCATGTCCTTTGTCCATCAAAGGACTATCAGAATTAATATTCCAACGAAAGACAAAACAACTGAACACAACGACCAACGATGGAACCAGAGCGAGAGAGAGAGAGAGAGAGAGAGTTGGAGCAGCAGGCAGGAGACCAGGGCAGCTCTACCGCCCCGCCCCGCCCCAAAACAGAACTAACCATCGACGTAGCAGAGCAACACACAGACACACTACACTCTTGAATAACGATTAATCAATCCAGTAGACATCATAATGGCCGCAGGAATAACTTGTGCGTATTATTCTGAAGAAATAAGAGAAATTTGAACAGTAATTAAACCCGATATTCCGGCGTTTCTTTTTTACCGCATACTCTAAGCTTAAAAAATATGTTATACAATATATACTACTAAATATTTAGGACTGGAATCAGGAATGGAATGCATACCGATGTCCACTGCAGCAAGAGTATCATGAAAAGTATTTCTAAACTAAACAGAATCGGATGGTTAGCGTATGATGTTTGTTTGAATTTAAATGCGCATTTCAAACTTTTACATGTTTTTTTTAATAATTTAATATTTGTATTTAATAAACAAAAGAAAAACAAACAAAGAGCGAGTGAACGTAGGTTATTTTTACAAGAGAAAAAGAAAACGTACTTAAAACTAAATTAAACCAATTGAAACCGTATTATGTTGTTTTATTTGTTCAACTGGAACATTTGCTCTGACAACAAGGCTTTTTAAATATCAATTTAAAATTTGCGGGCTGCCAGGGCAGCCAGAGTGGTCGTGAGCCGGATCTAACCCGCAAATTTCGTTCGCAAAAATCTCTAAATTCTAATACCCTGTAACATTTGTCGGTATAGAAAATACGCAGGTTTTTTGAACCTTTGATTTCTCAAATTGTGGTCCACGGGGTTTCAACCGATGTAATGAAAATTGAATAATTTTGGCGCAGTTTAGGTGAAAGATGGTACGGATCTACAAGAAGAATTTACAATCAATAATATTCTTCGCCATTACCTCAAGTCATTGAACTGTTCAAATAGGGGCCTAGGTGAGCCAAGTTCGGGTTTTCATCGGTATTTCTGAGGGTCACAGTCGTAATTTGGAATGGGCTATGAAACAGGGTATGGCCAACACACCTCGTACCTATATACCTTGAATACAAGAAGACGATTTCGTCTTCAAGGTATATTAAGCAAGTGGGGTGGACTCTACCTTGCAAGCGTTGGCTTTTCTGGGCCGTGCTGGCTGTTGTCCATACCCTCTTTATCCACTCATCATGTAGCAAACGTGTAGCAACCGTGTACCGCGTAGTTGCCATGTAAAAATAAAACAAAAGCGAAAATGTTTTGAAAAGTGCAACCGCTGCATTCCTTAATTTACGACTTTGTAGTGCTTTTAGTTATCATTATTTTCGCTTCGCTGCAGTCCAGTCCGCGCGGACCATGTCCCGAAACGCTGCCGCGGGCGTGGTCGCCACTCTGCCTGGCGGAGGCGGCGGCGAGCCCAGCTCTCCAGTGCAAAAGGTGTGGAAGCCCGAGCGTAAGTGATTTAGTCATCAGGAACACAACCATTGGTCATATCTCTCTCTCTCTCTCTTGGCACTCTCTCTAGTGTACAAGATCCAGCTGGAGGCCCCGGCCCCGTGTCCGATGCGGTGCCAGCGCACCCTGCCGCTGCCGCCGACAAAGAGCACCGCCGAGGAAGTGGAGCAGGACAACCAGGCTGCGCGGCTATACGGCTCCGAGTACCATGGCCTGATGGGCCACCTGGAGGCGGAGCATCTGCTCGGTCTCACTGGCGGCGAAGGCAGCTATCTGGTGCGACGCAGCCCCATGTCCGACGGCTTCTACACGCTGAGCCTGCGCTTCAACAAGCGCACAAGGCACTACAAGCTGTTCCACAAGCCCGGCGTGGGCCACTACCTGCGCGAGCAGGACAAGCGCTTCGACTCGGTCTACGACATGGTGGCCGACGGCCTTATCAACTTCCACATGCAGCTCCACGCCAGCCCCATCATACAGCAGATTAATCAGCAAACCAAAAACTGCTACCAGCAAAGTCCCTATATGACGCTCAACGGACGCAAGCTGCGGGCCTTGTCGAATGAACTGGGGAAGACCAATGCCGCCGCCGCCACCGCTGCCGCTGCAGCAAAAGATGACGCCTCTCCCAAGGATGTGGATGTGCCATTGATGCCGACACAGCCCTTGGTGAGTCAGCCGCCCGCTGTTGCAATGGATCCCATGCCGCTGATCTACGAGAAGCTGCACCACTTCAAGGTGCACACCTTCAAGGGTCTCAACTGGTGCGAGTTCTGCGCCAACTTCCTGTGGGGCTTCACCGCCCAGGGCGTCAAGTGCGAGGCCTGCGGATTCGTGGCCCACACCAAGTGCTCAGAGCTGGTGCCGCCCAAGTGTGTGCCCGATCTGAAGCGGATTCGCGGCGTCTTCGGCACCGATCTTGCCACCATGGTTCAGCTAGACCCTCGTCACCAGATCCCCTTCGTAGTGCGTCGCTGTGTGGAGGAGGTCGAGGCCCGGGGCATGCTCCAGGAGGGCATCTACCGCGTCTCGGGATTCGCAGACGAGATCGAGGCTCTCAAGCTGGCCCTCGACCGGGAGGGCGAGAAGACGGACATGTCCGAGGCAGCCTACGGCAATGTCAATGTCATTGCCGGTACCCTAAAGCTCTATCTGCGGTTGCTGCCCGTGCCGCTCATTACGTTCCAGGCGTACCCCAGCTTCATGACTGCCGGGCGTAAGTGTTGTGCTGTGATCTGAAATTAGAGCCGATGTCAATCGCTTTTTACACTCGTTTCAGGGAACACCAAACAGGCGGAGCAGCTGCAGATGATGTCAGAGGCAGTGCGTCGTCTGCCTCCGGCCCACTACAGCTGCCTGCAGTACATGCTGGAGCACCTCAAGCGGTGAGTAGTTTGCTGGCACCCAACGCACCTGCACTCCAACTCGTCCTTTTCTGCCGCAGCGTGGCCTCCCACTATGCCGTCAACAAGATGAACGAGCACAATCTGGCCACTGTGTTCGCCCCCACTTTGATAGCCACGCCGCAGCACATGACAAACCTGACCGAGGAAATATTCATGCTCTCCTCGCTGATCACCCACTGCAAGATTATATTTGCTTGAGCATCACGTCAAAAAGAAGCCGCTAGAGGAGCAACAGCTATCCTCAGCTCCCTCAGTTTGCTGCACCCCATCCCCGGATGAGTCGCATGATCTGCACACCTTAATTGGCATTTCGCCTAGCATTTACCTTAATTTATTAATGAACTTTCGATGCATCCTTGATATGTCCACCAAAAATTTAGCCTAAGTATCTATGAATAGCGCTTTACAATTCCCAGTTTTGTAAGGATTACATCGAGTATAGGATGCCCACGACCCCGCCTCCCAAAACAAAACAAAAACACATTAGAACGCATTTAATGTTGTAGGAATCTAACGTACGAATTTACTGAATTTTTGAACTATTTTAAGCTATTTTAAATTTACGATAGTTTTGTCACAAGAAATATATTTATTTTATTTATATAAAACTAATACCATGATTATAGGCCCCATATCCTATATTGGTATGGTTTGACCGCAAACATGAATCACTCTGAGTCACTTTCACTTAACTTGAGTAGAGTTTTCTATCGTACAGAACTCAGGAATCGGTAGCGGTAATTCTCTTCCAATACTAAGTGGAATATATGCCAAAGCCGGAATAGAAGCTGTGAGTAAAGAACGAGAAAGAAACTATGAAAACGTGCAAGTTTGAAACCGACCGCTTCAAAACAGAAGTCCGTAGATTTCGCAAAGGAAAAGAGCGGGAGAGTGTCGGTTCGGCGTACAAAGGTTCGACCTTATATACCCTGAAGTGAAGTACATATGCCGATCGAAACGTCGAAGGCCTGCCAGAAGATATTATTCCACGTTCAAAAGTAAGTAGCTTGAGTACCCAGAAATATTTTATTTCATTTCTTCTGCTTTCCCGCTCAGCAATACATCAATGAATGAGTGCGTTTCGAATGAGTCAGGAATGGTATTAGAAGAACCGGGAAGTAGCATCGTTCCATCGTGAGTAGGATAAGCTTAAGTCCCAAAAAACAATCCAATTAATTGAATCTATGTATATATGCTTTCCCGCTCAGCGATGAATCCACGAAGTCGAAGCAGGACTGTCCCAAAGATATGGACATCGGCGATGTTAGCGGTTACTTGTCGGCTATCAAGCTCGATCTCCAGCCAGATGGAACCAACAAGACATCGACTATCCACGACCCCCCACGGTGGGGTGACCCCACGGGACATCGGGGAGCCCACCGGGACTGCTGTTTGACTGGTCAACAAGAAGTGTCCGTTGGACGTGAACAAGGCGATCGTTACCACGACCTTTGAACAGGTGTCGCACTGCAAACCATCTGATGTCGATTTCGACAATCCGTATCCCGAGCTTGACTAGGAGCCAGCCAGCGCATCGACTCGATATTGAGTTTACTGTCACCCACCCAGGTAGGCCAGGGAATCTGTCTCATATACGATATCCATTCACAAAATTGTTCTTGTTTTAGGCCTTATAGTTTTTGTTGTTGCCAAATTTACGTTCAAGGCCATGTCACGCAAAAGGGAGCTGCTCCAGGCAGCGGTCGTCAAGCAGAGCCAACCGCCCACGTTCGGTTCCTTCCACAAGCAAGCGGAGCTGATGAAGATGCTGCCTCTGGTGCCCAATTTGCGGGAGATTTACAACATGTTCGACCCCTCCAAATCTACTGGCATTTCAGAGGCCGATTTGGGCTACTGCCTGCACGCCATGGGACTAGCTCCGACCCATTCATGGCTGAAGGACAACCTGCCGCCGATGGGCCGGAGATGGCTGAGCTTCGAGAAGGTGCTGACGCTGTACTGCAAACTGGCCGTTGCTGATGGGCAGCCCAAGATGGGGGACGTGTTGGAGGCCCTGCGGGCGTGGGACGTGAAGAAAACTGGCAAAATAGCTTACTCGGAGCTGCGGAAAATGCTCACGACTATGGGCGACCCCATCGACGAGACCCATGTCTTCGGCGTGCTCGCGTCCGTGTCGGACATAGAGGGCAACGTCCACTACGAGGATCTCGTGGCGAACATGCACATCCACGATGCGAAGGCCGCCGAGACGCTGCGCCAGGCGCGCAACTATCTCCAGGCCCTGGGCCGCAACGCCGTCGACATGGACATGACCAAGCGGGACGAGTTCATCGACGACCTGCGCAGGGCAGATCCCCAGGGCAAGGGCTATATCGGGAGCAGCAAGCTGCTGGAGCTACTCAATCGCAGTGGCAGCTCGTTCACGGCGAAGGAGCTGGACATCATTATCGACAGCATAAAGTGCAATGCAAGATCCGATAAGGGCATCGATTATCGCCGATTTTTGCGCTACATCATGGACACATAGCTAGGAGCGGTCCGAGGATCTGCAGAAAATTTTCTGCAAATTTCTTATATTCGGCAACAGCGAAATGTGTACATTTGTTGATCGTTTCTTCTTTAAATTAAAACAAAACTTAAAAAAGTGTCTTCCCTTGAGAAGAGAATAAGACCATGCCAGCATGTGGGACATCCCACTTCATCCGACTTGTCCGGGCAGTCCTTTTCGCTGTCACAGCGCCAGTAGGCGGGTACGCAGTCCTTGTTCATGTCACTATTCCCCGCCACTGGGGCCGCGCACGTGAAATGACCCACAGGCCGTATACACGCCGCGAGAACAGACGTCGCGCGTGCTGCGTGCCACCCCCTTTTCCGCTGGCTATGCCGATGTGGAAAGACTTCGTGCGGCTGTGCAGACACGTGTGTTTGCACAGCACTTTCCCATCCGGTGTCCACAAGGCACTGATGTCGGTGATCTGCGGCATACCCTACAGCTCCGCGGAACGACGCTCTTCGTTGACAGTGATCCGTTCCACTCCGGTCTTGTCGTCCAGCCAGTACACAAATCCCCCAAGGCGGCAATGTTGATTACCTGCGAGATTTGCATCGAAATAAGGCTGCAGGGGATTACACATGTGTCTAAAGGATCCCCATATTCGTGGCTTACTTGTTCTTTCCATCGATGTCTATAAGTTCGATACGCATGGTTTATCGGACTGTTGGTCCAGGGCCAGCGCCGTGACTCCTTCCAGTTCCACACGCTCATTGCCATCGACTCGGGCCCGAATGATGGCCTGATGGCTGAGAAGAGCAGACGCCTCGCCTTCATGGACATGCCAGAACACCGGCAGCGGCACATTTGGGCAGTCTGTCGTAGCTGGGGGGAATGCAGGGCACGTTCTTGGCGAGGCTGCGGCTGGCCCGTCTTGATAAATGTCCGCGGTGCTCCAGTCGCTCCAGTACACTTAGTCCTAGCTGGCAACCAGTATCTGACGCTTCTTGCCATCTAGTAGAGGCGTCTCGTCTCCTGGTCGAATATGAGCTCCCGGCCATGGTTGGTATGGTATGGAGTCCGAGGCGACTCTGTCCATGTACATGTACCCGCGACGCGGCTCAAGGACCAGGGAACGCGGCTTCTCCACCCCCTTCCACAAGACCACGCGCCGACTGCTGCCATCCTGGGGGGCGACCTCGATGAGACGAGCCTCCGCATCGCACCAGTTGATGTTGCTGGTCAGTCCAGTAGATGCACCAGGCAGAGGTGGTGGCCCCATTCCCCCCGGCTCACGCACGTTCCCCACGGTCTTTTCATCGCACCAGACACCAGAATCCAGTCGCCAGTCGTCGTCTCCAATCGAATCTGAGCTCCCGGCCATGATTATAGCTCGGATCCGGCGTAGGGAGTCCGAGGGGAGGGGGGCGACCTCTGTCCGGCTGTCCCCTCCAGGTTTCCTTCCGCCACGTGTCGACGAAAACAGCTGTTCGGCTGCACCAGCGCCCCTCCTCGGCTCCCCGGCACCCCCTGGCCGTTTTTCACAACGATTTCAACAAAATTTCTTCTTCCTTTTTCAAAAAAACAACGTAAGTGAGTATGGAATACGCCGTAAGTGACGGTTAAATGTCACGTCAACCGGAGTTTGGGCACAGGTATACCCTATTTCGTTGATATATGAAGAAATTGTTTTTCCAATTTGTTTTAAAACGTAATTAATATAGAAACGATCTCAGATTGTTATGTTTTGGACATATTAATGCATATAATTAGGGTCTTGTAAATATATCCCGATCCCGATACCCATTCTTGGTTTCTGTAAGAAGACCAAACCCTTCAAAATATCGTTGAAATACCTTTAAAACAGAAACTGACTAGTTTTGGCCCTTATTGGTGCATTAGATGACAAACATTTTCTCAGTTCCATAACATCCATTTCCCAGGGTATGTAAAATGTTGCTCAATCCGCGCAATGTTGTGGAACAATGCTGCTCGATTTCACGGCACATGAGTCTAGCCCATACAAATTAATGCTGCCAGCAACATAAAACGTAAGTGAGTATGGAATGTAAGGGACATTGTTGAGGGGAAAAAGGACATTGTGGTGGGGGAAAATCCCTCCACGAAGAGAGGATATCCCATCACAAAATAGAGCAAGTCCCAATAAAATATACTCTAAAAAATACGGAAAATGTATCATATTCCTCGTTTTTGATCTTCCGTCGAATATTACTAGCTATATAGAACATTTGTCATGCCCACATAATTTTATACGATTGGTGAATCTATTTCCTACTTGATTGGCCTATTCGAAATAATTGTTTCATTCATTTCATTTAATAATCTTAAGTCTTAATAGTATACTAATCATAAATCGTAGATATATGAAAGTATGAAGGACCTCACCTCCTGAGGGCGGCACTTACTCGACGTAGCACCACCATGTTCTCTACTTTATTGAACTGTTATACTAACACTCTGTAGCTACATACCAACATGAGGAATGTAGAAGTAGAATGTGCAGAGTTCAATGTAAAATGTGGAATGTAACTAGTCGTGCCGTCAGGTGTCGCCTTTGGGGCTTTAATTGTGGATCGTATGTATGCATCAAAATCTGTGTAGATGTCAATAAAAGTAAGACATAGAGATGGACGGAATCTAGCTGGGATTTCAGAGCACGAAAGAATCCACTACGAATTAAATTATCATTTTCTTAGTAGATTTTTCAAATGTTTTGCATTTTTCATTTCTTATTATTAGAACAAAAGTGAATTTCGATTAAATATTTATTAAAAATATTACGTTTTCGTGTCTTTACAGCTAAAATAAACATATGCGTACATTTTAAAATATTCGATTACAGATCTATATCCAAGAAAATTAATTGCTTAGGTCTAATCAAAAAAAATGGTATCTTTCATTTGGTTCGGGTTTGGTTTGTGTGTGCGTGTGAGGAAGGAGGGGGAGGGGGGGGGGGGGGTTATATTACTGCATATTGAAGGTGTCCTGCTGACGTCAGACATCCTCACAGGCTGCCATTGGCCCCTCGCCGCCGCTGCCCGTAAGCTCCATTTTAATGTGCTGCTGATTGGAGTTGCCCCGCAAATGGCTGTGGGAGTGGCTGTGTGGATTGGCATGTGGATTGGTATGAGGATGTGGCGCTGGTCCTGCTTGTGTGCTGTTGTTGTTGCTGTGCTCCTCGCTGTGCTTCAGCATATCACACTGGGCCTGAGCCTGGGCCTGAGCCTGGGCCTGAGCCTGGGCCTGAGCCTGGGCCTGAGCCTGGGCCTGAGCTTGAGCCTGAGCTTGAGCCTGAGCTTGGGCTTGAGCCTGGGCATGTGCCGCAAAGCTCCGCACCTGCAGGAAGAGGCCACCGTTGTTGAGCAGCCGCGCCTGGTGCTCCTGCGCCTTGGCCCGCAGACAGGCAATGGAGTTGTTCCTGCAAAATGTGCAAAGGTCCAGTCATTCGATTAAAATATCGGTTATCTGGAATAAGGTCGACTTTTGCGGCCTCACCTAAACGCATCCGGATCGTGTTCCATGAGGGCGGCCGCTAGATGATGGGCATGCAGGCCCGGAGGCGCCGCCGCCATCTGGGGCTGTTGCTGCTGCTGCTGGGCCGCCGCAGCCGCAGCCGCCACCGCCGTGTTCATGATTAAGTGGAAGTCCTTGCTGGAGGCCGCGGCCCCGGCGCCGGCGGCATTGGCCGCATCCAGAAGCGGATGGTAGCTCGGCGTGGCGGTGGCGATAGCGGCTCCACCTCCAGACAAGTAATGTTGGCTCTGCTGCTGTTGCTGCTGCTGTTGCATCAGCTGGGCCTGGGTCTGGGACTGCTGCGGGGATGGGGAGCCCAGCTCGATGTGGGGCGATCCCGAGCTGTTCGTGTTGGCCCCGGTGGGCGTGGTGGCTGCCGAGGAGGCGGCCGCATAGCCGCTGCTGCCGTGCGGCGTCGTCGAGGTCGGCGGGGCCGTCGAGGTGATGGTGTTGCAACTGCTTGGCGCCGGACTGACCACGTTCAGCGATTCCGTGGAAGAGCTGAGGGCCCGCGAGTGGGAGCGCAGCTCCTCGGAGTGGGCCGACTTCGAGCCGGCCGAGTCCTCGTGATCGCTCACCCCCGAATCGTCCTTGAGAGCGGACTGGGCCTCAATCGATTTGCGGTGCATGCCTGGTGGAGATTAGAGAGGCACATATGTAGATATTTGCAGGGAGGTGTTTTGTTGTGCTTTATGGAGCTATGTGGAGGGCGGTGCTGCCCGAGGAGGGAGTGTTTGGGATTGCAAAGAGCTATAACTATCTATAACTTGGCACAAAAGAGGCCAAACACTCATCCCATTGGGAAGAAGAAGTTTAGATGTTCTGCGAGTAGATCTATAGTTTCTTCCTGGAAGAACTAGTAGAGCAGCTCCAGTGGAAAGCCCAGGCACCCACCCATTAATTGCTCTTCCAATTAAGTTCTATAAACAGCATTAAAATACATAATTCATGTGCTCTATCAATTGCCAACTAATTTGACATATCGACTTAATTAAAAACTCCCAGGCAATCCCAATCCCAATCCCAATCCCAGATGAACTATGGGCGACCACTCGCTAAGTCGTCGATAAGCCACTTAAGGCCCGAACCGACTTTGGCCACGGCTACTTGGGAATTAATTTGCGAGTCATGCAGCGGACCAGGAGGACGAGGAGGGTAAAAGCCGATGAACTATGCGTCTAACCCCACACTTCTAGCACTTCCAGCACTTCCCCCTCCTGCTCCTGCTCCTGCTCCTGCTCCTGCTCTTTCTTCCCCGTCCCAAAGGCCGCACAATGGAAATAGATAAACGATAAATGCCGAATAAAGCAGGAATTCATTGGGATGCGAAATGCGGTGGATGGGGGATGTAGGATGGATGATGGAGGTGGAGGATGGAGGGGGGATTCAACCCCTCTCTGCCTGCTTCGTGGCATCGCGTGTGCATTTTGCATTTATTAAGCGATTATTAACAAATAAAGGAAGTCGTATCCGGCCACGGAGCCACCCCCTCTGGTCGAGTGCCACCGCGACCTTCCGCCCGGCAAACCGGTGGCACTTGTCGGAGAGGATAGCAGAGGCGAGGCGAGGCGAGGAGAGGACTGCTAATCCGCAAAGTCATTTCGGGAAATGTGCGCAACATATGACGAAAAGATTCGATTCTAGTTGTTGGACATGCTCGCCAAATATGCTCACAATTTCCACGGGATCTGCACCGCGACCGCGCACTTTATAATCCCCAAGCTGCTGTCCTTTGTGCGGCTCAAAATTTAATTAAACCCTCCTTTGGGGTCACCGTCGTTTCCTTATTGCCCGAATGAGTGGATACCAAGGGCTGTGTTGTGTTGTGTTGTGGTGCGGGAACGGCAGATGGGAGACGGGAAATGGTGAATGGTGAATGGTGAATGTGGGCTATAGCTTGATAGTTTCGATATGATTGTTGCATTTACATTTCTGTTCCATACCTAGTAGCCAGGGCGCCACCGCATCGTTCTCCTTGGCCGACTTCAAGATGGTGTCCGGCAGCGGCAGCGAGTGCCTCACCATCGCCCCGTACAGTCCGTACTCGGCCATGATCGTGCTGCCGCCCCAGACCTTCTCGGTCTTCCGCCACTTGGCCCTGCGATTCTGGAACCAGACCTGGAAGAATATCAAGCAAAACAGAGCGCTGTTAATGGTACATTCGAGGGAGGATTTGGGGTCCTGCGTTCGGCTGCCATATGCCATATGGACGCTGACCTCTTGCCTGGCCGATGGCTGGCTGATGGCTGGCTAATGCTCTCCAGTCGGAGCCAAATGGCATGCAAATTGCAAATTATTAAATAAAAAACTCATCCAAATTGAAAAAATGTAAATGGAATGTTTTTTAAATGCTAATACTTGGACCATAAACCGCTGAGCTGCTGAGCTGCTGAGCTGCTGAGCTCCTGAGCTGCTGGGGACACACAAAGGAGAGAGGGAGAGAGGGAGAGAGAGGGACTCCTTACACATATTGATGCCTGAAACCCAAGGGCGTAGTATGCTTGATGTTTTAGGGGGATATCTAAGACTGAAATTGCTTGTTCCTTGCATCGTCTGATCCACGAATCAATCAGCTTTATCCGCCCAAAGCCGCGAATATCTAGTTAGTCGCTGAAAGGTGACCCCGACGTGCCTTTGAGTCTACACACACATCGATCGTTCAGAGTTTACTAAGTGGTTTGGGCAAGATATATTGCCACAAATATAACTGAAGCTGCCACTTCTTGCCTTCATAGTTTGTTTCCTCAACAGAGGACCTCGATTGCCTCGATTCCCTCGATTCCCCGTGTCCCCAATAAGCCTCTATCGCCGCCCAATCTCCAGGGGGAGGCCTTGGCCCGCTGGCTGCCCCCATTTGGCTGAGCCACTGCCAGCAGAATGTGGCCATTGTTGGCGATGACAACATGCCACAAACGCCAGTGGCAGCAGCAGCAGCAGCAGCAGCAGCAGACCCAAACAGACGCGCACACAGACACACTCTCGGGCGGTGCTGGTCCACACATAATAGCAAATGATATACATATTCGCATATAAGTGACCAAATTAGATTATCTTCCAAAACATTAAACCGATTCTCGACTCGAGTCTCTCGACTGGTAATACGAATAATAAGAAAACATTAAATGTTGATCACAAAAGCAGGAGGCAGCCAGCCCCGCAACAACAACTGTCACAATAAAAGGATTTGCGCACACACCACAGACACGGACACAGGAGCCCACTCTGTATGCAGAGTCGGGCAAAGGATTTAACTCGAAAAAAGGGACTTGCAACCCTCGAAACCCATCCTGCCGCCCTGCCATCCTGCCGTCCTGCCGTCCTCCTGCTTCTGCACCGAAAAAGAAGTCATCATTTTTCTGGTCCATCAAATCGTTTAGTTCTGCTATTAGTCATGTACGAAAAGGGGGAGCCACGGAGCCAGGGAACCAGGGAGCAGACACAGAGACTGGGACGGGGACGGGGACGGGGGACAGAGAGTAAAGATTGCCCGGCAAAATGGATTCGACGAAGGACGAGAACTCACTGAAGTGGCTGCCTCCTCGTCCAGAATGAAAATTTATAATAAAAAGCAAAATATGCAAAGCAGGGGGCGACCGAGTGGCAGGGATCCTGCGCTACTTGCCTTGCGGGTGCCATTGTGGCGACATTTTTGCTCGAAATTCCACTGGCATGGCACGAGCCAAGAGTCGAGTCCAAGTCCAAGTCCAAGTCCAAGACCAAGTCCCAATTCCTTTTCACACGGATTGAACAAATCGCAACAAATCGTGCGCGGGTTAAGTGGACGACAGGGCGTGGCACGGCACGGCACGGCATGGCACGGCATGGCACGGCACTCAATCCTCACAAAACGAAGATAAAGTGGTTTGGCTTTTGGTTCTGTCGCCAGTCTTGGATGCCTACCAGGAGCCCGGTACCCTTGGCTCTCGGGATACTCATAAATCCGGGTTGCATGAGAAATTGGCAGCCCCAGATCCGAATGGCAATCCGAGTCTCCGTACGGAAGGGGAGGGAGAGGGAGCGGGAACGGGAACGGGAACGGGAGCCACTCAGTGCGTTCCGTTGCAGCCCAGGAAATTTACAACTTTTGCCGGATTTTGGCAAAGTGCCGCCCGCCTGTCGGAGCGGCGAACAAAGCGCCAAACTTTCAGCTGTACAGTGCGTTTCAGTGCTCTAAGGCAAGTGGAGAAAGAAACACATCCATCCGATGGAATGGTAGGTATTTCCTTCAAAGATTCGATTCAAAGAAGGGGAACGAAGATCGATAGACCGAGCATACCGTTTTGAAACGCACTGTCGCTTGTGTGTGACTCACCGTGGGGATCTGTCGAGTATTTGCGAGGACTCGTGGAGCGCTTTCCGGCTGAACAACTCCGATTAAAGATGGGATTCCGCAAACAGTGCGTCCTGAAATTGCCTGCCACTGTTCTCGAGAGTGCTGCCAACGGATGTCAAATTAATTTGAGCACACACTGCGACACAGAGACACTGCCACACAGAGGGTAGGGGGACACAAAGCGGCAGGCTCCACTTTTGGGGCAGGGCCTCGCTGCTCCTCTAATCTGTTCCGGCTTGGCTTCGACCTTAGACTGGGAGCCTGGGCTGGGCCTGGGCTGGGCTGGGCTGCCTACGAAATCAAATTAATCCGGTTTGTTATTTCATCATGCAACGTCAACGTCATCATCATCAGTTGCAACAACAGACAAAAGACGCAGAGGCAGAAGCAGCAGCAGCAGCAGCAGCAGAAGCAATAGCAACATTTTGCAATAATAAATAGCAGACACACACACACACAGATACTCGCATGGAAACAATACAGGTACACACGCACACAACCAGAAGCGGAGAAGCAGAGATACACAGAGGGAGAGATGGTGTGCAACTGCCAAAGGAGCGGAAAATTTCATTAACAAGGCACACAAGCAACGTCCGCCGTGTAGGGCCCCAGCCTGCGTCCGGAAAACAGGGCCACAGAGAGAGAGAGAGAGAGGGGGGGGGGAGAGGGAGAGCGGAAGCAAGAGAGTGTCAACGATGCTCCTAGCCGCCAGGAGGCAGCCATCCAGCAGCCATCCAGCAGCCATCGTCCAACCATCCAACCATCCGGTAGCCAGCCCCGGCAGCTCTCTGTTAATTTAATCAACTCTCATTGAATTATATCATTTTGCAATTGGGAGCCCAGGCCATGCCCCCAATGGCTGCCGGGCCCTTGGCTGTCACAGCCCCTTTATGTCCCGCTCCGTTCTGTGCGGCTCTGTGCGGCCCTGTGCCGTTCCGGCTACAGAAACAACATCCCATCACAGGCCATCATCCAGATTCAATCGTCATTATGATACCATGCCAGGGCCGGGCGCGGCTGGCGTCCATTTTGAGTGCGGAAATCAAAGAGGGAAATGCCATAAATTTTCAAAACGGAAATTTGCCGATAACCGAAACCCTGCCGCAGATACGTGTGGTGTCTGCCCCTAGGTGTCCCTACAATCAAACCAATTGCGGCTCCTGCAAGTTCCCCCTGAAACGCTTCCAAATATTGGGTTAATCTTAAGCAGAACTCAATTATCATAGAGCTCTCAATCGTATCGAGCGGATGGCCTCGGATCGAGTGGAACGGGATGGCCAGCAACTTAATCACCATTTTAATCTATTGATCCGGCCTTTTGGGTAACCCAATGTGACCAGGGGTGGGGTGGTGAGTGCCGGATAACGGCAACCATTTTAATATAGATAACAGCCTGGACAATCTGCTGCTAAATGATTACTAGACCCATTCCCGTGCCCATTTCTATCCCAGCATCGATTCCAATTCCTATTCCGGCTGCCAATACGCCAATGCGAATCACGACATCAATTTGCTGATTGAAAATTTATTATTATACGAGAGTACGAGTCCGAGTTCGAGTGCATGAATGCCTGAAGGGGTGCTCGGGTGGATGGGTGGACGGGTGGACGGGTCTTCTGGACAGCCACATTTTTATAGACTGAGACTGAAGATGCCGCCGCCTAGCGACTGGCACTTGGAGACTGTCACGCCCACTTGTCCGACTGTCCGACTGTCCGACCGGTGGGTGGAAACGCTTTTGATTTATCGAACTATAAAATTGCTGGCCAGCCAAATCGAACGATGATGAGGTCACAGTTCGCTCGGGAGGATGGACAGGGGTTCCGCACGAGATCACGGTCCCTACGCGTCCCTTACATTTGCATTGATGGAGGATTGATATTAATCGATCCACTGATCGATGAACTTTTGTTGTACGACGCATCCCCATCTCTCCATACTTTCCATAGCATCCCATAGATCTATGCCAGAAGCGACCTACAAGCTGGACCCAGGACCAGACAAAGGTGAGGCCCAACTCTTGGCCGTAATTAAAGTATTGGCAACCAATCAAAGGGCCAGGGTATGGGCCAGGGTATGGGCCAGGGTATGGGCCAGGGTGTGGGCCAGGGTATGGGCCAGGGTATGGGCCAGGGTATGGGCCAGGGTATTGGCAGGCATTTCGATTCCTGTGGGGGTGCCCCTGGCTTTTGCCACCTGGAAGGAGGCGGAGCTGGAGCTGGAGTACGAGTACGAGGGGGAGGGGGAGGGGGAGGGGAAAGCCTCAAATATTTGCTCACTGGTGCTGCAAAATTGCGCAAATTGCATATGCAGTTCGCAGGACCTCTCGTCCTTTTCAGGTGACATGTGCATGAGAATTGCATTCGATTGCATCTGTGTATGTGTGGTCTGTCTGTCTGTGTGTGTGTTTGAGGGGATTTGGCCCGGCTTTGTGGCTGTGTGCGGCGGCATGCGGCCTTTATTGGTTTACTTCATCAACTCGAACGGGGGATTGGGTGCGGGTGCGGGTGCGGGAGGGAGTCGGAGTCGGAGTCAGTCAGCCATTCGAAGCGTGTGGAAATTTCATAACGACATCCCGCACTTTATATGCAATATTCAATTGACATTCGCGGAATTTGTTTGCTTTTTTCTTCACCTCTCACCGCTCACCGCTCACCGCTCACCCCTCACCCCTCACCCTTCACCCTTTCCTCTGTCTTTTTGCATTTTCTTTCTTCAATTTCCAGCTTTCATTTGAGCTTTTGTTTCATTCATTCATTCAAAGCCCAGACCCGCACAGAGGAGA